CTTCTTCTTCCTCTGCCACCAACTCTCCTTTGTCGGGCCCAAGGGGTGGGTTCTTGGTTCTCTTATCTTTGCACAGTTAGTCGATGCAAGGCAAACTAACTACCGAGGGGCATGGCTTAATGTTCAATTCAACCCGGTACCTGCTACTCTCTATTTGTGTGTAACTCTTGGTCCCGGCGATAGATAGATGCGGGGTACTACCCAGTATACGAGACACACTCTCTCTTCACAACAATATCACAACACGCCTCTGGAATTCTTCACTGTGGTCGACTATACAATTGGAGTTTTTTATTCCAAATAATTCGGTGGAAATCACATAAAGACAATCATCATCCACTGCTGATGGTGACATCGCTAGTAGCCCGCTCATTATACTAACAGAACTGATGATACATGAACATAATTGGAGGTCACGACTCCGTCGCTCTCCCGATTTCTAGAATCATTTGGCCTTTGGCTTCCGGCCTCGAGCCTTCTTGGGCTTCTCTTCCTCGTCATCGATGAAATCATCGTCGCCCGCTGCTGCCTTCTTCGATTTCCTTCCTTTGGCCGCTCCACCCTTCGCAGCTTTCTTGGGCACGCGAACATACTTGTCCTTCTTCAAATCAAGCTCTTCGCTCTCGTCATTGTCCTTCGAGTCGTCTTCGAGTACCTCTTCCTCATCCGATTCCTCAATGGCATCTTCAATGTCAGGCTTCTCCTTCGGCATCTTCTTGGGAGCAGCAATACTGCTGGCCTTGATGAATGGAAGAGGGTGGGAGCGCTGGTTGTAGATCCGCGTGAATGCTGCTTTCGTCTGTGTCTGCAGCTTCACATTGGATTCATCCATAGGTCCCAGCCCAAGTTCTACCAAGGCATCCCAATCCTCGCGCGTAAGGAAATAGCTGTCCATGAAATCAATAACATCGTCGACGCTATCCTTGCCTTCGACCATTAGTCGGCGGACTAGCCTGTCCCAAAGGAGCGGCATATACTGTTGTCGAATCTCATCTCTATCTCCAGATGCGCGAAGACGCATATGGCCCTGAATTTCTTTGATGTAACGCCAAAGCTTACCTATAATCGGTGTTAGCTGTGCAAGTTTTGTCATCCAAACAGATCGCACATACCTTGTTTACTGTTCTGTCCCAACCAACTAGTAAACCCGGGCCGCTCCATCATGTTTCCGTACGTAAAGCTCGCCGGTCTTACAAAACTGAACACCGCATGGGTAGGCATCAGACTCCATTGCTGCTGAGTACCATGAATCATCCTGTCAACGAGATCACCATCACTGATACTCGAAGCGGCGTTGTCCATCAGTTCAAGCTGTTTCAGCTTTTGTTCTCTGCCATGATATGCGCCAGCTAACGCCGGTCGTGTTTTCAGGTAGTTCTCCTGAAGCATCAGGGGGCTGAATTCGTGATCATTGAAGTAGAGTTCGATCTTATCATTTAAAGTAGCCTTGGAGCTTGGCGAGAACATTTGCGCACTGAGGATCTTGCCGACGATATCCCACGGCTTTAGAACGATGTGCTTTTCCCATGCTTTGGACATTTGCTTCCCCTTCTCGAAGTCTAGGTTTGTCTGGTCTAATTTGACGGTTGAAAGCATGTTGATCACTTGTCGGATGTCCGCGTTGGTGCCTTCAATAAGGCTGTCTAAGACCTGAGGCGGGATCCTCAAGCCCTCGCGGAAGCAGATGGTCGACAGTCGGGCTCTAATCTGTTCGGCTGTCGGTCTCCTGAACGGAAGTTCATATGTGACATGATCGAAAGGCTTCATTTTCGGGAGCCTTCGCTCGTTACAGATTAAAATCAGCGGGATGTGAGTCTTCTTGGCGATTGAGGCGAGTGCTCCCACACCACCTCTATCACCAGCGGACATTCCGTCAACTTCATCCATAATGAGGACCAAATTCTTCTTCGCACTCTCCACCTTCTTCCCAACACCCGAAAAGTAGCCTTGCAGCGAAGTCGTGTCCAAAACACCGAGAAGGCCATTCTCAACGAGCTTCTTGCTTCTTGTGTCACTTGCATTCGTCTCCACGACATCGTATCCTTCTAGCTTTGCCACCAGGTGTGCTGCAGTGGTCTTGCCAATTCCAGGCGGTCCGTGAATCATGACAGAGCGATACATCCCTGACCCATCCTTCCCTGGCTTGTTGAATCCAGCCTTGGCATTCTTGTGCCAGTCGCGAAGCCAGTTCTGTAGTTTCTCGACAACACCTTTGTTGCCACAAATCATATTCATCGATGTCGGCGCATATTTGGTGGTCCACAGGCGGTCGTCAGTCTTCGTGCTTTGCGTCGTACTTTGCGAACTTGATGGCGGTTGAGGTCCTGAGGGAGCAGTGTTACGCGTAGGCGCCGCCTTGCGCTTCTCTTCGCGGTCGATCTCAGCGGCCATCGCGCGAATCTTTTCTTCTTCTGCTTTCTTTTTCGCCTCATGTTGCTCTGCTGCCTTCCCATCTCCACCATTGGCTGGAAGTCGTCGAATAAGCTCGAAAAGTCCTTCCTCGTTAATTGTCTTTAGATTGTGCTGCTTAATCGTTGCCAGCTTTTTAGGCCCGGCATCCGCTCCCAGAACAACATAGCTGGTTTTGGAACTAGGGGCTCCAGTAACCTTACCGCCATACTTCTTGACCAAGTTCTGTCCTTCGTCGCGGCCGAGTGTGTCCAAGACACCAGTGAAAACAAAGGAGAGCCCTGCAAGACAATTTTCCGCTCCCTCTGGTATGTCCGCCCCTCCAGCTACTGGTGACCGCGAGCGCTGTGCGTGAGCAGCGTAGTTAAATTTGGCCTTTTCACCAGTCTCGCGCGGAGGAGAGGGTGGTCTGATCGTAGGAATGCTATCGAATATATCCTGGATCTCCTTGCTTTCAGGTCGATCGGTTTTGGTAGATGCCCTGGGCTTCTTAGGGGTACGGGGAGCGGCTTTCGTCTGCGCGGCCTTCTTAGGACTAGTTTTGGAGTCGTAGTCCTCGTCCTTCTCGAGAACTTCGGATTTGCGTTTGCGCGCTGGCTGAGTGGCGGCTGACTTGGCAGCCCTGGAAGGTTGCTTTGGCAGGTCCTCCATAACCACATCCTCATCCGATTCAGCAGTTGCCGCCTTCTTACGTCCTTGTCTTCCAGAGGCGGCACTGGCTGGCTTTACCGCAAGTTCCTCAAAATCACTGTCACTCTCCTTATCCTCTTCCTCGACATAATCATCATCCCCCTTGCCTGTTTTCTTGTACTCTGTCGCATGGATATCATCGCCACCGAGTTCATCGTCGTCAACGACTGTGGTAGCCTTTCGTGTACCGCGTTGAGGTCTTGGTGCAGGTTTTTCGGTGCTCGTAGACTTTTTGGGTTTCGGAGATGGCTTCGCTTCGGGTTCGTCGGTGACAGCAGGCTGAGATGTCTTGGTCTCCTTGGCTGGCCTGCCTCTCTTCTTGCTAGATGCGAAATAGTCTGACGAAGTTGTGGGTTCACCCTTCGATACTTCTGGCTTTCTGAGTAATTGTCAGTAAACGACAGCGGGTGGAGTCGCATTGGGGCAGACATACGGCTTGCTCGGAGCCTTCACCTTCGGGCTTACGGACTTGGTAGCGACAACTTCTTCCTCATCACTGTCGTCTACAACCTTTCTAGTCCCTGTATGCGCATCAATAAGACATTCCGCGTCCGAACATATAACCAGGTCTCTTACGCTTTTTTCTCGTAGAAGGCTCCTAGTTTGGTATCAGTGTTAGTAGACTCATTGGCGATTCGCATGCAGTATCAAATGCTTATGCGCAACGGGAAATTCACATACCTCTTTCTTTGGCGCGGGCTTCGCGGGAGATGGGTTGGAGCCTTGACTAGACTTGCCGCCAAAAAAGCTCCGAATATCAGCAGGCATGGCGACAGATGATTAACGGAGCATGCCCCAGAGTGCAATGGATGTGCAGGATATTTAAGCGACCGAGAAACGATGCACTGATGCACACCCAACTAGCACACCACAGGCAGCTTCCCAAGAAACACGACGCGCTGCCTGGAGCTCTCCGGCTGGAGACGTGACTTAATTGGCTTACCTAAGGGTGGCACGCGTGTGGCACGTGCGCAGCACTTTCTTCCCTTTCGGGAAGTGGAATCGGCGCTGGAGTGAAGCCGATGGCCTGAAAGTCAGTCTGCGGTCCATCCATCATCCTTCCGGTCCCCCATCCAGTCCAAGCAGGGCCGATTGCCACGATTCACAATGGGTCCGCAGCTGAAGATGTTCTCGGGGCCTCAGATGGCCTTCCTCCGGCCGTCGTGTGAGATTCCCGCAAGCCTCCCCAAGAAAAGTTTTTTATATCCTGACTCCGATGCCGTACAGTAGGTCTGTCGACGCCATTCACGGCTTTCCCTCTATCGCGATGCTTCTCGACGACTTCGCCTGCCCTCGATTGGCTTACCCCTAAGTTCGCCGAGAGATCCAAGTCCCCTAAAGGTCGTCCGCATGTCGCAACTGGTGGTTCTTCCCGCGGTACTACCGTCGTCTGGGGTGATTATGGCTTGCGGATGAAGGACCACGACCGTCGGTTGCCCGCTGCCTCGTTGAAAATTGCGGAGGATACGATTAAGAGACGTCTGAGGGGTATGAACTACACATTGTACAAGCGCGTGAGCGCAAACATCGGTGTCTACACCAAGGGCAACGAACAACGTATGGGTAAGGGTAAGGGAAAGTTCGACTACTGGACGGCGAAGGTTGGCGTGAGCAGAATCGTCTTTGAGCTCAAGGGTGATCTGCACGAAAAGGTCGCCAGGGAGGCCTTCCGTCTGGCCGGCCACAAGCTGCCCGGTACGTTACATCCACCTGATGATATTCTCCAATTATCAACATACGGTAAACTAATTATACAACGGCTGCAGGCCTCTGGGAATTCGTGAAGAAGGGTGACCCGCCGGTCGTTGGACTGACGAAACTTGGCAACGGAGTGACTCTGGAGAGCCTCAAACGCGCACGCAGAAGCCCGGCCCTCGGTACTCAGGACCTACCGAACCCCCCGACCTCGACCTCGTCCTCCTCCAGTCCCTCTGCTCCCCAATAATTCAAAGCGCTCCCTCTCAACCAAACCTCTCAATCACGCCAATTCACCCCGGTTCAATCACAACGTCATGACATCTAAGCCCCGACGCCCGAACCAGGTCCATACCCTTGTTCTCTCCTGATTTTCGCCGCCAGCGCAGCACCCTCTTCTGGGGTTTCGGGCTTCAGGTCTTGTGTACATTATCATCATCATCAGCTTCTAGACTCTCTATCTGTCATGTTTCATTTATTTTCTTTCCCGCTTTGTCGCAGGTGTCGATGTATTTTTCATATGAATATGCGGAGTTAGGAAAAACGAAATATCAAAACCAAACCTGTACCTACCTATATCCGTGATCCCCGTGAGACCTGTTGTAGCCTCGCCCTTTTCCAGCTGTCGTGCTAGGGGCGTATCCCGATACTGATCCTCGTTTTCGTTCCGGTCGTCGCCGAGTGTAGTTCTCATCTCGCTGACGGTATGTTGGGAGTGGCCTATGAGCAACTCAGCTCCTATGCTTGTGACATCCATGGCAAATAATAGGTTCACTTACCACCCAACTGGCCAGTCTGCTTCTTCGGGGTCTCCGTATACAACCGGATAGATTCATACCTGTTCATATACAACCATTAGCATGACTTGAATTCCCTAGAGACAAGATATAACAGACTAGACGTACTGCGTATTCTCACCACCAGGCTCGATATCCATGAGATTAGTGTCAGACATTATTCAAAGTAGATATCTTCTATGTACGATACTTAAGTTTTCTCAAAGATAGTTAGGTAGTTCACAAAGTCTCTGGGAGAAGTCGGGGGATCTGGGTTATGGTTGTGGTTGTGGTGGATCATCGTCCATGGTACGATGACGTAGTCTACCACTAGCCATCTAGACTATCAAGATGTCATCTCTACCAAGGTTTTGTGGGGAAGTAACGCCCACTTCGTGTTTTGTTCCTGGCTGTTTCCGGTTGATTTTGTCCTCAATCACATGTATGTGGTTGGGTTTGGGGATACGAGGGTGTAGTTGTTGGTTGGGGCACGGTTTGTAGGTACTTGATTGGATGTCGGTCGAAGCGCTGTGAGCTGAGACTAGGAATCTAGCGTTCATGAAATCAATGCAGGATGTAAAAATGCTATGCTTTTTTTTAAAGATACAGGAGTAATGCATGCTAGGAATACGGAGGTAGTTCAGTTACGAGTCGCATAGTGGCCCGGATAAGATAAGATCTCCGGTAGTGTACAGTGAAGTCATTAAGAATCGTTGGGTATTATTATCTTCGTAATTTTAGAATTCCATGCCCATCAGATAACTGTGCACGGGTTAGTAAATCAATCAAGCAGTCTTGGAGTATTAGGGGGCAGTCGAACCTTTCGTATATGCGCATGAACTTGGCAACGGATGCCTCAAGGTGAAAGATTACTTTCTGCAAAAAGTATTAGTCACGTATCATGGGTGTTCATGTAGCAAGTAAAGCTCTTACGCTGCCTTGAGTGATCCTGTGCTCATAGAATGCCGACCACCTGATGACATCGGGCTTTAGAGCATCGTCGACCTTTGTAATGAGGTTGAATGTCAGACACTAAAGTCCAATTAGCACTTCTGTTCTACAAGCCTGAACCAAACTGGTCGAACCTTGATAATGGTAGTCGGTGGTATGCAATGCGTCAAAAGATCGTATAACCGTGCGCGGACTTGCAACAGACGAGCCGGTGACCGCTCTGCCAGGATCTCCTCAGCTATCAACGCAATCAGCGCTTCCCAGTCGGGTGGTGGGATGAGCGTGTTGTCCGTAACTTTCTCACTAAAGACCATAGCAAATCACGTTAGCCCTTGCACCCAATGGACAACCAATCTAGAACGTACTTCTGAGCATAAATAGCCTCGAACATAAGAAGCGCGCGACGAAGGTTACGTCCACTCTCCTTAGCTATCCTCTTATTCAACCCACTCGCCTCAGGCCATCCCTCCTTCTTAGCCGCGTTCTTCAAAACAGTGCAGATATCCTCCTCACTCGGAGCAGCAACCCTGACCAGCAGGGTACGGGACCGGATAGGGGCGATGATATTCGAAGTGCTATTCGCCAACAAAATCAACCTCAAGTTGGGACTATATTTTTCCATTGTCCGTCTCAGCGCTGCCTGCGCATCACGGGTGAGATGATCGGCCTCGTTGATCACAACGACCTTGAAGCGCTGTTTCGCCGAGAGATCAACCTGCTGGGTTTGTGCAATCTCCTTCAGCAGCTCTTGAACCACAACACGATCGTAGTTCCCAACATCCGATGGGGTGATCTCCAAGTGGTAGACCGAAGACACTATGTTGAACTCGAGCTTGCGGTTGCTTGTCGTTTGGAAGACTCTGGCGTCGATCTTGATCTTTTCGACTCCGGAACCGTACAATTCTTTAAGCGTCGCGATTGTTCGTGTCTTTTTGCCTGCACCTGAAGGACCATACATGAGCAGATGAGGGAAGTCGCCACTTTGCGCCTAAAACAAACATGTTCGTGAGAATTGTACTCGAGGTAGATAGTATTGGCTTGAATTGTCTTACCAATGATTTCAGTCGCGCGGACAGCTCGGGGTGGTATGTGAGGGCATCTAGCGACCGCGGTCGCAGTTTGTCGACTAGCAAGGCCATTTTGCCGATTGAGTGTGTAGTGCTCTGGCTTGAAGCTTCTAGGTCTCTATTCAGAAGTATGCTTTCCCTTCAGAGCCGATAGATAGCTTAGGCCGAGCGCAGACGCGTCGGTCGTGACACGCGAGCTTAATTGGCGGTCCGTGCGCTACGCTGACTGTGCAGCGGATTCACCAATCAGTCCAAACCTACAATTTCATTGCAGATCTCCGTACAGTACTCAAGGAACCATGAAAATACTGTGATTTCTTTACTCCGTCTCGAAGTAAACGATGTATGGCAGTAATCCCTTAGGCCTATTCAACTTTCATATTCCAACGCCTGAATATTATACAAGAATTTGCTACCCCACCCGTTCCATACAAAAAGCTTCAGTAGGTCTCTGTATGTACATGCTCTATCTATGTTACAAAGATGGTCGGGGGGTTGCTTGGGACCACCAGGTTCAGGTTTTCATGATTGGCCCTTGTAAGAGGAGAGATATGTCTTCCGAGTTTGCTCGGATGGTCACACATCGGACCGTGTCAGGTTTCTGGGACATTCCGCTGGATGTCACCTGGCCAGGGTGATTCCGGGTATATACGTTTCAAAAAGCATCTTACTGGGAGTCTGTTGTCATAGAGCGTCTAATCGCTTGACTCCTGGTATGCAGTGTATAACGATCAGGCATGCCATTAGCTCGACGGCAATGGCTTCAAGACACCGTTGTCATCATATCGCGCCTCTGTTTCCCTTTTATTAGCCACAAACATACCCCATCATGGGTTCATTCTGGAGTCTTACTGAAGAAGGTATATGAGAGCGTAATCGTATCAATGCCCTTCATGGCCGGATCTTTGACAAAGTCGGGGTCGATGAAGAAGAACACCGGCATGTCAACCGATTCTCCAGCATTCAGCTTCTGCTCGTCGAAGCAAAAGCATTGGATCTTGCTGAAGTAAGGAGCAACTTGTCCGGGAGTGACACTGTACGTCGCTACACCAATGATATCCGTCGGGCCCTTGTTCGTCGCCGTAAAGAACGCAAGCGCTGTCTCGCCTGGAAGAACTCGAACTTCACGTTGTTGCGGGGTGAACTTCCACGGCAGAACATCCGAAACTGATCCATTAAATGTGATTCTCAAACGACGGGAGTCGGTGACCGGAGTGACGCGGGAAGAGGTATCATTGTCGCCTCCACGGTGAGTGAGTACAGGTTGACCGTTCCAACCGGTTTGTTGGCAGATCTGTAAGAATAGAGCCGTTAGCCTCTGCCGCAGACTAGAACTCAAGGGCAGGCTTGTCGAACCATTTTGTACAGAGGGACGGAGCCATAGGCAAGCGCAACGGTTCCGAGAATAAGACTGGCCGCATAGTACCTAGAACCTATTAGACGTGAACTGCAGACACCATTGCGCTCCTTTAACATACATCGTCGACGCATTGCGCTTTTGCGACTGCGGCGTATTGAACGGTGCGTTGATATTCTGCCGGAGGCATGAACTGCGAGTGAAGAATCTCCTCCCAGAGTCAACACATCGTGTATTTGTCATGGTGGCCGGGCGGAGGCCGATACCCGACCAGGGAAGCCGACCCCATGAGGAGATCGGGCGCGAGAACATTGTCAATGATTATATGCTCTGCGGGGAGATATGGAGAGATCCTATCTAGAACTCCGATTGGGATAAGGTACCTGAGGCACGTGATACAATCACTTTTACGGAATATCAGGCAATGCTTTTTTGTCGGTTATAATTCACCGCCTTTGGTGCCGCTTGGGTTGATCTGCGCGCCCGATGATAGCCGGAGCTTGTCTGTTTTAGGAAATCTTATCCCAAACTACCAAATTCAGCATCTCATTCACTTTCCTAGGGCTCCAAGCGTAGTTTGTCTAAGAAGATTTGCTTGAGGTAGGCAAGCATCTTGTTCTTCTCATTGATGCTATCTGTGGATATCATTGAAGCCTGGATGAATGACAACGAAAAAGCAGGTTTGAACATCTGTGATACCGTACTATTGATAATATATACCACCTTTGGATTTGGTAGCAAATGTTCATACTAGTAACGAAGTTAGTGTGGCTGAACGCCTCTTGATCATCACTTCCTACTAGGTGAACTGGAGCTTACTGGACTTCCAGTACTGTAACATGGTGCTGCCAGTTTATATGGGTCGCAGCTGAAGGAGCTTGTTGAGAATCATACTGGATACAGGAGTATCCGATGAAGCAAGTTCTACAAATTGGCCCTGTCAGCAACCCATTATCTTGCCAACTACTGAAGTGGAGGATAGTTGATCTCTTCACAACAAATATAAAATTGATGAAACGATTTCCCCTGGTTTCAGATGAGCTTCTAGACGCTCTGAGAATCTAATGAGATCGTCAGGTTTCTATTCTTGGGTTTCCCAAATTTAGGGTGCCGGTTTCCCAATAACGGGCGTCCATGATGGACCAGAAAAAGAACATGAGATCAGATAATCTTATCTAGTCGGGAAATCAGCTTGACCAAGATGTCGATTGTTTGTCCAGTGGCTCCGTCCTGAGTGAGAGAAGCCCACAAGCCTAGATATCTCGCTTTTGTCCATTCGGTTCTCGACAGATAATAATGGCATAATAATACAGATCAGACGTGCTAATGATACACTGTATAATTACAATGAGAGTGACGAAAGAAAGACGATAAGTCTATGAGTCAAGGTCCAGTCGCAAACGCCATTCGCTTATGCACAATCACGCCAGCACGCTTCTGCCGATCCGACCAAATACACCCCGAACCATATCAGGCCTTTCCTGAAGACATGTCAGAAGAATGGCGGCGCTGATTGAAAATGCTATACGTTCCCGGTGTTGATACTAGATAAGCCACAACGGTTAGAGAGTGGTACAATGTTCGACGAAGCTAGAATGGGATGGCGCAGAGAGCGGCAGGACGAGTGTGACAATCCCCAAGCCTCGCAACTACTGGGTGATATCAAATTATCTTAACTCACCTGTTTCTCGTAGTATCTTGGCAGAACAGTTGCGGCAGCCCTGGGAGTCACAAATAATGAAATCTCCTGTCGCTTCCGTGCGTTCTCCACGAGTATGCTCCAACCGCACATCAGGCATCCGGCGCCGACGCAAAGCCCAGAGTCCCACATCATTGGAGTTACTATACCACGGTGAAATATTTTGGGGCCAAGCCTTGTTCTCGCAAGACAGACAGAGTAGTAGAATAAGCTCACAAATGAAGCAAGGAAGGCAGACGAGCGCAAGGCGGCAGTTATGGGCTGTTTGAGTGATGACAGGGACTTTACTGACCGCAAACGAAAGATGATCTGTAGAGGGATGTAGGTAGCACAGGCGAACTTGAACGTTCGAGTGAATCGAGACAGAGCATGCTTTTCACAGCTATGACCACTACCCATGTGGACCATCTCACACGGTATCGGGATGGTCTTGGAAGGGTCTCCCCATTCCACGGGCCAATTATAATCTTTGCACATGGACTGAAGTAGTGGTGCTTGCCCGGTGTCTTTCCCGTACACAAAGACACCTTGCCTAGCACGGCGAAGTGCTTCGATCAGGCGGCCATCCACCTTTGCTACTTCTCCTATCCATTTACCGTAAGATCTTGGTAGTCTCTCAGGCATATAAAACCATGCCCACATCACTATCGCTGCGCTCGTGGCAAACACACCCGCATCTGTGAGTTGGGGAGCAACACGCTCCACTAGAGTCCACTGACCCCTGGACTTTCGCCATCGCCGCCAATTTGCCCAACCCATGTAGACCACCAAATCGACTGCTCTTGTAAGGCTGAAAAGGGTAAGGTCCATGGTTCTACCTGCCAACTGGGGACGGCTATGCGGCTCCGGCCTGAGCTTTCTCTGCTCTGCAGCACTTTTCGAATCAGTACCACCTTGACAATCGTCGCAATTTCTCTGCAATCTGATAGGCCTCTGATTCAATATATTAAAGCTGAACCAAGCGGATAGTAACGCAGAAACAAATCTAGCCAGTCGCATGTGAATCAATGCATTTAAACGACCGGGTTTTAAACCCAGCCTACGAATAAGATGCGCAAGACATCGGAAGAGGATGAGAGGAAAGACGGTTGAGCCCCCTACGAGAACGGCACAGAACGCTGGGAAAGCATCCAGCCGTAGAGTACTTGTCAATGTGGCGGACAACTGCATAGCCAGAGTGAGTACACCGGCTTTATCCTGGATGTAACGGATAGGGCAGCGAAAGTTTCCATGTGTGTATACGGACCACAAACGATGCACAGATGCAGCAGTCTCAGTGCAAATGGGGGTACATTAACATACCTCTTTGAGCTGCTCTCCGAAGCTTAAGCCATGCCCCCGAATTCGCCGTAGACAGGTGATTACTCTAGGGGTAGTTGAAGATAAATAACCAAGTGCGTATGCGCGTAGAATTCTGCAACGGTCAGTATCAATGCAGCCTAGTGAACCGTAATCGATGCGCTCGACGTCACCCAGAAGTGGCCGGAAATGGGAACAATCGATACTTACGGCTGTAGAACACGGATACTGCTCTGATGCTGGCGAATGATGGTGACAGAGTCCATGGTGCATCCAACTCATTTAGTCCATGACCGTCCCATTGGAGTCGCGATTTATGTTGTGAAACAACCTATTTGCTGGCGTCAGACTGTTTCTTGGGAGTATACCACCGATAACAGGATCGAGACCATGACCACAAAACGAGATAAAAGAATCCTGCAGAAAATCAAAGGAATTGTGGCAGGACATACTGCACTAAAATCCAGGCATTTCTAGCCGGGCCAAAGATCTTTGACAAAAGAGGAAACTAACACAAACACTTGGCTTCGCGGCGGTTACCCAGAGTGGTACGTGCTCCGTGATGGGCAGCCCTTTTTGTATGTAGGATCGGCCGCGGATCCGTGCGACGGACTATTAGAAAATCGACCTCGGTCGTTCAAGACACGAGGAATGGCCGTTGACCCAGGTGTGGTTCAGGGGTTACAGACCAGGCGGAAGGCGACGATCCCCCGTTATGCCACGCTCCAAACTTGGGGTTTATCAACCAACCGCTATCCGTCACCTGGGGAAACCAGCTCGTGTGATGGAGCCAAGAAAGTATGGACTCCAGTAGACACAATGGTAGCGAATCGTCCAGATCGGAGGAGGCGGAGCTGTTCTATGGCTGGCCTTGGTGAGGGATGATCAAGGAAAAGAATTCCTGTCAGCAGGGAGGAAACAAAAAATGTAGACAGTGACTGCATGTTAATGGGGATGTGGATAGGTGGATGGATAGATTGGATGGGCACCAGAAATGGGAATCGATCGGGCCGGATAAGGTCGAGTCACCCCGGACTGGGAAATTGGTCCGATTCATACAGCCTGGAAACCAGAATTACACGATCTTGCCTTGTGGCTTTGCTGTCAATTGGTCGTATCAATGGTAATTGCTTTACGTCACGCGACCTCCGCCGGAGCGCCAGAATTTTGCATGTGATTGCCTTGAAAAGGCCGACGGATTCCCAGCGACGAGAAGCAACTTGTGTGGTGACTGACTGAATGCTACGATCGATCTGTCTATCTCTGGTTACTACTCTCCCCACCGTCCATGATCCCCGGATTCCGCCGTCAACCCTCCCGTCTATCTGTCAGTTTCAATGTGGGGGATGCCTTTTCCGTCAAGTGAATTTGGTCTTGTTGACGGTGTTTCGTATCCTAGACCTCCAGACATTCGCCCGTACTCTCCCGGCACCATCGACCGTTGATACTAGCCTTCGCAACCACCGTCCCGTATAGCTAGCTAGCTTCCTATCTTCTGGTGATTGGTATCGCTGGAATCTCTTGAAGGCATATTGTTATCGCATTCCTGACAGGGCATTATTCTCTTTCCCTGCATCCGCTTTGCCGGTCAAGGCATGTTGGCACTGTCTTTCGGCGCTGCTCTCATTCAAGACTAGCACATGCTAGTCGAGTTTCTTTGCGACATTACATATTTGCCTTCTTTCGCTCATCCACTATCATCGCCATGGAACTAAACCGGTCGGGGCAACATAATGGCCAGAATAGTCCGCAGCCTGGCCCTTTTGGCTGTAAGTGATTTCCTTGGTTGTTGCCATGTCCTGTCTAACATTGAGGGGCTCTAGATTCCTTTCTCTCTCCTACAGATACCCCATTCGAACCTGCTCCTGCGCCACCTCCCGGGCCGGCGCTCTTGGATCACGATGAATCATTGATGTTGGATAACTTCTTCACTACGATGAACTCAAATCAACTCTCCAGCGACTTTTGGCTGCCGAGTCAGTCAAACAAGCCATTTGGCAACACTAACTTCGACTTCTCTGATGAGCTCCTCCCCCCGACTTTCGAAGGGTCCACGACATCTCTTTCATCACAGCCATCGCTCTCTCATCGCAGCATAGATAAGCCGCTTATGGATGTGATGCCGGGGAACCTGGGTGCCAACTCAGATATATTCGCGGCTGCTTCCATGCTATACCATAATGGGATGCATGGGGCCGAATTCAATACCAACTTAGGATCACATTCATATCCATCTCCGGACATAGATTTCAGCAGCCTCAGAATGTCCACTCATGGGAAATTTCAACCGCATCCCAGCAATATGCCCTTGAAACAGCCCAACAGCTCATCCCGTCCTCGGTTGCCCCATGGGTATCATACCTCTGAGATGCTCTTCGATGTCCGTGAACCGATATCGCCTGAACAACAGCATACCGCCAAGGTTCGTCCACTTCATTGGGGCTCCGATGAAAGTTTCGTGGATCAAGGTTACATTGCACCGCCGGATCAGCCAGATGAAGAGCAGCGCACGAAAGAATTGCTCGGTCACTTGGCATGTTTTGAGGCTCAAAGCAGTGCCGCAAACACTCGAGCGCCGAGTCCAGTGCGTGTCACTGGAAACTATGACGCGACATGGACGGATACAGATGCGGCTGGACAACTCAGCTCTCTGCGCAGAGAGTTCAGAGACAGCATGGAAGATCTTTCCCAACCCAAAAAGAAACAAAGAGTTTTGGTTAAGGAAGAAGAAGACGACGACAATACGGATGAGGAAAGTTCGCGGCCAAGATTAAAAAAGTCCAAGGCTTCATCGTCAAGACGAATGTCACATGACGCCGTCCGGAAGCCAAGGCTTTCTCAAGGTCCAAAGCCCGCACGAGAGAACCTGACCGAAGAACAGAAAAGAAGCAACCATATACTTTCGGAGCAAAAGCGAAGGAACTTGATCAGACAAGGGTTCGATGATCTGTGCACGCTTGTTCCTGGCCTAAAAGGCGGCGGCTTCAGCAAGAGCGCAATGCTCACGCAGGCGGCCGACTGGTTGGAAGAAGTATTGCGCGGCAATGATATACTCAAAGCACAGCTAGCGGAGCTGAAAGCCATGAATGGCTTGGTGATGCCCCGGTAGTTACCTTCAATTATGCGACCATGATCATAACTCTTATTCTATCGAAGGCATTGGCTGATCTCCACCCATTTGTACATTGAAGCAGTTCAGCGATCTTCTGGAAGGATGCGCATTGTTCAAACGGAAATGCAAGCGTTTGATTTCACGGCCTTGATTCCTCCATCGACCAGGGGTGTGATGTACCGCCCACCTGGTTGCCGTCACATTAATTATCCCGGCCTATTACATGTCACCCCATAATACCCACTTGGATTGGCGATAATGGTTTAATTTTTTAAATACCACATCGATCTAGTTTGATGCATGCATAATGCTGAGAGAATAAGCTCTCCTGCGAGATCTTTTTGTTCTTCATTGATGCACTGTCTCCATTGTTTCCTAATCACTTATCTAAGTGAGGTAAGGACCATTAGGCTTCAAAATCGTATATCCAACCACTAGGACGCAGGGTGTCTGGTGCTCAACAGATATACATATACAAGATGCGATGTTCGTATGCTACTTCATTCAGTATGCCCACGTGAACAGTAGAGGAACTTTGAAAGATGCCGTAGTAGATAGATGAATTGATAGCAGCGATAACCCACAGTCAGGGGCAGAGCTACTGACTAACTCGCAGGGTGGCCCCACTAGCTCTAGGGGGCTTAGCGCGATCCGGGATACCCAATCTGGTCATGTGATCTTCTCAGCAACGGGCCAACGGCGCGTTTATTATGATGACGCTACGTCCGGCTTCCGTCTGGGCATGTGGGTGTACCTACATCAAAAGTGATCAAAGCTATATAATACAAATTATTCTCTCACTTATAGGATAATCCACAGGTCAAACATGCCTCCTAAGCGGAAGCATTCCAGCAATGGACCCGAGCAAAGGAGTGAGGCGCGCAACAAGCCTTACGCCTACTTGAAGCCCCAGGTCCGGCAGGTCTCCGAAAGGACCATCAAATCCAAGTGGTCCACACTTCCGGAGCCTGTTCAAGACAGGGTGCGCGACATGTTTCGGGCCCTGGAGCGTCCGGTTATCGTAAGACAGCAGAACGAGGGCAAACGTATCGAAGCACAGGCTGCTGTTCAGGCTGTTGTGAAAAAGTATAGTTCTTTGCCTTCTGGCTCGAGGAGAATGATCATACTAATTTGTATTTCCCCATTGTATAGTCTAGGAAAAAGGCTCCCGCGCATGCCATTTCCTCCAGTTACGAAAGACTCTGTCTTTGAGTACGAGGCAGCGCTCAAAGAACATGTAAGTAATGCTCAATTAAACCTCTTTGTCACAAGGTATAACTGACATATTTTGCAGTGCTCCTTGGAGGCTACTTTAGCCACCGTGACTGATAGTATTGATCTCTTAAAGGCTGAAGTCGAAAAGGAAGAAGCTATGCTCGAAAGAGAGAAAAAGCAACTCCAGGAGATGGAGAGGAATGCGAAGCGAGCGGAAGCGGAGAGGAAGAGGCAATCAAAGAACGTAAGTGTGACCTTGATGCGGATAACTCATGAATTTTACGCTGACCTTTTCTAGGAACATCCTGTTCTGCGGCAGGTCGACAGCTTGCCTGATGAGTATAATCAGAAGCAGACCGAGTTTACCCTTGCGGGAGGAAAAGAAACCCAGACGACGTTCGACGAGGTGCGTTTTCAGCTCCCCTTGTACCTTCGCCTGATGTCCGTTGCTGACTACCGTGTTTAGCTTGAAAATGACCCAGAAGTCTCGAATATCTTGAAACAACTGACTGGACATCTGAAGTCAATGCAAAACAACACCGCACCCGTCGCTGGTTTGAAGGACGCAATTGGCAGGTCACATGCAGCATTAAGTCTGACTTTCATGCCCGAAGACTGAACTTACAGAATTCTGCATCAATGGCAAGTTCAGAACGAGTGTGCTGTTACAGCGTGTACGACATGTGGTGCGTATATCCAAAGATGCAAGCCCATGCCAGTCTTTAAGACAGCTTGGAAAACGGGTCCATGCGCAGGACGGTATTCGACATCATGCAATGGACCAAGGTACCTGCGAGCCAGTTTTGACGCTACCTGGAATGGCTACCGTCTCAACTGTGTACAAAACCCCTGGCGGGACACCAGTGCTATACGGGGCTAAACGAATTCCCGCGCCTTGGAGACCTAGTCCTCCTATTCAGGACAAGCTAAGCCCTCATAGCGTCCTACCACGTTCTCGTCAGGAATTAGGCTCTGGGAATTCTTTAGGTTCAAGTGAAGTTTAGCCAAATATTGACAGCGGACCCCCACCAGTTGACTATAGGGAAAGATGTCCAGTGGGCTTAGAGGAAGGTCGTGTCTGGGGATGCTAATGAGGCATCATCTACGGGTTTTTTGCCACCCTAAAACCACTTAATACAACACCTAATTCTGAAGAGGAAACAAATTACTCCATTGCCTACTCTACAGAACAGCTTAATGTAGGAACATGTGGCTGCATATGCTAGGAGCGAGTTAACCGAGGTAGAACCCTTGTAGCTATTTCCCATAACAGATAGTCGCTCTATATACCAACATCAGAAATACGAGGATCCTGTTGATTGTGTATCTACGTGATCGCGACTCAAACAACTGATATTGGCTGCTTTGCTTTCTGCAGTGAGGATAGCGTTGCACATGAGTTAGCCGCTCATATGCTTTTCCGAGGCTACTAACCGGTTCGCCGCTGCCGGCCCCAATGCGGAGGGGCCCGGGAAATGAAAGATCCAAGTCCCGCACCAGCGGGGAACTTCGATGAGCCGATCGCATCGCGCGTGCCCTCACATTTTCACGTTACAGATCAGCCCGATCCCCTCGCCCTTCTGCTTAATCGGTCCATTCAAGCCCAGTCGAATGTCTGCAGACGGCTATTCTGCTCCCCGTTTGTGTTCCGATCGACAGCAACAGTGATAACCACGAACCGAACCCTGCGCAACACCTTTGCGCCTAGCGATCAATGACGGAGAAAACTGCGGCGTCAACGGGTCCAGGCCCCGATCAACAAACCAGCAATGGGACAGCAGATAGAACAAAACCGGATGTGACGGAGGAGGAGCAGACTGGGGCAGATGCGAGTGCGAAAGACAACTCGCAGAATACACCGTCCCTCAAGGCGGACGGTGCCGCCGCGGGGGCTCACTCAAGTCCTAAGAAACGTCGCAAAGTCAATCATGGTATGGCGCTATTTGCTATGCACCCTACAAGGATCCAGACAGCGACTTGCATTTTTACCTTGTTGTTTCGACCACGATGCTAACCAGAGTGCCACGTTGTAGCATGCGTTTATTGCCGACGATCGGTAAAGTCTTTCCCCTCAAACAACATTACCTTCCTCGCCCCTCACTTCAGTCAACACGAGCCGACATCGTCCTTGATACTTGTTGGGCTCAAGGTATAGAGGAGTAATTTGCTAACTGAAAGACACTCGCTCGCGTGGCACAGCATATGACTTGCGACTCGGTACGACCCGTCTGAGCTCTACCCTCCAGCGCATTCCCGTGGAACATGGAGTGCAATCCCTCTTCGAGATTCCAGTTGCTGACGGTTGTTGCTTTGCGGGAAATGTAGGAGCGACCCTGCACGCGATGCATAAAACGGAATATTGGCCACCTTTGCCACGATGAACCTCGGGAACCCTCAAAACGGTCACGGAGCGAAAACGATCACTCGGCCGCTGATGACGAGGGCTCTTCTAATAATGAGTACTCCGGCGTCCAAATGCCCAGAAACGTCGACGGCCCAGATGCTGCAGGCCAGCAAATCATACCCGACGGGACCATCGGCCTACCCACCTCTTCTGTGACTTCTGTGCAGCAGCCTGGCAACATGGCTTCTTCTGGCCAGGGTCTTAATGCTCAACAGCAAAGTGAGTGCCACCCTTATAAAATTGTCCAGTGTATCATATTAACTTTGGGTAGTGATTGGGTACAACGAATGGATTGGTGGACAAAGCCAGTTTCAGGACATGCACACGTTTCACCCTTCTTACATGTTCAATGCACCAGAGGTCACTAATGAGTACAACCTTCTTGGTGACTTTTTGAGCAATAGCCTTTTGGATGATGGAGGAGTATTCCAGAACGATGAACTGCAGGGTATCTACTCGGACCCGTCGCTACTCAATTCCATGGCGACTCTGGGAAATTCGAATCAAAGCCTTCTTCAGCAGTCCCAACCTGCGCAACCTCAACCGAATCAACAGGCCCAGGGCGAACCTTTACAAGGGCCTACGCCTGCAGTGAGCAATGATAAGGCGAGAGAGACCTATTACATGACCGCAGCAGATCCATCAGGGTCCGACCCGCCAGAGGAGCGGATGAACAAGCTTCTCAAAGCGAAATACGACGCGGGACTTCTTCGCCCATTTAACTACGTCAAGGGTTATGCCAGGCTGAATCAATATATGGAGCGACACTTGCAACAAGCCTCGCGGCAGAAGATCCTCCGACAAATAGATAAATTCCGGCCAAAGTTCCGGGAGCGAATGCAGAGCCTGACCGACATTGAGCTCATCCTCGTGGAGATGTGGTTCGAAAGAAGCTTGATGGAATATGATCGAGTTTTTGCTAGTATGGCCATTCCTGCCTGTTGCTGGAGACGAACGGGTGAAATATTCCGTGGCAACAAAGAAATGGCAGAGTTGATCGGCGTACCAATCGAGACTCTCCGAGACGTAAGTGCATTCTGCAGAAATCTCTATGACAAAAATCTAATATGACTGTCATACTCAGGGAAAGCTTGCTATCCATGAGATTATCGTGGAAGATCAGCTAGTGAGCTATTGGGAGAAATTCGGAGCTATTGCTTTCGATAACACGCAAAAAGCCATGCTCACAAGCTGCACCCTAAAGAATCCCAACTCCAACTCCCCCGGAGATGGGATCCCCTGTTGCTTCTCGTTTACTATTCGAAGAGATACCCATAACATGTGAGTGAGCTCATCAGATGATGCGGTGGCAAGGTGCTAACTGCTGTTGATATAGCCCATCACTCATTATTGGGAATTTCCTGCCGTCACAGCGAAAGGTCAAATAAGCCCTGGAGTTTTTTTTTTTATCATTTTATTTCTCTATTATTGCCCAGCAAATGTTCGCGTGGGCTGATGCCTGGTTACTGTCTTCTTTCTTGGTGCTTACTGGCCCTTCTGATGGAGGAGCCTCGCGATATTGTTTCCTTCATACCCTTCTGTCATTGATTTATACGGCCTTTAAAAATGTACCATAACATCTTCAAGGCGTGACTCGTTTCCAAGGGAAGGTTAATTGTGGTCTTGCAACGCGAACCGAAAATGGACTAGATAGGTCAGGTGTCATCTCGTACTTCGCTCCGGGTGTCGACCGAGTATCCGTAGGACTACATTCCTCATCTTTAAAGCCATTAGGACAACGACTAGAGTTAACCACTAAGCGCTGCTATTGACATGACACATCACAGCTCAAAAGCACACATGGACGTCGTTCTAGGTGCAGCACCTTTCCCGCATGCCGTTTCATACCTCTCATTGCCTCATCTACTAAGAACAAAGCAACAGACTTCGCAGCTGAGCTAACCAATAGCCTCGTTATCGACCAAAAGAAGCCTCATCTTGGTCTAAATGATAAAATCTTGGCTCAACTGGATCGGCAATTCAAGCACTTTCCTCTGCTGCCAGCGAGTCCCTCGTCTCCGACTCGTCGCGGGTTTGACCAAGAAGGAACAAAGCTATGGAATATTTGCATGCAACTCATGACTGTCTATAGAGACAGAAGTGAAGACCTTCTCGTTGCGTGCAAAGGTACTACTGTGGGATCCAAAGAACACAGACTTTCGCTGAGTACAGCATAGTGAAGGCATTCGCTTACGCGATGTTGGACTATGCCGCACCATATCAAGGCCAGGGTAAGTATAACACACTATCTATTATATGGATTCAAGACAGCTAATATTACCAGGAAGCAACAGGGCCTTAGAGGCAGCCTTCAGCATAGCAATGACGTGCATAGGTAAGAGCAGATCCTTGTTGCTTTCTCCAATTTCCCTTGCACGTAGCTCTAATATCTTGAATATAGACAACGACTGTCTCAGTCTAAGCCAGAAAATCATCGAAGTCGCAGCTGTGCGGTTAGATAAACTTGAGAGATATGAAAGCGATGTCAAAAATTCTAAGCTTCAACAATATACTATCGAGTACTACATGATTCGTGCCCACTTGGTATGGTCTACCCGTCTGTAATAATACATCAGACTGACAGCTGGGACCTATGTAGGCCTGGCTGCAGGGAAGACTCGACATCGCAGAACACTTGTTCTCGAAGATACCAGTATCTGATAATGGCAGGGGTCAGGCACGTGTCATGGACATATGCTATAAGATCGGTAACTGTGCAATTTCACGCAAGCAGTATGATGTCTCTATGAAGTGGCTAGGAAGAGCGTTGAGGGCATGTGAGTCCATTAGGCATATGCAACAGGCATCGATACTGTCAAACGAGGATAAAGAGCTCTTGATACTTCATGCTTCTGGTAGGTTGCTCCTGGTTAATGATAAAGTGGAGTTTGTTCACAAAGAACAGCTCGTGCCGGTCTATATCTTGATTATGAAGAGCGCAGTGGCTTCCTTGCTGAAGCCCTGGATGCATTGAAATCTGTAAGTCATATTATCCACTTGTTATATATTGCTAATGTTGAACAGCGTTACGGTGGCATGTTCCCTGTCCAGGCCATCCAACTTGAGATGCTGGCCAAGGAAGGACCAGATGAGAATGTCTTTTCGCAAGGTGACTGAATTATACTTTGTAATTGTTTTCCCTCCTCGACTGACATAAGAGTTGACAGTGCTACAAAGTACCATTGAGTCGCCTGAGCTTGAAGACTCACACCTCGCAATGTAATGGCTAATATGAACTCGCGTACGCCGTTCGGTACTAACAAAGTGGGTGTAGCATCATGTATTATATACAGAAGCTGTTTAATACATCGTGAGTGTATCAGTCACATCAGTCTGCTCATCTGACAAGTAACCAGTCCCGAGGTCTCCATCAGTATGCTCAAGCAACTGCTCGAACAGGTCATTCTTCTCCCTAACAACGCAATTTCACTCGAGAAAGTCTTCATAGCATTCGTCTATGGATTAATGCGGTCAGAGAAATGTGCAAGGGCTAGCTTCGAAATCTTCCAGGAGACAATTACCAGCTTGAAAAGGCATCATAAACAGCCTCTCAGTAAAGCGGCAACAGAAGCAACACTTATCGTACGCTAGCCCTTCCCACAGCTCCAGCTACTATACTTGGGCTCATAGAAATACAGCTTATCTGGAAACATGTCAATAACGCAATATCAAATGACGATAAATCAGTAGCAGGTCAATGGTGTCTTTGTTTGTTCGAAGAGCCAATGGTTCAAATTTCAGCTGCAAACAAGGCCAAGCTTTTTAGGTAGCAGGCCCACACCTATAAGATCTGTCCCAGAACAGGATCTAACATGGGGCAGACAGTTTCTCATGTGTACTGCTCATGATTCGAATGCCTCACAAGCGATTGATATATTCAATCGAATGCCCGATGAATGTAGATCATGTCCGTCAACATTGTATCTCATGTACAGACTGAGTCTGCAGAACAGCGATCCTACAGCATGTAAGTAACCCCAGGTGTTCGTTATAGACATCTAACCCAAAGAAGCAAGCATATATCTCGAGTCGCTCCTTGAGGATGTAAAAGCCATACCCTACCTCTTGTCATGTATAGGAGAAGCCTTAAGGCTTGGGAAGACTCAGCAGGGACTGGAGAGCTTTGAGCAAGTCCTGAAGTCCGTAAAGTGGACTGGTTCAGAAGGATGCCATGTCGCAAAGCTGTTACAGTATGGTTAACCTCCTCTATTGAGCCACTCGTGCTGATCTCTAAACATGCCTGTTATTCAACTCGTGTCCGCCGAGCTCGAGAAGTGCGGATGGGAAAGTGAAGAACTACTCAACAAGATTCAAATACTAATGAATCAAGGTAAGTCTCACGTAGCAGCTTAGTAGGTATTGACATATTAGCCAGGATTGGTTATTGCAAGTCGCGGAGGACCAGACAGCTGCATACTCTCCGTTACAGAGCTTGCATGGCTAGCCAAGGCCAGCTATAGCATTGCATCCAAAGTATTCAGAGCAACAAGTCTAGAGCCCGTCATGCATCTACTAGACATCTCTATCAAAGCAAGTATAAGCCTTCCGAAGCGAGTGGATTTCTTCTAATATAGCATAGTTCGCCGAAACCTGCCAACACCCTGATATTAAAGAGCACATTGTTCTTTCTGAACACTATCTCCTCTGCGACTCTCTCAAACTAGCCAGAATTGCGATAGAAGCCCGCAAGGAAATCGGCGCCGCCGAAAAGGTTCGCTCTTAGCTGACCTCCTACTATATAGAGTCTAATATAGCATCCAGCAAAAGCACTACAGCGCTATACGTAGGATCAGTACACACTTCAAAGAGCAGTTCGAGAGTCAGCAAACTGAAAACAGCAGGAATAAGCCTCGATATGAGAGATTACTTTCACAACACCGCACCATTCTCGCCCTCGATCTTGAGGCATCGACCTTCCTGAATGACTGGACGGGTGTCTGCGCAATCATCGAAGAATCTTGCCCATTTATAGACGAGAAACTCAGCTCAGTATTTCTAGACCGTCTCCTCCGCTCTGATGGTCAACTGAAGCCTAAAGTGCAAGCAGTCAAGGTATGTATGTACATGTTTCCCGCTTGCTACCAGCCAGGTCTTCACATTCCTCCCCACCACCAAACATTCAAGAATCCATACACGCAAGCTGACCATCCAACGCAACATATGACAGACCCTACTCCGCACCCTCCACGCCTCGCCATCCCCCTTCCTAGACAAATCAACCTTCATCGTCAAATCCCTTCCGCGCTATATCCGCTGTCTATTTCAACTCTCCCTCGACACAGCAGAGTACCAGCTCGCAGAGTCAATTCTCGATCAGGCCCTCATATTGGCTCAAGGAAAGCAGACTGAAACCGGAAACGATAACAAGCGGCCACTGTCAGGGTATCCAGATGATGAGATACGATGGTTGTCAACTGTAGCATTTAATCGAGCAGTGGATTACTATCTCGCTGCGGCAGACATGCATTGTCGACGATGGGCCGGAAAGGCAATCAACCTGGCTGATCTGGTAGAAGACGATGGTGCACTGGGAAGGTTACTACGGGGAAAGCTTGAGATGTTGACTTGATTTGAAGCATCCATGTGAGATTGTCGAATGATTACGTGGCAAGTTTATAAGAGGAAAGGCAAGGGAAGAATGGTACTATTTAGTAGGGCATTGAGAGATCAGATCTGATGCTATTTCTCCAAGGTAAAACAGCAATGTCACCACTAAACTAATTATAGGAAACAAAGGAATAAGGGTTGTAAGAAGTCTGTTTTACTAGGGGAATGAACAGTTACAAATATTTGAAGTAGATTTAGAAATCATTAAATCTGGTTTTAAACGCTCTCAGTTATGGCCGTAGTGGGGAGAGAAAAAATACCTAGATTTGAACATGATGTAAAAAAGATAACCAAGCCACGCGAAAGAACATTCATGAACTATAGAATGATACTTTTGTGTGGGAAAATCAGTGTGAAAGATGACACCCAGGTATTAATATCAACAAGACTTGAAATGGGAAATTCAGCGATAGATACATAGTACATAATGCTAGACACATCTCTTTATTAAGACAAAACTTAGCACCACTACCATGATGATATTGAATCCCTCTTCAAGCCAAAAGAAATATTTATAACCCTCGTAATCCCTCTAAAAAAGCATCCTATTCTTCCTTTCTCACCCCCCCCCCCCTTAACAAAGCGCAGGACCATCCCCATTCCCCCCACAACACGCGCCATTCTCCTTCTTCTTCTTCAAAACCTCCAACCTACAAAAACACGACGCCAAAATCGGCACATCCGCCCCGGCCAACGCCACGTTCCTCGCGCCCTCGATCGCCTTGGCCTCTTCGACCCTCCCCAGCCTCTCCAAACACTCATGATACCCATGCAACGCCCAAACATTATTCGGGTGTCTCCTGGGACGAATCAACGACTCATCCAGCCCCAAATCAGCCTTATACACCCTCGCCGCCTCCTCCACTTCCCCTTGCTCCAGCTTCAACGCCGCATAAGCATGTCTAACAGGCTGCATCCACGCCCATGGCTCACTATACGGCAACTGATCCTCCAACACAATCGCCTCGTTCAACGCCGCAAATGCCGTCTCATAGTTCCTTGCTCGGTACTCTATCTCCCCCTTCAGCATAGCAACTCCCACTGCCAGCATATCGCGGGCTTTACTATTATACGCGCGGCGGGTAGCAGGGACGCGCTCCCGGGCTGCGAGAAATAGGGCTTCTTCGGTACGGGCGGAGGGCACGTCGTTAGTCGCGGCGTAGGCGAGGGCACGGGCATAGTGGGTTGTGGCTGTTGTGATGGCATACAGCTCCTGGTCTTCCGGGAGAGAGGTGTCATTGATAAGCTCCTCCCACATGCCAAAACGGACCATGACATGCAGACGGATGGCGACGAAGTGCTCGATCCAGTCAGCCATAGGGGGCGATGTCATGCGCAGGAGAGACTCTGGGATGCTGGCTTCCATGCGGGAGACGGCATCGAGGGCGGTACGTTTCTGTGCTGCGAACATGGCGGCGTAGATAAGGGAATGGTAATCGTGGAGGCGGTAGAAAGTGTAGAAGTTGTTGTGGCCGGCTTTAGCAGCGTAGCGGTCATCCGCGAGAGTGGAGCGGTAGTTGGACCGGATAGAGGCGCGCCAGTCGCCGATCAGGATGTCGAGGTGCGTGGGCATGTGGTGGATGTGGCCGGCGTCGGGGACAAGATCACGGAGGTGGTCGGCGGCGTAGATGCCCTTTTCTGGGGTCGGAGACATTTCGATGTAGTGGATGTAGAGGTGGAGGAGGCCTGGGTGGGAGTAGGCTTGTCCGTGGGGGTGGGAGGTGAGAGCGGATTCGAGGACAGATTGGACTTCCTTGGTGGGAGCTTTGGGGTTGGGTTGGGCTGTGAAGAGGTCCCAGAGGGCCCAGGGGGTGATATTCATGAGGGCGTCGGCGTAGAGAACGGCCATGTCGAGGTCGTTAGGGAAGCATTCGTAGATGGGCTTCATGGCGGCGGCGTAGGCCCGGTTGACGGCGCTGTAGGTTTCGAGTTGGAGGGGAGTCGGGGTTGGGAAGCGCTCGGTTATGGCTTTGCAGAGGCCTTGCTCGAGAGGAGTGGCGTTGGTGGATTGGGAGAGAGCGAGGGCTTTACGTGAGGCTTCATGGCCGCGTTGTACGCAGGTGTGAAGGTCTTTGCGGTCGAAGCGCTCCCAAGCTTTGTTGTAGTTGGGGCCTACCGCGTAGGCGAGACCCCAGTGGCCCATGGCGAAGGTGGGATCGTGGGCTATGGCTTGCTCGAAGCAGTGCACGGCTTCGCCGTGGTGGAAGGAGTAGACCCAGATGAGGCCGCGATTGAACCAGATGCGCGCATCTTCGCTGGTGGTGGTGACGTTTCGCGAGTAGGCGCCGAGGTTGAAGTAGGGCTCGCTGGCGGGGATTGCTGTGAGGGTCATGGTCATGGATGGGTTCAGAGTAGTAGTAGTAGTAGTAGTAGTAGTAGTAGTAGTAGTAGTAGTAGTAGTAGTAGATTGATTGGGAAAAGATAAGGATTATGCCTGTAATTTCGCTATAGAATTATGCATGGAGGGAGAGTGGTATTTATACGGTACCATTAACAGTGGAAAATACCATTGTTTCTACTACTACTACTCCTACTCCGTAGTCGGAGCCTCGATCAAGCCATACGATTATCAATTGGTTAGGGGTGGGGACACATGCGACGACGATAAGATTGAGTTTTCAGACGCCGATCAGTCACCGAAGTGAGAGCCATCGAGTCATCCTCTCACAATCTATGGGCCTGATTTTGAACCTACGTAGCCCGAGGTATCACAACTCATTGCAATTGTCACAAATGGAATGAGAAGGAGTTTACAGTACTCAGAAAGTTTCGGGAACAGACGTTCGCAGTGTATACTCAGAGTAGGTGTTAGAACTGGTCTCCCCTATCAGATCTCATCATCCTCTCCCAGATGATACTGAAGATTGGGAGGGCTTGCTCTTTCTCATAATATTGATGTATACTGATACGTATTTATAAACTTCATTCCTGTCTGACGAACACCTCAATTCCTCTTACAAATAGCGCGAATTGAATCCCTTCGGAACTCGACCCAGTCGCCGAACCCCGCGGCCCGAAGATCTAACTGCAGAGTACCCATGATTCATTCCCCAATTATCAGTGATCTAATTACTCTATAATAATAAACATACTTCTCTACGAAGGAAAAAAAAAAAAAAAAAAAAAAAAAAAAAAAAAAAAAAAAAAAAAAAAAAAAAAGGCCCGATTCACACACGACACAACAGGACTCAACCTCCCCTCATATATTATCAGGAACCTTCGCAGACGACCACGCCCTAATCCTATCCCCCCAATACCAAAAGCAAACCGGCACCGGCACCAGAGCCACACAAATCGCCGCCAAAACGATGGTCGCCCTCTGCACTCCCAGCCCATCCACCATCTGATTAGCAAAAAGAGGAAACGCCGCCCCAAAGATACTCCTCATGGATCCGTTAACACCCATGGCACTATTCGCCATACTGGTATAATTATCCACGATGTAGTTAAACCCCTGAATGAAGAGCAAATACATGCCGGCGCCGATCAAGAAGCTTGCACAGATGGCACTGGGCCAGGGGATGGTGGCCGGCGTAGCGGTGCCTGCAAACCAGAACATCCCAATGGGGACCAAGATGCCGCCGACGATCATAGGCGGGAGACGGGCTTCGGGGATGAAGGTGACGCCGTCGGGAGCGTGGCAGTGGTGACGAAAGTAGACTTGGTTGTGGATGATGATGCCAAAAGCGCCAGCGAAGACACCGCAGATGATGGCCAGAAGAGGGAGGTATTTGAGGGCCGTGGGCCAGCCACGGTCCTCACCGAATACGACGGGGTAGGTTTGGTAGAAGAGGAAGAGAACGCCGTAGATGAAGGATTGGTAGAGGGTGAGGAGGGCGAGGATGGGTTGCGTGGTGAAGAGCCCTGAATTTGCTTGTTAGGTGGCCCATTAATAACCCTCGATGATGGCAATAACCCACAAAAAGGTCGAATCAGATAGGCCCTTGCAATCTCCTGCAGACTAATCCCCTCCTTATCTGCTGCGGTCTTGATATCCAGATTACCTGTCTTCCTCCTAAGTGCCTGCCCCTTCTTGCGCAGAATCACTGGTGCGTACGTCTCCGGATAGACAAATGCGCAGAGCAGCGACGCCCCAAGTCCCACGATGATAACTACCCACATGTTCCATCTCCAGTCGAGCGTCGAAGAGGACATGATGAACCCTCCGAAAACAGGACCAAACGTAGGTCCTGAGAAGACGAGTGAGACTGCCAATGCCATGGCAATCCCGCGATGAGCCATTGGCCAGCAGTCGCTAATCACACCGCCGAATATCGCGACTGGCGCAACGCCGAATAGCCCGCCAAAGAAACGACCAAGCAGGACGGTGGGAAGGTTGTGCCCGAGGGCGGGCATCAAGTCGAAGAGCGACGAGAGGGTGATTCCTAGTAACATGGGCCATTTGCGGCCGAATCGCTCGGAGAGAGGGCCGAAGGTGAGAAAGCCGAATATGTAGCCCTGAATTCATTTAGTCAATCTCTACCATGCGTTTCTGGAACAAACTGACTTGGGAAGGGAGGTAGATGACCGAATGAACGGGCTACTTACTACTAAGAATAAACTCGTCCCCAGCACAGCGACTTCATGGCTAATGTTGAAGTCTTGCATGAATGTCTCATTGCCAGTTTCGAATATGCTGCTGGCCACCGTTCCAATGAGATTCAGTATAGCCACCACTGAAGTGACCCAAACTCTCCGCGTAATGGACCAGTTGAACGGGAGGAGAGGATCATCTGGTCCATCGAAGTCGACCAGAGTGGGATACTCACCACTCTCTTGATCCGTCTCGGATGGAATCATTTTCTCTGATGGAGGGCTCATAGTGGTTTCAATTCAGAAGTGGAAGCCTGAACTCGACACTATTTCTTAGTCTGTCAGCTTAGGGAAAGTTGGACGGGGTTGTTCTTGAGAAGATTGCTCCAGTATATATACAATCATGTAGACTGGTAGTAAGCGGATAATACGACTTCTAAGAAATCAGCACTGCAAAAAAAAAAGAAAATAAAAAAAAATAAAAAAAAAAATAAAAAAGCCAAATATCCACTCTCTTTAATACTATAGCTCAGCTCCCATGGCTTTACTAACCGACTACTAAACCAAGCATAAGGCCCATGCTGAGATAATCAATACAGTCCCATGAATTTGCCATAATGAAAGATCCACCGACCACATACTCATGCAGTTCAATGCCTCCTATACTGTGCGGCCTGTCTGTTCTCCCGGCGGTAACGCGGAGAGCTCTCAATTATGACATCCACTATCAGGGTGACTATTCTACACTGGAACATCACCAATTGCTAAGTATCGGGCCCTATCCTCGGTGCATGCATATGAAGCAATCCTGTCGAAAGTTTGCTATATGTACTGCGTGCCAAATCCATCGGGAGAGAATAAAAAGCAAAAGAATAACCCGAGAATGCCCCAGATGGCCGAAAGGAAGCGGGTATATCTATCAATCGCCGCTATCAGGTTCAATCGCCGAGGCCCGCCACTTCCATCCACCCTTTTTTTCCCCTCCTTTTCCTTTTGTCTTTCTCGTTCCACGTTCTAGATTTCGGGGTTATCATTCTTTCAGCCGAAAGGTTATGCGTGATGGAACTACCGTTTAGAAATATTGAGAACCAGAAAGGGAAAATAATATCTACTATACTAATATTATATCCTCACGGCTCCGGCATTATCCTGCCAAATCTCTAACAGCTCAGTCCATGACAGTGCTTTTCCAAATCCTCTTCACTTCTTTAGCTACTCCTATAATTCCCTCAAAGACCGTATCCGCTTGAATAGAGCGCCCCAGAGCCTCCATCCCCGACTGTAGCTCTTCTATCAAGCGCTCCGCGTCTTGCACCCGGGTCGAACAACTACCAGGTCGGTCAAGTAAATATGAATAGCTAGCCAAATTACCAGAGCGTGTAGCCATTCGCACGCGGCACAGCACGACTGCCAATATACCAAAGCTTTGGAGCTGACAGCAAGCTAGGTAAGGTACTGAGCGTGGAGAGGCCAAAGGTTGCCATGACAGCCAAGGAATAGGGGCTTCGGCCTCAGCAGTGTCGGTGTACCGACTAGCGCTTGGGACAGGAAGACGGCGGAAAATCCGGGAAATTGCGAGGGCGGAATGCAGGCAGATGTGGACTGATTCTTGTTCAGTGAAAGGGAAGAGGGCGTTTATTTCAGCGATTCGTCCCGTAGAGAGGTGAAAATCGTGTGCTGCCCCATGAGAGGCCTGGTTGATGCCGATCGCGAGGTAGTCGTAGTAGTCGTTAGTCAGGATCGTACAATCTGGAAAGGCGCGGACTCGATGAAGTATGAGTCTGGCTGTGTGAATTAGAGCGTTGGATATGGCCCATAAATTGCGCGAGGCGTCTGCTTCGGGCCCTTCATAATTTGTCACGCAGCGGAACCGGTCGACTTCGGCTGCGAGTCTGAGGATGAGGGAGTCCAGGCTCTGGATTTCATCGCGAATGGAATATGATAGGTTTGAATGGTCACCCTCTGTGATGAGCAGGCGTCCGACCTCGCAGCTACGGAGAAGAGTTTCTTGTGCATGCATCAGAAGTGGCCATGGCTACATAATAAACACGAAGATCAATAATTCGCATCAATTCGCCCAATTGTAAGGGAATCAAACAAGGCGATAGCTTACCTCACGACATCCCCGGAACTCGGGAAATGCTGTTGTGATTCGATGGTCATCAATGGTAACAACTGGGGCCTGTTCGGCATGTCAGTCAGACGAACCACATCATACAACTCACATTAGACCAACCGAGCCAATCATAATGGATGACTGATAAACCAGGAGTATCTGTTTGTTGTTAGTATGTATGCAGACGAGAAAAACTTGCGCAATATCAGCGTGATATATACTTACCGTCGCCCACCAACACCGGCGTTGCGCATCTGAGCAATTGTCATGGGCAGTACCCTTGTGCAGTGACATGTCCATAGCAACGGTCAAAGCCTGGTTAGCCCGAATGCGCATCCTCGAGATGTTCCCCTTCTGACAACATTCATATAAGCTGAGGATCCCCAATGCGTAGACCGCTTCTAGCTTTCTGGGCACCGCAGGATGCAAAGAGCTTCGCAAGGTTTTGGCCATATCACCCTCAGAGGATGATTCGATTGAATCCTCCAGAAGCTCCAACGCGGAGCGTGCAAATAAATCAGCATAGGAACGTCGTAGTGCAATTGTCTCATGCTCTGGTGGATGCGACTCCCCAGGTACAGGCAGCAGAACTAATATTCCTGCCAGAGCAAGTGCAAGCGGCGAGACAGGCCAGTACGGCATCTCCGTGGAAGCCACGAAAGTAGACCGGATGGCAACTGCCACACACTTATCCTCATACTGAGGCACCGCCGGAGGGGGCAGAAAGGGAAGGTAAGGGTGTATGTAAATGTAGTATGCGTTGATACTGAACCCACGAAGACACGCGAAAGGGGGAAAATCAGTTCTTCAGTCTAGCAAATTGCCTTACGGACTAGCAACGTACAGATCTTGATCACATTGATAGGCTCTGATACTCCACTTGGGTACCGCCATAGATCCCAGGACATTCTCCACCACATCTCCGAGACCGTGGAGTGGGGATGAGATTTCTGTGCAGTTATTTTCGAGGGAATTGCTGCGCAGCTGTTGTAATGACTCTGTTGGCGATAAGAAATCCAATTGCAGGAGATTAGGCTCCCTGATACGGCTGTCATGGGGATAGTCAGAATCACCATTCCGGATATCACTCCAAGACCTTTCAGCCAACCGGCGAGCTCTTTTCTTGGCCAGCTCTGCAGCAGCGACGGGTCCTCGTCGGGGACCACCTCGTCGACTTGGTTGATATCGACATTCTTCCTGGTGGATGGTGCACTTCAGGGGTTTTGTTACTAGACCGAAAGGCCTCTCATTTCTTGAAAGCTAATTCCATAATGAATTGTTACTTACATTGGCACACGGCATCTGCCCATCGCAGCGAATCTTAGCAGCCCGGCTATTGATTGCTGGGGTCAATTTGCGGAATCCCTTGCATATGGTATGGTCCACATACCAGGCTAAACATGCCAGCTTCACAGGTCTAGTCGTAGCAGACTTCATCCTTCCCCATTGAGGGCTATCCCCTAATCTACTCACCCTTCCGGTTACCTTGAGCTTCTGCTCTTCCACGAGAAGAATGGGTCGTTCTATGGGGATTTTGAGGTGACGAAAAGAGAGCGCCGGAAAATTTGGGCTAGAGACTGTCTAGAAGATGAATGAGAAGAAGTGGGTCACTCTGAGTCTTCAGGATGCATAAAGTCCATGTCATTTCCCCGCCTTCGTTGTCCGGTGAGACGCATTACGCGTGTAGCGATTTCAGTTGCGTCCGAGCTGGATTATCATCTATGCACCCGTTTATCCCGCATCATCGGCGTCTGCCGCGGTCTTGGCTCCTTCGGCGACCCATCACCACCTACTTCAATCAATGGCTGAGCACGTAAAAGGGGGGATCAGATCAGGAGCTGCCAAGATAATAAACAAAATCTGGTCCTAGCTCTCTCAAGCAGGTGCTTACTTCGTATCTCTCGAAGCGAAGACCGGGGTTCAAACGCCGGTCACCTAGGCAGACCTGCGCATCAGAGCCCGAAGTCCCGAATCCTTCGCGCGCCATGCCCAGCAGACACTGTGACTGTTCGATCGCAAGTGCCATGACTATACTAGGAGATAAGCCAGTAGAAGAGTACCATCGAAGGCAGCCTACCAGCTTCAGAAGGCCACTACTGGTCAGACTCATGTCAGTTGCTGATTGGGCTTTCCCGACGGCGTCTGAACGGACAAAAATGGCTCATTCTCACAACCACTGGATTATCGCCCGCAGAAACAGGAACGGCATCTCTCAGGCATGTGTGAGATTAGAGATTAGGCAAATATACATCGCAAGGGTTGCCAAAAATTCAATAGTGGGCTAATCCAAGTCAGATATCGGCCTGCTCCCCGACCGTTTACACTGCGGTAGAGTTGATATAAAGACCGTCTGTTCGCCAATCGTGCATCACAACATATCACGTCAACCCAGAATACTGCCACCCCTAACGACTGGCACTTGGTCTTACTGAGACGCAGATTCTTTGACACTTTGATCCGAATCCCTATCTCACCATGGGCTCCATTGACATCTCTGCAGCCAAGCCGGACTGCAACCTATTCTCCGAGCGTGGTCAACACGCCGTGGAACTTGGTGCCAGTCGTATAACATGGGACATCATCAGCGACATGTGGCATCCTCAGAAGAACCCGTCTGGATATCTTTCCGTGGGCATGGCAGAGAACACGCTGCTGCATGACACGCTGCTGGAGTATATCAATGGCAACACGCATCTTTCTGCGGAACACCTTACCTACAATAACGGGAGTATGGGTTCAAACGCCCTTCGGAAGGCTGTCTCACACTTCGTGAACAGACATTTCACTCCCTCCAGACCGGTCAAGCCGGGCCACATCCTCATGACCAACGGCTGTTCCTCTGCCATTGAGCACCTGAGTTGGACATTTCTCAACCCAGGCGAGGCAATCCTCCTCAGCAAGCCATACTACAGTACCTTTATTGCCGACATCACCTTGCGGCCCGGATCGGTGGTAGTTCCTGTGGAAATGGGTGGCATGGATCCCTTAAGTCCGGCAGCAGTCGAAAACTACGAGAGAGCAGCGAGGGAATTTGAAGCACACACCGGAAAGCGAGTTCGTGCCGTTATGCTCTGTAATCCGCATAACCCTTTGGGTCGGTGTTATCCTCGTGCTACGATTGATAAGTTGATGAGGCTCTGCCAATCGCGCAGAATGCATTTGATCAGCGATGAGATCTATGCTCTGTCAGTCTGGAACAATCGCGTTGACAAAGATATTTCTTTTGCCCCTTTTGAGTCTTTGCTGTCGAGAGACACCACCGGGCTGATTGACCCTGCCTATGTGCATGTTCTCTGGGGTATGAGCAAGGACTTCGGTGCCAATGGGCTCCGAGTGGGTGCCGTCATTTCTCAGTCGAACCCCGAGCTGCACATTGCTCAGAAGTGCCTCTCACTGTACAGTTTCATCTCCGCCATGTCGGACCAGATTACAGTCTCTATCCTTCAAAATGATGACTTCACAGACAAGTATATTCAGAAAAACAGAGAAATGCTCTCCCATTCTCATGAGTTCCTTGTGCGCCTTCTCCAGAAGCACGATATTGAATACCTTCCCGGGTGTCATGCCGGCTTCTTCGTCTGGGTCAATCTCGGGAAGAAATACAGAGAGACACATCCTGGGGAGGTCGAAGTGGGACATGCGCTCACTGACACGCTGTTTCAGAGATTACTTGATAACAAGGTGTATGTGGCTCACGGTACTGCTTATGGATCGGAGAGCCCAGGCTGGTTCCGCTTGGTTTTTTCGCATCCTCTTCCTTGGCTGGAGGAGGCAATGATTCGCATAGTCCGTGCTTTAAAGTAAATGTAATTTGAGCCAGTCAGTATGTTATATACTTGATGGACAATCTTCCTATGGCATTATGAAATACAGACTTTTCTTCAAATCTCCAATTCACCAGATCGCCCATCCTTGTACATTATAGCTTGATGTATACCTGCTCTTAATATATTACAAATATGATTAGATAATCCATCCCTCAAATAAGCCGTTACTATCTCATCCAGTCATGCTAAAACTCTAAAGCTCATACCAAACTCCCAGAGGCGTGGTACCCTGAGCGATGATGCAAGGTGACAGGCATGATTGTCTACCTCACATCATAGGTGATAATCCAGTTTCAAAGATAACACGTAACGTAATGCCTATGGCCACGAACCTAACATAGTGAGTCATTATCTCAGATACCGAGATGCTCCAAGATAAACATCGTCTCCGCCTGCCATATAGTGGAATCCTTCCGACTTCAAACGGCGTTTGTTTGCTGATAAGCGACCTCCTACTCCCCCTTCCCGGGTTCTCTTCTGCATTTGCCGGCGCCATAACTGACCATCTGCACCGAATACAGTTTGGGATACTGCGGGGAAGCTTATCATCAATGAGGAATTGCGGGGAAAGTTCATGTCTGATGGCGATGCAGGAAGCGGGTCTGTCTATCTGAGGGCTTCTTGTCCGACTTTGGATTAGCATGAGATAACGCCAGCGAATGCACCCGATAGACCTATTTCAAGCTGAAACCTTAGAGCAAACAGGGGGGATACCTGGACTCAGCTGTATTAAATGGTTGACATGCCCATAGTGTCTCATATAACCGGCCGCAACATACTTTCTTGATTGAGTACGGCATTCTATTTCTTTCTGCTCCGTACCTAAATCTCTAAAGACCGTTTTGTAGGAAGACACTCCTCAAAGACTAATATGAATGTCACCGAAGCAGCAGTACTACCGACAGTTAAACATGCTGCTGCTCAAAGACACGAGCAAATCGAAACAATGAGCGTCGATATACAAGATGACACTGGAAAGGCTGAGGGAGAGATAATCGATCATGGAGCCGAGACAACGCTCCATCGATCTCTTGGAACACGCCATCTCACAATGGTCTCCCTCGGATCAGCCATCGGAATGGGCATGTGGCTGGGAAGTGGGACATCTCTAGTCGATGGTGGCCCTGCGAGTCTTTTCATTGGATATCTGATCAGCAGCTCCATGGTATGGTCAGTCAGTCAATCCATTGGTGAAATGGCTGTCATGTACCCCCTGCCATCTGCTTTCGTACAGTGGTCTACCATCTTCGTCAGTCCTGCTGCTGGGTTTGCCCTGGGATGGGGATACTGGTTTTCGTACTGGATCACCATAGCCAATGAACTCCAGGTATTACCTACCCTACCATTTGGATCTATCATCCTAGGCTTATCTGTTCTGTCGAATCCAGGGCATCATAACTATCCTCAACTACTGGACCGATGAAGTCCCCAAGGTTGCATGGATATCCATCTTCTGGGTCGTCATCATTCTCATCAATATTTGGGTCGTCAAGCTATTCGCCGAAGTGGAGGTAATTGCATCGACGGTGAAATTCGGCTGGATGTTAGTTATCATCCCTGCCCTCATCGGTATGTTCTTCAATATCTATTCATTCCAGCTACATCGACATCAACATCAAAATAAATACTAACATGCAGCTACCTTCCAACTCAGTAATCACCGCGGGCGGCTCCCCCCAAGAAGGCCCAATCGGCTTCCGCTACTGGAACGAGCAAGCATTCCGAAACGGCTTCAAAGGCTTCCTCAGCATCCTCCCAACCTGCATCTTCGCCATGGCGGGGACAGAAAACGCAACAATGGTAGCCAGCGAGGTAGCTAACCCCCGAATATCGGTTCCAAAAGCCGTGAGATCCATATGGCTTCGTCTTGGGCTCTTCTACATTCTCGGCAGCCTCATGATTACATTAAGCGTTGATCCAACCGACCCAAACTTGTTCGGATCGTCAGGAAGCAATGCTTCGCCTTTCGTTATTGCCTTCAAAAATGCAGGAATTCCTGTGATGGCGCATATTACCAACGCCGTGATCTTCATTTCGATGATCTCAACGGGGAGTATCTCTGGCTATGGTGGCTCCCGGATGCTGATGGGGCTGGCGCATGTGGGTATGAATCATAGAGTATGTGTGCTTGGTTTGCAAGAATGGGCTCGTTCGTCAAACGACTAATAGATTGCCCAGATATTCGGCAAAGCAGACCGCATCGGCCGCCCATGGGCCGGCTACATCGCCACGATCGGGATAGGAGGCGCCCTCGCGTACATTAACGTATCCAACACCGGAGCGCAGGTATTCCAATGGTTATCCAACCTAGTCTCGCTCCTCACGCTCTTCGGATGGGGCCTGATTTCTCTTTCTCATCTACGATTCCGATATAGCTGGAAGGTTCAAGGTCGGGATGAGACCCACCTTCCATGGAGAACGATGGCATATCCCTATGCGACATGGTGGGCACTGATCTGGTGTATTGTATTGATCGGGTTGGAGCTTTACTTGAGCATTTGGCCCCTAGGTAAATCGACGAGTGCGAAGAACTTCTTTGCGAGCTATATCAGTGTGATTGCTGTCATTATCATCTGGATTGGCGCGCAGATTTGGTATCGCGGCCCGCTCTGGGTGGATGCGAGGGAGATTGACCTTGATAGATGGCGACGCTACTATGCGGATCGGGTTGACGAGGAGTCAATTCCGGTGAGAAAGTCGCTGGTAAGGAGGATGAAGGCGCTTATTGAGTGAACTTGTTGGGTTTTCGGCGGTTGGATAAAGATTGCATCAGACTCAATAATAACCGAGCTAATTTATACAGAAATATATATAGATTTCGGGCTGGCTTGCATGAGCTTGGGTAGGTCCTGTATAGTGCGAATCTAGCGAGAGCTCAAAATGCTCATAGGGATCCTGTATTGAACATTGGCGATTCTCTGGGTAGTAACTAAGGGAGAAGACGAGGCATACCGTAGGCGGACGCGCAATTGCAGAATAAATAACCTCCCTACTTGAAGCAATTCGGACTCTATAGTGAAGACATTGTTGTCTTAGCTATTTGTTGGAATCCTGGCTGAGAAGTTATATCTACCAATGATATGAACAACTATAACTTGATATCAGCGGCCATGGTGCTACTGTAGTACATAGGATCTACGTAGATATTAACTACGATACCCGTACTCGGGAAATGCAACTAGGTATTGTGATTTCTGTCCATCCTGTTCATTGTACGGTAGAGATCAATACTATTCAAAGAAAAGGTGCTACTAGTTGGTTCAGTTCTGCATTCGACTCACTTACATATATTGCCATTCGGCAAGAGAGTACAACAAAGACTTTCTGCCAGAACTGGCTGTGAATGTCAATAAAATTTCTAAGGAAACTGCAGAGCCATACCAATATTGGCCTTGGATAAAGGTCTGACATGGCATGTAACAAAGTAGTCAGAAGAACACAGTCTTCTGTCGCAGGCAGCGACAATGTTTGGGTATCTTTTAGAAGGTAGGTAAAAATCCGAACGATTAATCAGAATTTGGGGGAAATGAAAATAAAAAGTCGATGGAAAAATTTGGGAATGATCCGACAGGGTGAAGAGAAGAACTCTTTGAGAGAGGACGATGGTGCAGTGAAGGTTGTAAGAGACCACCTCGCTTGGTGAGGCACACTGAACGCTCAATGAGGACAGACTAGGTCAGCTTGCAGGCGAGGGTTGGATAAAGAATTGGAAAACATGTGCCCCGAACTCCTTATACCTCCCGCGCCCCAAATATTATGCAAGAGAATGGGAGCAGAAATATCCAACACCCGCAATGCTCAAATGAGATGAAACCAGACCAAAGCAGACCCCTCGCATAATAACAAAGCAAGTCTATAAGGATAACATTGAATGCCCTGCATGTTACGAGGAAGGGCAGGGCGAGTAAAATAAAGAAACACGAAGAAAGGAGAGGACGAAAGTGGACAAGATATAAATGCGCGATCGAAGGCAGGCGCCAGTGGACCCGCCTTCGTATCTAATTCCCCTATCCGAATGAACCGTCAGGCCTAATGAAGCCTTTGGCGTCTCTTTCGAGCGTACATCCGATGACAGGATCCGGCAGGGTGTATATATGGATCTCTTGGGTGGCTCATGCAAGGACTTTTTCATTCTCCTTTCCGCTGCTCTCGGTCTCAGTTTCTGCGCTATCGCTGCTATTACTTCGATGGTTGAGAGCCCGTAGGGTCAAGTTCAGCTCTCTCTCAAGCTCCTTCTGGGCATGAATATTTCCCACTGAGCCATTAAGCTTTTTCCTGTAAGCTTTCAACGTACGGCAGACCTGTTCTGTAGACGTGTTGAGGCTTCCATAATCGCTTTTCCCGGAAAGTCTGGCCCGGGCACGAATATCAAGAGAGGAACGGCGGGATTCGCCTCGACTACTGCCAACCTTCCTAGGGCTTGCGGTCTTTGAAGTATGCAAAGAGGGTGATGTAGGATGTGACTTGTCTCGGCAAGCGCTAGAGGTAGGGGAACGGCGATTCGACGTCGATGAGGGCGTCGTGGGCGGTTGTGTATTTCCGTGCTTCGCCGGAGACAGCGAGAACTTGGAAAGTTTCCTTAGAAAGGTGGGAGAATGTCCGCGAGCTGGAGTTGGTGTGACAGCAATGTTTTCCTGTCGTTGGAGCCCGGCAAGCTCGGTTTTAGACAAAACTTTGCGTAGAGGGGGTTTAGCAAGTGTCAATTCCTTCACAGGAGCATCATCATCTTTGTGTAGGGCTGGCGAGGGCTCTGATGATGATTGAGGAAGCACAGATACTCCCCAGATCATAACAAGCCCATCAAGGCCGGAGCTGATGAGGATCCGGTCATCTGACTGGGTGGAGTCATTGGGGTAGTTTGCAAGTAGGCAAGCGTCACTCATGCCCTCTGTGTGCCCAAATTCAGCTGAAAGAAGCACGCCACGTTCCAAGTCATATACACGTATCGACTTGTCGGTGGCTGAGACTCCAAAGAGTAGCTTCGAGAAACTCTGCCTTGAGATATCAGAAGTCACGGTCAAAGAGTTCATGACAACTGTATCGCTTCCATCCGAATCTATAGCTCGGAAGGACGTGATCTGACGACCAGAAGCGAGATCATATTGTTGAATACTTCGATCAGCAGTAGATACGACAAGGACATCCGTGTCCGTAGAAAGGGTCATGGACACTGGGGATGCCTTCATCGTGATCACTCTGGTGATCAAGTAAGCAACGATCGGTGTACCACTGACCTCCCGGCTAACGCGGTCTCTAATGAGAATGGTACGATCGGCAGAGGACGAAAGGAGCTTCTCTCCGTTCTCAAGGAAGAGGAGCTGGTTTACGGCCCCAACGTGGTCATCCATAGTTTGGATTAACTCAAGTCGGTTATTGCTTCGCTCGAATAGCTGGACCATGCGGTCACGTCCACAGCTGGCGACCAAGCAAGTATCCGGTGTTGTATGTAGAGCAATGTCAGTGATTTCCCCTCCATGGGCTCGGACCTCATGTAGAGGCTCCCAAGAGGAGCCTAGCAGCATCCTGTGTCACTCTGGTCAGCAAAAGTGATGAACTTCACTCACTACTCAACAAACAATGGCAACGCACCTAAGGACACCAAATTTATCACCGGAGACAAACAAGTCCATCTCATCGGTAGCTCGTACTACTTTCAGCTCATTGGAAATATCTTCATCACAGCCAGGGGGGTGCTCCAGAACAATTGCACGCGAATCTTTGCAATTCCCTTGGGAGTTCCAAAATTTCACGCTACCCTTGCGAGACCATGTGAAGAAAGTAGCGTCATACTGGTTCGGTGTTTTGAGACCACGTATCCCAAGGACCGCATCCCGGTGAGCGGAGACCATGGTTTGAGGGGTCCTCTGGTCGACTTCGTCGCCCAATTCGTCGCCCGAATGTATCTCAATAGCATTAGTCGAGTCCACTGCAACCACACGAGACCCCAGAGACCCTATGCAGATGATTGCAGGGCCCTTGAGCGCCTGCTCTGCTGATGACCTGCCAGAAAGTGTGGGAGACAGGGGAGCGGCCGATGAGCGTATCTTTTCAAAACTGAGAGGCTGAATTTGTCCTCCCCTTCCGCCAACCCAAACACAAGAGCGGTGCAAGTCAACCGCCAAGGAAGTGATGCCAAAATCCAGGTATTGGACAACGGACAATTTCTGGGATCCCTCACTATCATCCACCAAACATAAAGCCCCCGTATCGGTGCCTACCACTGACTCACGATCGGAAAAGCTTGCTACGCTAGTGAAGGTGCTTTCGGCCAGCGAGCCCAGTAAGCAATTTCGCCCCGAAAATGCCTTGGGAATCTGGCTCGGGGAGCTGCTTGGTGCCTCCACAGTAAGGCGAGACCGAGGGGAGCCAGGCCTCGCATCTGGAAGTCTCCAAACTTTCACATGTCGGACTCCGACCCTGAAACACGAATTAGTTATTGTTCGATTTAACGCATAGCATACCCCGCTAGGACGTACGTGATTAAGGTCTGACCCATCCAACACATGTCACGGACATGGGAAGTACACTTGTTGGTTGAGTGAAGCTTTGCCGAACCAGTTTTCGGATTGACAGTCCATACGAAAAGAAACCCATCATTCACATCACCGAGCGTCGCTAGATACTGTGAATCCGGACTGAAGGCCAGGCCTCGCACACCAAATGTATGCTCTGTAAGGATCGAAAGTGGGATGTCCGAAGATGCGTCTTTCGCCGTTGAGAAGATCATAATTCGGGGACTATAACCAGTCTAACAACAGTCAGTGCATTGTTGAGGACGGCACCAAGGTTACTTGTCTTACTTCTCCGACTGCGAGGAACTCCCCATTAGGGCTGATGGCGGTACACGTAACCGCCTTAACTCTCTCGCGTGAGGACCAACCACGGGGACTACCGGGATCAGTTGTGTCATGGCATGGAGAGCCATTGTAAGCATTGCTGTGGGCGGTCGATCTCAAGCTTGATGAGAATTTTGCTCGACTGTCAGGTGTTGTAGGCGGCGTGGATTGGTGGTAGAACGATGTAACTGGATTCACACTGGCTGCCGAGGGCCGTGCCCTGAAAAAGCGTTGGTTTACACAATCCTTGTCGTCCAATTCAACGAGTACCGCCACTGAGCCTGCACAGAGGGCGAAAGACCTTCTTTGCTCATGACTCGAGAATCCATGAGGGGTAGTTGTGGTTGTTCCGAGTACTGTCCGCAGGGTCAAGGCTGTCTGATGAGACGATGCTTTGTATATGGAAGAGCGCGTTGGCGGTCTCAGGATTGGGGAGTTCGAAGGAGTAACGCGAAGCGATGAAGCGGGCCTGCTCTTTGCGCTCAACGAGTTGGTCGTCATTGCGTCGGCTTCATTCACGAGGGATCACGGTCTTTCAGTCGACAGGATTTCGAACGCATTGGTGGGCTGGGGCTTGGTATGCGTGGTTTTTATGCCAGCTTCCAATTGAAAATTATTGTATCGCTATCGAAGGTCCTGGTTTCAAGGAAAGAGCCGCAGGTCAAGCGAGGAAGGAGAAAGTGTGGGAAAACGACGAGCTTTGCTTATAAGTGACGGAACTTTTCGGTCGAGAGGGACGAGGGATCCGGTGTCGACAGCAAAGTCTCTTTTGTTCCCCGTTTATAAATTTCTTCTTCTCCTTGTGCGTGGATGGCGGCGAAGAGGCTGGTGTGAAGACAGAACGAAAAGGCGGCGGAGATCGGGGAGAAGGACAAAAGGACCGGCGAAGGAGGGGGCAGGAATCAAAATAAACACACTGGCTCTAAATGAATGACTAGGTCAGATGGTCAAAGGAAAGGAGCGAGGGAGAGAAGAGAATGTAGGGAAGGGATGATTGAGGCCTTGATGAAGCAAAGGCAGAATGTGGGCGAGGTGAGCTAGATAAAAGCAAAGCTCCCAGCTTGACCATCACCAGCACCACCACAACCATAACATTCCACGGGCGGAGAGCCGAAAAATGATGGACGAACCCTTGGCGCTGGGCTGCTTCTAGTCGTATTTAGCTTCGGGAAAGCTAAATTCGGGGCACTTGAGATCCCGTCAAGCTGATCCAAGATCCTAGACGATCATCCCTGATCCTGTGGGGAGGAGAAGCAAGAGATGCTGCCAGTCACGGCAGTGGGATGAAGAAGGTGAGATGTTTACTCTCACCACCACGTCCTCCCACTGTGTGTATGTGTCTCCTCCCATCATGGCTTGCCCAGTGATCGGGCCAACCTCCCGGCGAGATTGGGAATGAAAGAGAGGCTTGATCGACCTCCTCACAGGGCATCAAGTGGCCCCGGCTCGGTGGGGATGCTAATCCTTCTGGGTTCTTGACTTGTCGCGAGTAATCATCATTCATGACACAGCCAATTCATCCTTCTTACCACTGCCCTGCGGGGATTGTTATCAGTTGGTAGTAGAAAGAAGAAGAGATTATCTTTTCAATGAAGAGCCAATTTTTACCGCAATTGTTCAGGCAAGAATGAAACTCTTGTCATACTTCGATCCGTAACTTTTGGCACTAACGAAAGTGTACATCCTGTATGGCACGTCTACTAGCGCGGCACAAGGGGACGAAGAACAGGAGATTAAGGCAGGCATCTGCTTGGGTAGCCTTGACTTCTAGGCCAATAGTGATGAAACGGGATATTACGGTGTACGCCCTCATTTGCACCAAATAGCCCCTTACCCTGGTAAAGAAAGGGTTCAGATTATTAAAGATATTCAGATCTGGAATATTCGTTCAGTCTCTCAACGGCCATCCTCGTGCGTACGATTAATACACAATAGGTTGGTGGATCGTTATATCGTATCGAGCAACTTCGATGTGGCTTCCTAAAGGGCGGAGCGACTAATCTCCGCCTCTGCAACTATTCATGCTCTCCATTTAGACAATTACGCTGCTCCAGGAGCAGGGGCTGGGCAACTGACTAGACTTCCCAGGCTTCTCTCCATCGCATCGCTCCCTTATCCTTACGACAATTCTGCTTTTCCCGAGAGACTCGACCGATGGGTCACATGATGTTTATGCCTCAGGCCCCAATTGGTCTAGGCCTCTTCCAGAAGTCTCTCTGCTGTCGCAAGTCTCTTAGTGTCCGGGAGAATTTCCCCAGCTCCCATCTCTCTCTCTCTATATCTCAATTGAGTGTCACTCTGTTCTGTTGATTTTTACCATGGCGGGTGTCTGCGCTTCATCCCTCAAAATCTCCCTCCCAAATGTCTTGCGCAATGCTCTCCGTTCAGAGTTCGCCTCGGACGTCCATCAGGGTCCCGCATCTCGGAGAATCCTCTCCATAACGCCTTTCTCTCAAAGCAGATACAAAACGGAACGACGGAACTTTAGCTCCTCTATCAAATCCCAAATTTGTCAATCTGCAATATATCTATCAGCACAGGACCCTTCCTCCTCCGCCTCCTTTAGTTCTAATACACCGCCACTGGGAGGTTCAGAAGATGAAATACGCCGTGCCTCGACCGAAGCAAACGCATCGCCACAACCGAATGACACCAAAACCAGCCATGCGGACTCCCTAGCTGAGGCACCTTCCTCCGATACATCTACCGATAAAAAGCGCACCAAATCATCTCGATCGAAGAAACGTTCACGTCATGAAGAATTCCCTTCCAATCCCATGCCTCAGAAGAAACCCGAGAAATGGCAGCTTCATAAACAAGCCTTGAAAGAGAAGTTCAAGGATGGTTGGAACCCTTACAAGAAGCTTTCTCCCGATGCGTTGGAGGGTATTCGACACCTCCACGCGGTCGCACCGGAAAAGTTCACTACACCTGTTCTTGCGGAGGAATTCAAGGTCTCACCCGAGGCTATTCGGCGGATATTGAAGAGCAAATGGAGGCCTTCTGAGACCGAAATCGAAGACCGACGGAAGAGATGGGAGAGGCGACATGATCGAATTTGGGGTCACTTGTCGGAGCTAGGCCTACGACCAAGTACGAAGCGCACCCGAGACTTGACAGACGCAAACCAACTGCTCTATGGCAATAACCAAAAGAAAGGGGGCAAGGCGTAAATAATAATGGATGGGCCTGTACAGGCAGACACCATGTATATATCACATGTACTATACGAGCTATCTACCGGGTTTGCATTGAATAGCATAGAATAGGCGTTAGATTGAACTTGTGGAGGTTTTGCTTTTCTTCTTTGTTCTCTAAAAGCTTTCTTAAAGTACTCCTATCCGAGGCCCATGGCCAGCAGTGCCGTCATCTGTAACTTACAGTTTCACAAAGTGAAGTGATTTGCGGGGATAAAGGGATCTCCAGCCGGAGCTAGAAAATGGATATTGATCAACTTTGCTTTTCTCCGGTCTGGAAGAAGATCCAAACTGGGAGTCCGACAGCATATCTATCATATGTCGAGGGGCACAGCTCTCTACGTGGTTCGTCATGGGATTGCAATGCCCTCCCGTCGGCCGTAGTGCACCACCAACCACCACCACCGCGTCCTCCCCGACAAGAACGTTATGGCACCCGCTCTGTGCCCTTCCTCCCTCCACATCCTCCAACGATTATGGCTTACACGATTTAACGGTATGCCCTAGCTGGCGTTGATTACCTTTTCTCTCAGTGTATCATATTTGCCAATCTTTACTTCAGCCCTCGTCTGGTGGCGGCTGGTACCCGCCATCTACCCCGGACCTTCGTGATTCTTGCCTGCGGTCACCCGCCCACATGGTGGCCTTGCGATCGTCGCCATGCCCTCAGACATCCAGGTCTTCGTGAAATGGAAGGATCAAACGATATTCGCCGGGGAAGATGTGGAATGTATCATTACCTTCAAGAACGTTGCGGAGACGAACGGAGACCCCCGGAACGGGGGGCAGTCCTCGCATCAGAGACATCCATCGCGAGCTACCAGCTCGCATTCAGAGTCACTGTTTTCGCTTAGATCACCTCAGAAATTCTTCTTCAGTCCACATCGCCGCTCATACTCTAGCGTATCCAAAAAGAGCCCGTCGCATCGCCCCTCTTCATCAGTGAGCTCACCGTTGATCGGTTCTCACAGCTTTCCGCCCCCGTCCACCCCTCGCAGTGGTCCACCAGCTGGTGGAAAGCACAAGCGCTCAGTATCTATTCTTTCTATCGATAGCGAAACAACAGGAGAGCCGACTCCCAGAACATCTTCACAATTCAGTCGATCGAGGCCGGTTAGGGGTCATGGGCGCGCTGCGAGTCTACAAGTTCTTCCGCGAAGGAATGAGTTCTACGAAGAATCATTTGCAAAAGGTACCTCCAATAGATAGCGCGATCGGGGATGGTTCGATCATTAGGCTGACTACAGTCAATTGCTAGCAGGACGCAACACGTACCGTGGCTTTCCACCCCCAGAGTCCCCGGTCAATTCGTCTCCTGGAAACCCACGAATAGACATCGATGATGTAGGAGGGCCTACTTCTCAGCCCCCATTCGAGTCACCTCGTACACCTCTGCGTCGGCCGCAATTGCCACCTCTCGAGTTCAAATTTCCGCCTTCACCGGGGGCTGATGCACACTCTCGTTCTACTCTATCTCCCCTCGCAACACCCTTCGAAGAGACTGCCGGACAGACAAAGCCCAATGGAAGGGAGTCGGCAACATTAGCTGCCCCGGGCCATCTGCCTCAGCTCACCAGAATCATGTCAACCTCCAGTCTCACTGGTAGTCATAGAAGCAGCAATGAGTATAACTCTGTTAGCGACAATTCTTCAGAAACTCTGCAATCCGAGTACACGAACTACTCAATGGCGATGCCGCGTCAGAATATCCCTCGCCACGCGCGACACATGTCGAGTATTGAGTCTCCGGGCATAGCGCCCAAGAGCCAGACTCTACTCATGGGCTATGCCCAGATCAGTGCTTCTTTCACTGTTGACGGTTCGTTGATCCATCAGTCACATTTTGAGGAAGTGAAGCGAAAAGGTGTTGTTGGCGGTGCAGGGTCTGCGCCGGGTATAAACAGCGGGAAACCAGCTATGCATAACGATAAGAATCGCAAGGGCGGCGGTTTCTGGGGCGCCTTCAAATGGAACGCGATCGAAGAGTCTCTGAGCGGTTTGCTCTCCAATAATGAGTTGGATGGCTTGCGAGATATGCGAGGAGTTTCTTCTTCGAAGTCCATACCGTTGCTGTCTACTACCCAGTCCCTTCTCTTCGTGGATCTACGACTGGCACCGGGAGAAGAGCAGTCTTACTCCTTTACATTTACCCTGCCATCGGGACTTCCAGCCAGTCATAAGGGGAAAGCCATTAAGATATCTTACAATCTCGTCATTGGTACACAGCGGCCGAGTGGCCATCATGAACCCCAACGAGTCAATCGTATCAGTATACCCTTCCGCGTGTTCAGCGGCGTCAATGGTGAGCTCGTCGTTGTTTCCCTGCGCAGCAAAGTGTCACTAATTCCTTCTATAGGTCATGGGGAGATAATGGGTCATGACCTGATGAACCCGTATGTGCTTCTTCGCGACGAGGCGCGAGTGCAGAAGGTTGGCCCGAACCCGCCGCCGGCAGTCAAGCCCAAAAGCATCAGTGGGCCGACTTGGACATCAGCCCCAGACTTCTTGTCGTATGTGGATGACATCCTGGAGCAGAGTGCACGCCAAAACTCGCTGCAACCACCCGAGGCGACGCCCGAGAAGCGCGCAAGTCGCGACACATCTACCGGGCACCTTACTTGCAAAGACGCTATTGATCTTGCCATTCTCCGAAGCAACCAGGCGCTCGGTTCCTCGCGCAGTCCTAACCGGTTTGAGATTGCCCGAGACGGGCGCCGAATTGCTGTTGTGGTACTCAACCGTCCCGCACACAGGCTGGGCGAAACCATCATCGCCACCGTCAACTTTGCAGACGCTGCACTTCCCTGCTACGCCCTGCGGGCGACATTAGAAAGTTCAGAGAGGGTTGCAGGGCATCTAGCAGTACGATCAAACGCCAGTATTCGTCGTGCGACTCGAAAGATCCATGCCTCCTATTTCGAAAACACCCTGTATGCAACGCGCGTTGTTTTCAGTCCGGCTGTTCCGGTATCGGCGACGCCGACCGTCATAACAACTGGGGTCAATCATGAGTGGGAACTTCGGTTCGAGTTTGTTACTAGCAATGTTCACGATGGTTCAGCCCCTTCGGGAGCTCGCTTGCTCGAAACCGTATCGGAAGACGATCGCGGGCGCATCATGTCCGCGTTGGAGAACTTGGGCTGCGAATCGTTCGAAATTGCCATCCCTATCACGATTTACGGAGAGACGGTCCGGGAGCGATTACCAGAGGAGAATGAAGGATACTCTATATGAATCATGTCTGGGATAGCTTGACGCATTCATTAAGAAGCCACATCTATTATTCCATGAGTTGTCTCTTGATGGAGGGCTTGCATGCTATGACGGCGAATATGACGGCGACTACGACGGCCACAGCAGACTTGAAGACTCCTAGGTACCATCTAATATTTTACAATTCCAAGAACATATGCCATCAAGCGGCAGCCTGCCTACGTAATAAATTTGAAGGATATCCACTATCTACAACCTTGACGATGTAATAAAGGGCCGGTTTCCTTGCGGCTGGCTGATGTCGCCGGGGCAACGGACGGGGCGATTACCACCCTGGATGCTGCAGCACCCATGGATCCGGTCCTTGGGGAGGTTCCGCTTGTGGGATCGTGGAGAAGGCAGGCCGGAAATGCGATCGATATAGATCGCCCTCCATCGCCCCTCGTTGGTAGTTGGGTGTGTTCCTCTCGCTTGGTTTTCATTTCCTAAGATTGTTGTCGCGCTTCTCTACACTTGGTCGGAGCGGCTCCATCGCTGATACTCCAACTTCGCCTCCTACTACCTACCACCTCTCGTCCCTCCTCTCATTCCGCCAGCCGGTCTGTTGCTCCCCTCATCGGCGCATGCTACCATTGCACTGATTCAGGTATTCCCAAAAGAGGTAAGACAGTAAGACAGGGACTGGCGTCTTTTTCCAGATTTCCTCACCGTCGAGCCCATAAACTTGACTGACAGGCGCTGACTTCGTCGGCATCGGCATGCAGGCGCATTCTCCAACGGAACTCTACACAACACCTTGTTTCGACCAAGAACACCGGAATAGCACCCGTGGCTTCGTATTTGACTGAAGGGAGGAACCAAAGGGAAAGAAAAGAAATTTGGCAAGGAGATGGCATCCTTCATCACAACCATGTCTGTCCCCATCCTTTCTGTTTCTTCTTCGTCCGATGCTGGACAACCTGCCCCGCCATCCTCATCTTCTCCCCAACCTTCGCTCCCCTCCTCTCCATCCATCATCTCCCCTTCGGTCTGCTATGGCACCGTTCAGACTTTTCCTGGCCCCTTCTCTGAGCCCCCGTCTTATCTGTCCCCAGCAGTATGCGCGCTGAAATATGATACCGCTGGACTGACACCTCCCAGCAACGCTCGGACCCGCGCTCCCTTCAAGCCGCGGTCGGCAGCCAAGGGCACCACTAGCTATCAACTGAGACAGTTCGCGGAAGCGACCTTGGGAAGTGGAAGCTTACGGAAGGCCGTGAAGCTTCCAGAAGGCGAGGATCTTAATGAGTGGCTTGCAGTTAATGGTAAACATACTCTCGAGGCTTGCAGCAGCGACAGCATCAAACACATACTAACAGTTTGTTGCAATGTGCAACAGTGGTCGACTTCTATAACCAGATCAACTTGCTCTATGGCGCGATCACAGAGTTCTGTTCTCCGCAATCATGTCCGGAAATGAAAGCAACTGATGAGTACGGAGCTAGCCCTGATACCTGCCGAAGCAACACAGAACTGACGATGGAGATCCAGATTCGAATATCTCTGGCAAGATTCGGAAAACTACAAGCGACCAACGAAGATGTCGGCCCCAGAATACATCGAACATTTGATGAGCTGGGTACAAAGCAGTATCGACAACGAGCAAATTTTCCCCAGCAGGCTCGGTGAGTAGCGTCTTGAGAGAGAGCCGTGAAAGGAGGCTACGTAAACTACGATTGCGATGAGCAGACACTAATATGAGATGCTACCTCACAGGCGTCCCCTTCCCCAAGGTGTTCCCGAGCCTTGTGCGTCAGATCTTTAAGCGGATGTATCGCGTATATGCACACATTTACTGCCACCACTACCCGGTTGTGGTCCATCTCGGACTGGAGCCTCATCTGAATACCAGCTTCAAGCATTACGTGCTCTTCATTGACGAGCACCGCCTGGCTAGCGGGAAGGATTTCTGGGGTCCGTTGGGAGATCTTGTGGATAGCATGCTGCGCAGTGATTAAAGATCGCATCGGTCAAATGGCTAGACGGCCGTGAAGCAAAGAGGTTGAGAGGACGGCGTTTCGGGTGTTGGCATTCGGGAGGGCGCAATTCACTCGTAGAGGCAGTCTGGCGTTACATAGCGTGTGCGACTGTAATTCGCATTTTGAGCATGAATACTGAAATGAAGATAAAAAAAAAATGTTCGATGCACAGCATAGCAATAACGATAAGATCTTCAAGGATCAAGTCACTCGCAGTAGTGGATAGCCGAAAACCCGGCGTGTGCGGGATCTCACGTGACCGCTAGCCGGCAGAAGTTGGACGTCGCCCGTCCATCCCAAAGCACGACGAACCACCAGCCCGTTGCTGCTCGCTCAATCCCCTCCCCGACGCCCCGTCCGTCTCGCATCATATCTCACCTCCTTCCCTTCCTCGAGGTCTCCGTTCCTAGATCACCATGTTCTCCGTTCGTGTCGCCCGCGCCGGCCTCCGTGCCACCGCCCAGCAGTTCTCCGTTCCTCGCACTGCCGCCGTCAACGGTCTGAGGACCTATGCCACCCCGGCCCAGGATGTCAAGCCTCCTGTCTCCCTGTTCGGTGTTGACGGCACCTATGCCACCGCTCTGGTATGCGACACCATGATTCTACCCGTTGGTTGCTAGTAGTGGCTCTGAGGTTCCCTCCCAGTCAATGGCACGGAAGAAAGGAAGAAAACAAGAAAGAGGGGGAAAGGCGGACGGGAGACCTAAGAAAACAAAAACAGAGATTCACACGTCCTAGCAACCTCATGATCCCAGAAATAGTCAACTTCAAGAAAGCTCCCTGGCTAACCGATTGTTTGCGTTTCTGTGTATAGTACACTGCCTCTGCCAAGTCCGCCAACCTCGACCAGACCTCCAAGGCTCTCGCCAGCCTCGGTCAGACCCTCAAGGCCGACCGCAAGCTGATCACCATCCTCTCCGCCCCTACCCTCACTGTCGCCGACAAGCAGCAGATTGTCCAGGAGCTGCAGAAGGTTGCTGGTGCCGACAAGGGCGACATCCTCAAGAACTTCCTCAACACTCTGGCTGAGAACAACCGTCTCGGTCTCCTCGAGGGTATCTGCGACAAGTTCTCCACTCTCATGGGTGCTCACCGTGGTGAGATCGAGCTGAACATCACCAGTGCTCAGGTACTTTCTTCTTTCGGGTTTTCGTATCGTGGGGCTTTATACTGATTGTTGGGAAACAGGAGCTCGACACCAAGACTGTCAACCGTCTCGAGAAGGCTGTTTCCAAGTCTGAGTTCAGCCAGGGCAAGAAGCTCAAGGTTGTCACCAAGGTAATTACTAATTCTTTCCCCAATTGACGCTACGTATACTCATACGTTCAAATCAGGTCGACCCCGAGCTCGTCGGTGGTCTGGTCGTTGAGATCGGTGACCGCACCATTGACCTCAGCGTCTCCTCCAAGATTGCCAAGCTCAACAAGGCCCTCACCGACGCTTTGTAAATTACCTAAAGAATCCACCTAAAACACGAGGGATGCACATGTTCACATTAGGCGTCTCTTGAGCTTCCATATTTAGTTAACCCTTTTCTTTATATCAACTCCCTGTACCCCTACCGAATCGATCTACCTCATTCATCTATATTTCTTGCTAGCATGAGCTCTAGTCCTGGAGTCGAATAGACAGAATTGAGTTTTATATCACCCATCTTGGCAGATAACATACTCTGCGGGTCCTCACTAGTAGTCCGGTATTTAAACACTACCTGTAAACCAGTATACCAGCTATTTCAATATCTATAAATTCCAACCAATGAGTAATTTGCGTAGCAGCTACGAAGGAAAATGCGCGTGGAAGGGGTGTTCAGTTTGGTTGTTTTTCGGGGCCCGCGGGCAACTAGGGACACGGCACGGGACGATCGACGCGGCATCCTAACTTATGAAACAAGTGTCCTCCCTTCAGATGTCCGTCTTCCTCTCCTCGTCCCCAGTTCACCAACCAAGATAACCCGTGACGAGGGTATCAATTGACCATGACGACCAAATCTAAAGATGTCGAGCTGTCTGACGACATCCAATTCATCGAAACTCCCGCACCAGCTCCCCCCAAGTTTGAAACCGGCGAGAGCTGTGGAGTCGCCCTGACCAATGTCAATTCCTCCCTCCCAATTGCTGGCATATTGGCTACCTGTCCAAAACCGTGCTGACTTCTACCAAAGGCCAAGAGTATTAACAATCCTCCCCTGCCGGCAGATGGTCCTGGAAACGAGAGCTTCTCCAACCTCCTGTTGGGCGGCGCCATCATCGGAGTCCCTGGCCTTCTGACCTACCTGCTCGGCGGTGGAAAGAAAACTTTCATCTTCTTCACTCTGGTAACTGTTTTACCTGTCCTCGTGGCCTTCTGGACCTACACCTCGACCTTCAGCCCTCGCACCAACGAGAAAGTCAAGCTCCCTGGCCGTCCCGTTGAGCACTACATCACCTTCAAGCGCGACGAAGACCGTGCGAAATGGAGCGGAAGGAACAAGATCCCCATGCAAACCTTTTCGGAAATGTACCTGGACGGCCAGGTTGACTTCAACGGCGACGTGCTTGAGATCCTGGAATACCGCCACGACTGGGCCAGCTTCGCCTTCACCTGGGACCTGTTCAAGTTCATCGTCGGCACCTTCTTCGTCGATGTGCTTTTCCACACCAAGGCCCAGGATGAGGAGCAAATCCGTCCCAACTACGACCGGGGTAACGACCACTACGCCTGGTTCCTCGGCCCTCGCATGATCTACACCTCCGGAATCATCTCCGACCCCGATCGTGAAGAAACCCTGGAGGAACTGCAGGATAACAAGATGGCTGTTGTTTGCGAGAAGATCGGCCTCAAGGAAGGCGAGACCATGCTGGACATTGGCTGCGGCTGGGGTACTCTGGCCAAGTTCGCCAGTCTCAACTACGGTGCAAAGGTGACCGGTCTCACTATTGCTGAGAACCAGACTGCCTGGGGTAACGATGCTCTCCGTAAGGCCGGCATCTCCGAGGAACAGAGCCGCATTGTCTGCATGGATTACCGCGATATCCCCCGCACGAAATACGACAAGATCACTCAGCTGGAAATGGGCGAGCACGTCGGTATTCGCAAGCTTACTGGATTCTTCCGCCAGTGCTATGATATGCTTAACGATGATGGATGCATGTACGTGCAGCTTTCGGGTCTGAGACAGGCATGGCAGTACGAGGATTTCATCTGGGGTCTGTATCTGAACAAGTACATCTTCCGTGGCGCGGACGCTTCTACTCCTCTGTGGTACTACGTCAAGTGTCTTGAAGGAGCTGGCTTCGAAGTCAAGGGGTAAGCCACCTTTCCTGCCGCCCCCTTTCACCAACCAAACACTAACATCAAATCTGCGAATAGTATCGACACTGTCGGCGTCCACTACTCCGGCACCCTCTGGAGATGGTACCGCAACTGGGTCGGCAACATCGAGGCAATCAAGGCCAAGTACGGTCCCAGATGGTACAGGGTGCGTATATCCTCCTCCTCCTCTTCTCCCTCTACTTCCCCTTATTCCTAAACACCTCTAACACTGTATTCAACCTAAACAGATCTGGGAACTTTTCCTCGCCTGGTCCGTCATCGCCTCCCGCCAAGGTTCCGCAACCTGCTACCAGATGGTGGTGGTCAAGAACCTGAACTCGACGCACCGTATTACCGGAGTGTCCAACCAGTATGGTCTTATGGGTGCTCTCGCTAAGAGCAGGGAGGCGGGCAAGTCCCGTCTGCCTTAGACCTCAGATTGATTTTGTCTCTGTGAGAATTAAATCTAGATGACGGGTTGGACGGATACGTAATGTCATGTTATGTATGAAATATGTTCATGAAACGAGATGAAGCGGGGGTGGATGGAAGGATATATGGTGCTTTGGATATGTGATAAAGATATGATTTATGCACTATGGTCTATTGAAGGAATTCGCAACGCTAGTACTGGATGTGGTGGCGCTGCGATGGGATAGGATCACGAGGACTAGGATTCTTATGACTAGATAGATATATTAGATGAATGGAAAGATTTAAGTAGAGATTGAGGGACCTGGCACGGGGTTGATGCTGATGCGATGAGGGTCTTGAGGATTCTCTCGTAACTAGATTCAATGCTTTATCGATATATTAGAGGATTTCATTTCATCAACCATTATTACTATCTTGGAGGTGGGTAGTATTCGTGATGATTGTGGGCCATGTACTATTGTCGTGGACATGGTACTAGACCCTCAAAATTCTAGTAAGTAATTTGGAGTTCTTTAGATAGTTCCACTCACTGGGGGTGGAAACGATACCAGTACCGTTGACTACCGGTAGTAGGAGTAGTATTTTTCGGTTTCTTGCTTAATTACAATGTCGTCAAAACCGAGACACTCAGTCTCTTGATGATAGTACGTACTGGTATGTAGGCCATGACGTTGTGACGTTTCAATAAATATATTATCATCTAGATCATCTACGTCCTATGTATTCACGACCATTATCACTAACATGAAACCGACCATATCATCGACTGCCAGTGTGCAAGCCTCCCCTCTAGTATATCACTCAATGTCCATTCGGCACTCGATCAGCCTGCGCCTCAAATTCGTCTTCATACGCTCCCATGGATGCCCGACTGCGGACACGCTCCAACTGACTCTCCACGTACTGCGACACATGGTCGTCATCACCGAATCCCAGTCCCGACTCACCGAGTTTCTCATCGTCGTCCAAAGCGGATTCCGGTCCAGGTGTGTCACGACCTGTGAAAGCGGATTCAAAGTCACTGCGGTTCCCGATCGACCGGCTGGTGGATGAACGGCGCACGCTGGGACGACGGCTACCACGTGGTCGCGCCGTCCGCGAAAAGATATCATCAAAGTAGTGCGATGCTGCAGCAAATGGCGAGCGGGGGGTCTGTGGCACTCGGCAGTTGATTCTGTTGACTTGTCAGAATGGTGATACAACAATAATATATCTTATAGGCTTACCCGGTATCGTGGATGATCTTGGCGATCAAGCCGGTCCATCCACACTGGTGAGATGCTCCCAGGCCCCGACCAGTGTCTCCGTCGAAGTACTCGTGGAACCACATGTAGTCTTTCCAGTGCTCGTCAAAGTCGAGAAGATCAGAGCCATTGTAGACAGCACGACGACCTTCGTCATTGCGCGCAAACAAGTGTTGGAGCCGATGCTGGATCTCCTCCGCCACATGTCCGAGATGCATATAGTCGCCAGAGCCTGTGGGGCACTCCACCTTGAAAGAGTCGCCGTAGAACATATAGAATCGCAGCAGAGACTCGACGAGCAGGAAATTTACACACAACCAGACCGGTCCGCGCCAGTTGCTGTTACCGCCAAAAAGAGCACTGTCAGACTCGCCAGGAACATAGCTGACTCGGAACATCTGGCCGTTCACCTCCATTGAGTATGGATGTTCCTCATGGTGCTTGGACATGGATCGAATGCCGTGTTCCGAAAGAAATTCTGTCTCGTCAAGCATCCTCTTAAGGATTTGCTCCAAACGGCTCTTGCTCACAAGGGACAGGAGAAGGCGTTCATCCTTGCCACGGTGCTTCATGCTAGCAATGTTGCGCTCTGCCACGTCTTGCCTATTTTCAACAAACCACTCCAATCGCTTCTTGAAAGAGGGAAACTTGTTGATCAACTCGGGCTCAAGGGTGAGAACGGCGTACAGCGGGATCAGGCCAACGAGGGACCGAACTGGAAGCTGTTGTGTCCAAGGGTCGCCATAAGAGATGGCGTCATAATAGAATCTACTTAAAGTAAGCCATGAAAAACATATAGGTATAGACACGGCCTACCCATCATCCTCATTCCAGAGGGAGGTCTCTTGTCCCCCAGACTTGAATGTCATAGCATCACTGATCAGAATGAAATGCTCGAAAAACTTAGATGCGACTGTGTGCCATTGGTCAGCCGATGAAAGCCTTGACATGAGAGTGTACTCACTGTCTTCGTAGATCCTTCGGTGCTTGGCGAGCTCAAGTGCAATATTCAGCATGCACAGGCAGTAGAATGCCATCCAACCTGTACTATCAGCCTGTTCTAGGACTCCTCCGGTAGGAAGAGGCTCCGATCTGTTGAATAGCCCAATATTGTCCAGTCCCAGGAAGCCACCCTCAAAGACATTTTTGCCCTCAGAGTCCTTGCGGTTGACCCACCATGTAAAATTGAGCAATAGCTTCTGGAAGACGCGTTCAAGGAAGTCGAGATCCTGCCGACCATACATCTTCCGTTCAATCTTGAACGTCCGGAAGGTGGCCCACGCGTGGACCGGTGGGTTCACATCCCCAAAGTTCCATTCGTACGCTGAAAGCTGCCCGTTCGGATGCATGTACCATTCCCGGGTGAGAACATCCAGCTGTCTCTTCGCAAAATCAGGGTCGATCATCGCCAGCGGGATGCAATGAAAAGCCGTGTCCCATGCGCAGAAAAATGGATATTCCCAAGAATCAGGCATTGAGAGAATGTCTTCCATATACAAGTGCTTCCACTGCTGGTTACGAACATGCTTCCGACCCGGAGGGGGTGGGATGAGACCAGGGTCACCGTTTGACCACTGATCCCACACGAAATGATAGAATTGTTTATTCCACAACATGCCAGAAAATGCCTGTCGTTGAATGTTGCGTAGATCATCACTCATGGGAAGCGGGCTGATGTGGTAATAGAAGTCGTCCGCCTCGGTCCTGCGTTCGTCGATGACATTATCAAGAACCTCTTCATCCAAGAAGGTACCTCTTTGTCGCGAAAATCTAAATCGCACGACAGCGCACTCTCCAGGAGGAACCCCTTCACCCTCATTAAAGGCGTACCAAGCAGCGAACTTAGTGCCCTTATTCGCAGGGTTCACTGTATCCTTTTCTCCATTGACAATGAGGCGATGGAAGGCATCTTTCACGTATGGCTGACTGTTCTTGGTGTTCCACAACAGTTCGTTATTTGTTTCGTTCTCAGTGAACAGCATCTGGGGGAACACGTCGTCCTGACCGTCACCAACAGGCGGCGAGGGGGAGAACTGCACATATCGCTCCCCAAGTTTATGATGAGATGTTTTGGCAATCATGGGATGCACCTTCTCAACAGATGGTTTCTCTTTCTGATCCTCGTATCCCCAGGACCAGGTGTTACGGAACCAAACATGGGGAATGATGTGTAACGGGGCGGGCTCTGGTCCTCTATTGTAGGCGATGATGCGAAAGAGCAATTCTTCCTCGTCGTCTTCTTCTTTCGCTGTTTCGATGAAGATGTCCCAGTATCGGTTGTCGTCGAAGATTCCAGTATCAAGAATTTGATACTCACGGTCTTGCCTTGAGCGTTTGCCATTCTCTTCCACGAGTTCCTTGTACGGAAACTTCTTCTGAGGATACTTGTAGAGATATTTCATGTAGGAATGCTGAGAGCGCAATGGAGTCAGAAGGGCCGCGATTTTCGTCCACCTTGGAGAATTGAAGCACAAACCGTCGGGGTATTATCAACATGGAAGTGGGCTTCCTTGATGCTTTCACCATGATTACCCTGAGGATTCGACAACCCGAATAGGCGCTCCTTCAGAAAATCGCTAGACCATAGTGAGCTTGAGATCCAACTAGTCGTAACGGGGCAGAGCCAACGTACTCTTTCTCGTTCCAGAATGCAAAGGCAATATTCTGCAGGTTGTGGGTATCTGAGACACCGGCAATTCCGTCCTCACCCCAGCGGAAGGTCCTAGACCGCGCATGATCATGAGAAAAGTCTAAGCATCATTTTGATCAGTCCGGGCCGCGCGGCACACATGTGAATCGAGGGGCTTACAGCTCCAAGCATCTCCATTCTCCCTGAAATCGATAAAATAAAAGAATCAGTAAATGCCGCTTGCTCCGTAGCCCAAATACCGAACGAGTATGGTGAATTGAAGACTTACGAGTAATCCTCGCGAACTGCGGGGCATCAAGGATAGTCATTAGTCCAGGTACTTTGAAGCGCGACTTGGATGAGACAGCTAGGAGAGAAGCATACCAGTAGCCCATTGCCTCTCTGCCACATACGGCCCCCATCGTTTCCAGTACCGCGAGTGCTCACGGTCCTCTCTCAGGCGACGCTCTTCTTGGGATACGTACTCGTGCTTATCGATGAGCACCATGATGGGATTAGAAGTATGCTGAGTAGTCTCAAGCGGATGAAGAAGACCAGCTCCAAGACAGCTAACGAGGAAGAACAACGAGAGAAAGTATGGAATTTGAAATATCGAGTGGACGAGAGACGGAAAGAAAAAGCCTGATAAGAGACGACGCTGGGAGGGGAGAGCCGGGATGAGGGGTTGGGAATGGCAAGAGGAACAGGGAATGACCGGGAGCTCAGGGACCAGTGGCTGACATGGTAGGTCGCACCGACGCAGCTCCTGCAGGACACTTCAGAGTTCAGAGCTCAGTTATCTATCGGACATCCACCTTGGAAGCTCATTTGGGGGGGGGGTCTGGACCGTTGCTCGGGCGCTTTCTGTCTGGGGGGATTTCCAAGGTCCGGGGGATGACTCTGACATCATTGGTCCTACCCGAGGAGATCATGAGTGAAGCTGGGCGATAATGCAATTTAGGGTTTTTGTTTCAACTCGGGACCGATGTTGATGGAATCCGAGAGTTATATTTGTGTTTTACAATAGGATATAGAGATCGCTGGCCGATTCATAATAGTATCTCGTCCTGATGTTTCTTCCGCGTCGAGTTCTGCTGCGCTCAGACACCCATCTCCGTTGCCACCTCAAGACTCAGGCTACTGCCGCCCTGCAAACCCAACGGATACCATACATACTATACTGTACAGTACTGGTATCATCATGCAGGCCCGGCATCGCCATTTTGGGCTAGCAGGTCAGATGACAGGCCAGCATCCATTGAATGTCGTGCTTCGTGGGTTTTTTTGGCTTGCAGATGCTCATGGTGAAAACCATTGACATGTCCTGCAGCCCCCCGCCTCACTAATGTCAAGTTTGTTGACAATGTCAGGACAAGCAGATGTCAATGTGGTGACACTCACGCCAAGATGACGGGAGTAATTGTTGGCAGCCCTGTTCGCAGCAGATCTTTCAAGTAGTCCTTTCATGCATCTAATAACCATTGCTAATATCTAGTCATATCTGAACAATGTGGAAGCAGACTGGGTCCCTCGGTCACAAAAATGTTGCTCATGAAGAAACCTGATATTGGGAATTTGGGCGACCCTCACGGCGGAGAAATAATTAAATGGGCGCTGCAGTGGAGATCATCCAGAATGTGAACAGGGAAGAATTGAAGTGATCCCTCCCTCTTACTCTCGGAAAACGAGGCAATTCATCCCCCCTGATCAAGGGAGCGTCCAAGCCACAGTCATGGAAATGAAAGTTTCGCTTGGGAGAGCTCAGGCCTCATCCTATGATCCTTGCTATGATCCAACTTTGCCACATCGGGTCATGAGCCCACTCATCAGGACACGGACGCGTGTTTGGAAGTCCCGTCCCGAAGATCCACGAATCCAACTCAAGCCAAAGAAAAATAAAAATGTCAGCAAAGAGACAGCAAAAGAATGTAGCCGCAGTCCATCCATCCACAACTTGATTATAAAGTGCTGGCCGAGAATTAAGGCGAGTGTTGGCCCATTCCTGGTGATTTGGCATGATCATGATCGCTCCTGCCCTTTCTAGATCGCTGAATTCTAGGCTTCATGGGCACCTTAAGCAGATCTTGGGGCGATGTTGGAGCGAACAGGAGGACATCCTTCCCCGACACTCTTCCCCTCTCTCCCCCCTGTCAAGCTTGAGAGGAACGAGCTCCTTGGTGTCAGGAGCCTACTAGTAGTAATTAGGAGACGCAACGGAAGTATGACTGGGGTTTGGATATATACGTTGGAGCTAGATGGATCCTTCGAGTTGTTGCACCTGCAGAAATGGCGCAGATTTTATATGAAGGGACCACTTAACTCCTAAGGAGTATGGCCGTCGGATGGGTCGCAGGCTAAAGACCTCGGCGCTTCAGTTCAAGTTGTCTCCGTTTTTCGCATCGAACCGGGTTCTCAACCTTCCGTCTACGCTTTTGTTTTATTATTCATTTTTCTTTTGAGTTTTTATTCTCGGAAAAGTTGAGAAGACTACCTTCAGTTTTGGCGTTTGTTGCGGGTGAAGCAGAAAATCATCCATGGCGTCATTGTGGAAATATTCTCCAAGGCGTTTAGTAAATACTAGGAGTCTAGAGCAACTGGGTACCTTCTCCCGAGGAAAGGCGTCTAGGCTACTTTGTATTAACCCGGGCATACCAAACACTGCCTCACCCTCCCAAGAGAGATAGATCGATAGCAATAAGTACTACTACTTGAGTAGCTAACTTACGACTGCAATACTTCATGCTGGCATACCGTTGTAACTCAAATTTCCTCTATATCACATCTGCAAAACATTAAGGGAGGGCAGAACAGAAAATAAGAAAAGAAATCCCAAACAAAAATGAAGAAAGCATGTTATTCCCCCATTGAACGATACACCTGCACTATTCAGGAAATAGGTCTTAGCTTCCGAGGCGGTTGACCAGGTTGACTCAGGCAAGGTACCTCGTAACACCTAAATTAGTGCCTGCCCACCTGATGATGATTTTGATTCCACATTATTATGATGGTTTATTACAATTACGACAAACTGCGAACTGTCGGGACTCCATACATCCATACATCCATACAGACCGGAACAGACAGAACGTGACAAAAGTACACGGACCACTTCATATAATCCATGATTGGCTCGCGGGAACCAGGATAGCGACATCCGCGGGCTTTTCAGCAGCAGGTCGCCGCAAAGGGTAGGCGGATGCTATTGGCCCTGCCAGTCAGCAGCGGTACTTTTATTTAGCGCCCGTACTAGGTTTACCCCAGCGGCGAACCACCCGGTTGCCCTGTGGGATCCTCGCCTAGCAGTGGAGAGGAAGTACTTACTTGCTGCGCAGACGCCTGCGGCCTGCGGTATTGACAATGTTTACTCTCTCATGGCCCGAATTAGCACTTGTTTTGATGTATTTTATTTTCCCCTTTCCTTTTCTTTTCCCTATTACTTTCTAATTTTTTTTTGTACTCTTCTGGGTTTCCGTTTTTACTTATGATACTCTTTACTCTCCTTCCCCCCCCACCTCCCTCCCCCTTCTCACCCATTACGCTCATGATTTATGACCAACAGAGTTAAAATTGAAAAAATGCGTCTCTTTCCCCAATTGGACAGGGATTTGATGACTTACTTTACTTCCCGAATGTTTCATTCCAATGCTGCTGTCTTCTCCTGTTTGTTGGCATCGTTTGGTTGGGAGGAAGGGATCCAGATGGCCGGTCAGCCAACGTACATTACTTACTGACATGCATACCCCGTAGTACTAACTCTCTGCTGGCTCCTCCTCGTCAATTAGTCTGAATTATTTTCCCCATCAACAAGCAAGAGTAATAGTTATGGTTGCTATTATTATTATTAGTTGTGGTAGTATTATCAATTTATTATTATTATTATTATTACTGTCACCATTACTACTCCTGATTTCTTTTCAGTGATTTTTCCAGACTAAGATTATCGCTATTGATTTTATCGCCTTGGCTGGCGGTTGTCGAACACCGTGACAACTCGACAGCACTGACTTGACAGACTGACAGACTAACCAACTAACTAACTAACTGACCACTACCTTTTTTTTACTTTACTTACATACTCTTTCAGTCTCGCTGAAATCCCCCGAACTATATCACCATCAATTCCCGCCCTCCACAGAACACGATCTACTCCCACCAGCTAACTGCTAGTAAGACCGCGACCCTGTTTCGCGCCTGCTGCTGCTTCTGCTGCGGCCTTTGGCTTCATCAGCCTCCACTGCTGCTAGCTAGTCTAGTTAATCCCTCTTCTGCTCACCCTGACACAATTCCCCCTCCGTTGACGACGTCTCTTTTCCGTACGGCTTTCTGTCTGCATAACCACTTTTCCCTCCTACTTCGCCTTTTATCTTCGACCTCATTCTTCCCCCCCAAGTTATCTATCTAGCCTCTCCACTTTCTACTCCCGTCTCTCCCCTCACCTGTTTCCTTACTCTCTTTTCAACTACTCTACCCGGTCTCTGCTGTGATACGAGCTTCCGCCTAGCTGATCCGCACGTCCCGCTCCGTTTCAGAGTATGGTTGACGAGCAATATTCAGTGACTATTTCATGATGGATGGTTCCATTCCGCCGCCGTCCACCACGACTACGACCACCTCCACCCCCTCTACCACCACTATTCCAACTTCCTCTTCATCAACCGTTTTCCGACCTCGCAAATCAGAGGATTGGAATGAGTATCGTACGGCCATCGAGAATCTCTACCGAGACAATCAGCTCAAGCTCCGCGATGTGAAGAGAATCATGGAGCGTGACTATAACTTTGTTGCATCGTACAGCCTTCCATTTCTCTTTTTTACCATTCCTGCCCTGTTTCCTGCCTTTCCCTCTCTCCCTCATATTTGTCATTCTGCCATTTACGGGCTTGCATTGCTTGTCCCTCTGCAGAAATGCTCTGTTCCTTTCCTTTTACCTCCAAAAGCGGAAGAAGAGGACAGTGCGTCATTGTTATTGATGTTGCTTTTTTCTTCTATTTCCCTTCCCTTCCCCACTCCTGGACAAATCAGCTTGGTTATAGGCTTCCCCTGACATTCAAACTTTCCAGAGAAAAACAATACAAAGACCGCCTGGCTGCATGGCATGTCCGCAAGAATATCAAGGCCAAAGAAGTCCATGTCATGATCCGAAAGCAGCAGAAACGAGCGGCCCGAGGCAAGCAAACAGGTTTCCGTGTTGCTGGACAGGAAGTCGACTCCAAACGCATCTCCCGCTTTGTCCGTAGATATGGATCGAACATGGAGGCCAATAATGCCCGCGAGGATCCTCCGCACAGTCCTCAGGGCCATCAGATCATCCAGCCCGTCCAACCCGTCCAGCCGATCCAGGCAACAAGTCCCGAACCAGGTAGGATACTCCCCATTCCGTCCCTAGTGCTGGGATTACTCATGTTAGCCGACAGAAACTCCCTCCGATATGAGCTATTTTACCCCACCGCCAGAGGAACGAGCAATGACATTATCACCTTCTACAGAAACACCGTCACATTTCCGTGAGCCCCCCATCCTTCTATTATTTCCCCCTTGCTATTCTACTATATATCCTGGCCAGCTATTTTGGTGGGATCCGTCAACAAGTAGTCGGGATGGTGGAAGATTTAATTGACTAGATAACCCAGATGACGACCCACCCGAACCAGTTCGTAATCCAGGAATTGGCAGTGCACGATCTTTATCGGTCTCTTCCGGAACTATGACCAATGATATAACGAAACCCATGACTGACGGGGTCCAGGGACCAGATGGCTGGATGACCCTTGAGATGTTTCAGGAAAAGCTTTTGAAGCTTTCGAGGACACTCGATCAATCAATGTCCCGATTTGTGCCTGCCGAGGATCGCAGCCACCAGCCATCCAATACTGACCAGCATTCTCGCTCAATCGGGCAGTGAGAAGGAGGAAGAAAGATATCAACGTCCTTGGACGAAAAAAAGGAAAGATCCTGGGAATCTGTCAACATCCGTATACTCTGCTACATCCTGTTCTTTGGCAGGTTGAGTTGATTGCCTCCTTCTCCACTTGGTGTCCCTCTGTAATATTCCACTTTATTTCCCTTTGTTTTTATTTCTTTTCTTCCCATTCATCTATTTCACAGAGTGCCGACTATATAGAGCATCCATGGCTTGAATATATTGGGAAATCGGTATAATGTAGGTTGCGAAAAAGAAAACCCCCTTAAGATGAAAGAAGATTGTGGTATTCTTACGGTGACATCTGCTGTTGTTGGCTGTTGATGGTACATACATTGTCTGACTTGTGACTCTAGTGACCTCGCTACTACTTCCTTCACGGAGCGTGGCAAGGAATCCTGCTCGACGAACCCTTGGGCCAATACTACGATGATTCGTTGATTGCGATCCCAGAAGGAACCCCATGTGGAAGTGATTCTGCAGTTCACACGGACAAACTGTGAGTTCAGCTGTCATCACGGTCGGCCTTCAATCCAAGTCACCCTCAAATGCAAGGCATGACTGGCAGTGATCTCCATCGGCTCAGCGGCTATAATTCTCTGATCAATAACCTAGCACTTGGTACCCGGCTCAACAATAAGGATACTGATTACGAGCCAAGTGGATGAGCATGGAGGAGAAGGATGACATGGCAAGCCTTGCGATGGAGTAAGACCCATAATCGCCCGCACGGTGCTTGGGCTCAACACAAAGCCTCACAAAATTTGGCGTCGATTTCGATATTCATATTATGTCACAAGGCAAACCATGCACTGGTCAATCGCCGAGGTCAGAATACCGCTCTTGCTGTCTTTCATTTAAGACACAGTAGATCGGCTGTCTCCCTATTTTGTTTTTATGGAATGGCTCTACTGGTTTAAACATTCCAGCAGAGCAATTCAGATACCGAGACAGCATGCAGAATTGCCGGGACTGTCGATCGTCCTTGTTAAATTTTTAATAAGTATCATTCGATATGGTAGCACCATGGCTGTCGATCGAGCGGTGACAAAAGATATAACCCGATCGTGCATCACTCTATCTACCATGGTTAAGTACAGGCATCAGCGATCCGTGACGAGTCTGAATAAGGAGACATAAACAGTCGAAGCACAGTGATTGGCACCTGCATTTAGCTGTAGTGCAGCCGTGGTCGGACATGTGGACCAGGCCAATTTATGGGCCAAGTCGTCCACACCCTGCTCTACCACTAACATAGATCAGTCTTTCCATTTCAGTCCCTTTGAAGTGGCCAGGGCTCATGGAGAGCAAGACCGGGTTCACAAAAGAGCATAGCCCGAAATGGGAGAAGACTGGTAATAAGGAAAAAGAAAAGGCCCATGGAAGACAAAAGCAAGCGATTCTACAGGCTAAGGAAACGATATCCGCCACGGACACGGCCTGCCAAGAAAGGCCAATGGGAAGGCGAAAACAGGGGCTGATGTGAGATGATTGTCTTTGATGCGGCAGCCGAGCCCGATCACTACGTTGTAACAGTGAGCGCGTGCGCCTGGCCTGATTGCTGGGACGGCCGAAAGTCGATGAATAGCAGCAGATCGGAGGGGCGAAGTGCATCGGTGGTTTTGGATTCCTGATGAGGCCCTCGCTGATCCTCGAGCCCGCGGGCACTAGCTCTCTTAGTCCCTGTCAGTCTATCAAGAGTCACTGCATAGACTGACTGCTCGCTCACCCTCGCTCGCCCATTTCCACACAGGCTCTGATATTATTAATATCATTGGGGAGATTTCTAATTTACCCTTCACGTCAATTGCTCATCCGACTTTTCCTGCACGCCTGTGGTATAACATGAGGGCGTCAGACTAGTTTCCCGCGCTCTAGAAGCATAAGCTCCCTACATCTTAACTTTACATGTATCTTCATTATCTACAGATCGTCTACTATCTGTATTTATGAACTGAACTACAAAACGATTTACCTTCTCTCTATGATGTAGCCCTAGCCAAAAGTACGCATTGGGCCATTGGGCAGCAATTGAACAGAAGTCCCGACCCTTCTTTTTTACTCATCGATTATTCGTATATTATTATTAGCAAGCCAATTTAATCAATCTCCCCCCCTCTCCTCTCCTCCCGGCCATTTGGCCTAAACTCCGTGGATGCCTCAGATCTGCACGATGATGTCAGGTCAGCTAAAGCCTCCGTACTTCCCGTCTGCCCAGTAAGTAAGCTACTTAGTTCCTTTTTCCACCACCACCACCACCACCACCGCAATAACGTCATAGAAGACAATAATAATCAGTACTAGTAGGTAGTTCCATACAAAAGAAACAAAACAGTATCAACGTAGCATACTAATTAATACATAGATAGTTATCTTTTTCTCTAGCGCTGTATGCAAAATTACTAGCAGGTCAGTGGGCGCAATGTTGATACAGTATGTATGTATGTTTGTATGTATCTAGTTAGTTATTTACTTCGTGGTTGATTTCATACTCAGTCTGTCTATCTACTAACTTATCTGCTGAACAGTAATAGACCTGCTTGTTTAGAATGGAGTGAGGGTATGTGTTATATAGATTGAATGGATTGATGGGTGGATGGATACAGTAGATAGATAGATAGATACTGCTGGGTAATAGATAGGTGAGTAGAAGGTTAGGTTACAGTAAGTTTTACTCAGAGTATAAGTAGATAACTTACTGATTACTGATGGAGTCAGTTGTAGTGTGTGATTAGTTGCTAACTATTTACTAATAATACAATTGTTTCATGAATATCAAATTAGGTAGGTGAGTGAGTTGGGTTTATCGGTAACACGAACTAGATAATTACTAGTTATGTATGTATGCTAGAGTGGATAGGTAGTAAGCAGGTAGGCCACATGTCAAATTTACTTCTTACAAAGAGCCGAGGGGGGGAAAAAAGAGTAAAGGAGACAGATAGTAGATGATGAATAATATACTATATTTCGTTCCCGCTGCATGAGATAACCATAGAGGTAGGAGAAAGGGGAGGAATGAGTTTGGAAGAGAAAAAGAAAGAAAAAGTCAAAAAGAAATCTTTCTTTTTTTCCGCTGAAACAAACATGCACCGGAAAATGATGACTCAATCCCTCGAAGAGAATAAGAAAAGTAGAAAAAGGAAACATGCCCATATACCAGGTACCCAACGCTAGACAATCCAAATCCGGTAATCCGGCGACAATAACAATAACGGGGAAGAGAAAAGGGGACAGAAGAAGAAAGAAAAAAAAAAGTAAAGGTAGTAAAGTCATCATCAGGCGGTCAACCTAGGTCCTGCCACGTGCTTTGCGTGGTTCGTAACATACAGACATGCATGCATGCATGCGGTCAAGCTGGAGTGTGCGCGTGAGTGTGCGCGTCGAAAGTGTAACTATGATACTATAAATATGTGTATGAGGGGCGCGCTGATGAGGGAGATGAATGGAGGGATGGATGATGATCATGAGTAGAAAGCGCTCTTCTGGAAGCTTTCAGGCGAAATATCACCCATCTTGCCCTTCAGCTGGGGCTTCTTGGCTTCCGTGGCGATCTCCTCGGATGCGCTCGCCTGCATCGAGTTGCTGCGACTGCCGGCTTCGCTGCCCGAGGTGATCGCTTGCTGTTGTGGGCGGCGCTGGATGGTCTCCAGGTACGGTCCCTGTAAGTATCCGACGCGGCCATCACGAGCACGGCAACGCCACCACTCCGAGGCGTTACCCATCGGATCGGATTTGCTTAGGACAGCGACGATGTCGCCCTTCTTCACAGCCAAATCGATGCCGGAGCTCTCCTGGGCTTCAGGGGTGTAGTCGTAGAGCACGCGGCAAAAGTCAAGCTTGGAAGGGTCAAGCGGTGCGCCTTGGCCCTGCACGGGCTCGCCATTTGGACCCAGCATCAGCTGGCGACGTTCCTCTTGCGACCGAGCCAGAGCCTTGATCAGCTTGCCCATCAGGTAGGGAAGACCGAATACGGCGATCAGGAACATGAAGAACGGCTTCTTGGAGGGCTTGGGGGGAGCGGGAGTGCCATCCGGCAGGGTGGCGGGGGAGGAGCGGCCGCTGAGGAATGCTGCAAAGGCGGACGGAGTGAGGGCGGTAGCATCAGCCGGCGGGGGACGACCGGTGATCTTCGCGATCAGAGTCTTGAACCAGCGGATGATGGTGAAGATACCGAGGGCGGAGCCAAGCGTGTTTCGGAGGTTGCCGAACTGCTCTGCCACAGAGACCATGGCTAGGGACAACTATTAGTGAACAGGCAACAACGCGCCGAGGAAAAGATGTTAACGTACCAAAGAAGGAGCTGTGCGTCGCCATGTATGTGCTCTCCAGCATCTGAGCGAATCCTCCAAACGCACCCACGATACTCTCAATCATCTGGAACGTAGCTTGGGTGCTCTGGCTGAAGGAATTCGTCAGGCTGTTGGGATCGTTGGGATCACCGGGCATGCCGCCGTACATCCCCCCCATGCCTCCCATGCCACCATACATGCCGCCATATCCTCCCATGCCGCCATAGCCTCCGTACATGGAGCCCATCGTGCCGAAGCGGGAGTACGGCGACGAGTAGCTTCCGTAGCCGCCGTAAGGGCTTGCGCCGAACCGGGAGGCCGAGTAGGGAGAGTAATTGGAGGCGGTGCGATTGACAACAGAATTCAGTGAATTAGGACGGGACGGGAGATCGGGAGCAGTAGATGTTGAGGATGCTGTAGCTGTGGGGGCCGAGGCACTGGCGGCCGCGGTCGGAGTAGTCGAACTGGCCGTCATCGCGGATGAGGCGGTCGGAGTAGCCGCCGATGATGTTGCCAAAGCAGGAGACCCTGTAAGTGAGTGATGTGTCAGTCACACCGTAATATGAAGATATATATTGTTTTACTAATTCATCATTTTCCAAGAGAGCTGTGGACATACCAGCAGCAGCGCCTGCCCTCTCCCACGGTTTGGGTGGCGAAACGGACGCCATGGATATGCGGGAGGGGTTTGGTACCTCAGCAATCTCGCATGGAGATGGACCTCACAGAGGAGGCCAGTCAGAGCGAGAGCGAGAGAAGGCGGAAATAGCGCGACAGAAGGATTAAGGGGGGTAGTCTGGGGAAGAAGAGAGGGGAAAAGGGGAGCGAGGAGGTAAGAGACAACAGCACGAGCGATAGATTGGATGGATTGGATGTGATGGAATGGATGAATGAATGAGAGGCGATGGATGGCGATGGAGACGGAGGCGGTGGAGAAAAAGCCAGAAAAGAGGAGAAAAGGTCGCATGTGGCCCCGATGGACCGAGGCTTCCCGCTTGCCGAGTTAAGTCCCCGGTGTTGATTATTCCACTTATTCCACTTATCTTTCCATCTACTCCGTAGATTAATCAAAGATAGCTAGTTATCTATCGAGTGGGATATCATATTTGCCGTCCAAATTATCTGAATATAATATATCACCATCAAATGCTCAGGCCCATTGCTTGAAATATGTACAGCGGCCTAAAATGCTCCCAGAACTCCCGAGATGCGATTTCCCAACCCCAACAGGCATCGTCAACAACGCCGGCCCAAACAGATCGGAAAAAGATTAGTCCTCAACGACGCTAGTTATACAATACAATCCCAGTCACCGCCATCTTCCACCACGTCTCCTTGCCCAGTTCTACTGTCTAGAGCTCCTCATGGGTCGGGGGTGTTGGAGGGGTGGGTCGCTTGGGAAGCTGGATCCTCCAGGACCGTGGCGGCACAGGCAGACCCAGCCAGTAGTTCCATACCCGAGCAACCTCCAGGACGGCGATCTCGAAGCTGCAATGCCCAGTTAGTATATAGGAAACTGTGGAGGTCATCGTATGCCATCACTTACAATGTCTTTGGTGCATTGACCCAGCTCTTCAGCACATAGACGTAAATGTCCCAGATCATAGAGAACTCGGCCTTAATATCATCCCAGACCGTATCCGTGTCGCGGCGTACCCGGACCTTCTCCCACGGAAGTTTCTCGGTGATGTAGACAAAGTTGTCATCATCGCCATCCTCATAATAGAAGGTCGAGCCACCGTCTTTGAGAAGTCGTCGGGTCTTCTTCTTGCCACCGCGCTCCTTGGACGCAATGCTCGCGGGGATGGTGAAGACCTCCCCATCACCCACATCCATGGCCCGGTGGAAACTCCGGACGGCGGCAATGCTGTGAGAAATGCGACCAAGGGTATTGATCAGTGCCACCAGCTCAGTCCGGCGCAGCAACGGGTTCTCGCCGTTCTTAGTCTCGTCGTACTCGAACAGCACTTTCAGAGCGGTGCCATATCCGTTGACCTGGAGCTTGCCCCAGAGGCGGCATTTGTCGCACCCGACGCAGTCCATCAGGCGACTGACGTTGCGGAATCGGTTGCGGAAGTCTTCCTTCAGGCCAGCGGCGCTGGGATCCTGGAACATGATGTTCTCGTCGAAAATTTGAGGGCGGTCAGCCAAGGTCGAGGTCAACTTGGAGACCTTCTCCCTAGTCATGGCATCCTGGACCGGGTCACCGACGCAGTAGTTGTAGTTGTGCAAGTGTTTTTGCAGCTTCGCCACGGCGCGCGAGACCAGCGCGTAGTTGAAGTACAGGTTCGAGATGCGCTCGGGGTGATCGTGGAGACGATCTTTGAAGCATTGAAGGTTAGGATGCCATTGCCCCGTCGTCTGGTTTAGGTAGTCCCAGCAAAGGTGGGTCGAGATAGACGCATGCATTCCACTGATGAGACGATGGAACACTCGCTTCTCAAGACATTCATTGTCCAATGGAAGCAGGTCGGGGCGCTTCAACTCCTGCTGAAGCACATGACGGAAATCGTTGACAGCTTGAAGACCACCCAGCTGAGGAGTAACGGGTGATAGCTCGGGCACCGGTTTGAGGAAGCAATTCTCCCGATAGATTGCATCCCAAACCTGATGGGCGCCCATACCGGCATACCCTGTGAACCGTTCTGGATTATCAACGAGACTGACATAGTCTCCCTTGCCGCTAGCACCCTCATCTTCGGGAACACAGTAGTCGCGTTCATCACATTCATCGTCATACTCCACCACACAGCTCTCTCCAACATTTTCGCCTAGCATTCCTTGGAGCGGTCGATTAAGAGGTCGCTCCTTTCGTTGATTGCGGCCCGGATGGCCTGCTTTGGGTCCCTCGAGTTTACTGAGCTCCTCCGCGCGCCATGTTAACGGAATGTCGTCTTCGGATTCGATTGTGTTGACGGAGCATGCAATGTTCCCGCACATGCTATTCGCATCGGACCAGAACGGACAGACTTTGTTAAAGAGATTAAGACGGTAGTACGAGAAGAAATCGGTATCTTGCGTAATGGATTGGAGGAGGGTGTAGACTTGATCGTTCAGATGATCGATCGTGGCGTAGGAGACACAAGCGTCGGACACCATGGCAGTGGGGTCAATCTGGTAGAGATGAGGATGAATCAGCCAAGTCTGGTCTACAATATGCAGTCCAAGCGTATGCCCGAGCGTTGTATCGACTTACCGCACACTTGTCCTGGTTATGGTGCAGCCCAGTCTCGGCATTGGAAAGCCTCGACAGGGCAAATACCGCCAAATAAAAAAATTTGGCTGCGGAGCGCATCTTGGAATAGCCGGAGACCGGCGGAAACGAGTGGACAAGGATGGAGGAAAGGATCGGAGTGTATGACAGAAACCAAGAGAGTATAGAGTGAAGCTATGCAATGAAAGTCTATGGTAGGTAAGCAAGAAAACAGGGTCCTTCACATGAAGATCAGCGACGGAAGGGAAGCCTGGATTGTCAACGGTCGATCGTGGTCAGGCCAAATGACATTTCCCTGCACAAGAGATGATGCAGTTCCAACCGCAGCAAAAGGAAGCAGAAACGAATGATGGGAATAAAGAAGCAGGTGGAACGAGGGGACTGATTATTCAAGGAATGTCCGTTGCGAAGTGGACAAGTTGTCCTTGGTGGCGCGGAGTTGCATGATCCGCAAGTAGTCATCAATAGTCATCAAATCAATTCCATCTCCGCCGGCTTATCGCCGCCAAAAAAAACCCTTGTTTCAGCGAGCTCCCCACTGCGACGATCCACGGTAGTCTAGATGTATCTGTCTATAGAAACTGTATACATATCGACTTTTTGTCTTTGTTCTCTTTGATGTTCATTTGGGGGTTCGACTGGGTACGTCTAAAGTTTCATTGGGGTATATTGGTTTAATTCGGCGATCGCAACTCGCAGTATCAATAGTATGTTCGGATCAGCTGACGGGTTTGGATAGCAGGATCAAGATCATGCTGTCGCATGGCCGTGTTGGTAAGATTAAGGGGCGTAAGGAGCGAGCTGGCTGCCACAGAGCGCCGCAACGGCCACGGTACATGAAGCTGCCACGCTGCTCCAGCTGTTGACTTCCAGAATGGAATCATGTATCGGGGTAGTTGCTTTTCTTGTTTAGCTGAGTACATATACAGGCTGATGAGGTAGTTGGTTAACTACTAAGTTGAGTAACTATACCATGCGCTTTGACGCGAAGTCATACAGGCTCCGCAGGCTCTAGGACATGTCAGACGCATGTCTCGCAGGTTACCTGTAATACTAGATAAGGGGCATGAGCATATATTTAGTAGTCTGCGATACAACACATTGAATGAACTGTTACGCTAACGCGGCTCCGTATAGTGGATGACTACGCCATATGCACTTTACACTGTTTATCGGCCAGAGGCATATTGTAACTCGTCAGATTTGACTGTCAGACAGCAGAAGTAAGAACAACCATGGATATTCCCGATCCAGGCCCATCAAAGGGGGCTGCAGCAACCATAAACGCCATCCACCGTGATACTCCAGGCTTCAACTCCGAGCGTGACACATCATGTCATACCGTAATCACCGAGGTCATGACCGGTGTCGCAGGGGAATCATGGTAGAATACATAGAGAAAGAACGCTCCAAAGATCACTAAAAACAAACATCGAATCTCGCAGCTCTACCAAGGAGACTGCGGTCTTATAGATGAACCAACCGCCAATGCATGTTGTCGTACGGCCGTATACAAAAGGTTCAAATGAACCTTTTTAAGAAGTTCCGCTGCGCTTGCGACGACGGATACTGAGCGCCTTCCGGAGCGAGGCGAATGGCTTGGGGTGGGGTGTATTGTAAAAGGGGTCCTTTTTGAAATCCTCATCGGTGAATTTCTAGAAGGAGATTAGAGCATGTTGTGACAAGTGCACAGCAAATTAGCAACTTACTTGACCGGGACAACGCATAAAGTTTCCATAGTCGTTCATCATGTTCGGCCCCTCCTCGTATTCGTAGGTGCGCCCCTCCATGTCTGTGTGACCTGGAGGGTAATAAGCCACACCGTCCAGAGGACGGTGACTATCAATGCAGTCCCTAATTTTATCTTTCGGAGTCGCCTTCAAGGTCTCGGCAGTAGAATTTTTGACTGCCTCAACGGGGCTCTGCTTGGTGTGGTAGTTTCTCTCCGCATAGACAGCATCGTAGGGCCCCTCGTGATGATACTGGCAGAGACTCGCGCTGTCCAGACGATCAATAACGTCCGGATTGACCAGCAGCGAGTTTCTCGAGTATCTGGCCGGCTGGGGGTTCGACGGGCTGCCATGGCGATGGCGCCGAGAACTATACTGAGAGGTGGAGCTCTCCTTCCTCCGTCGGGGCTCGACGGGATGATGCTCCGGCGAACCCGAATAGTAGACGGAGGGGAAAGACGTAGAGCGCTGACGGTTCAAGGACCGTCGACTCGGAGAAGAAGAGAGGAAGCGTTGGTAGGATCCATAGCTGTCCATTTCAACATCCATGTCCATTAGGTTGGGATGATACCGATGGGAGTAAGAGGACCGGTATGGGGTCGCACAAGCTGGGAGAACGGCGGACGCCATAGTTACTGGACGCCTAAGGAAGAAGGATAAAAAACGAGAGGGGAGAGAGAAATGGAGGGAGAGGATGCCTCTCAAGGTTGGAGGAGAGAGTTAGGTATATATAAGGACAACAGGATGTCCTATAAATGTATGTAGGCGTTTAATAGTAGGGCCTACTAGTGACTGCCTGCGTCTGCAGCCCGTAACTCAAACGAGTGGTGGGGCTTAGCAGCGGTGAAGTCGGGTATTGATTATAGAGTTGGGAGTAACGTTGTAAGGTGCGGTCTGTGTGGTTATGAGTGTGGCAGAGTAGATTTGAAGTAGACAGTAAGTAGTAAGTCTGTATTGCAAGGTAGTGGTTGTTAAGATGGGAGTAGTAGGAAGAAGTTGAAGAAGAAAAGAGAGAGCGAGAGAGAAAGAGGACAAGACGGAGAGTAAAAGGAACGAGAAGACCCAGAGGGAAGAGTCATAATTCATCATGATTTAGGCTCTGGTCATCGCTGGTCATGCAAATGCAATTCCGAACCGGTGGACCGTGACGTGACGAGTAGCGCCGCATTGCTTTTCGATTTGCTCACATTTGCTTCCACGCGATCCGGGGATGGGTTTGTATTACGCCTTATCGATAAGGCTCTACTTAGTAGACTAGAACGTATGTCCAGTCAAGACTAGACCGGTTCGGTTGCATCGGATGTCCTCTTCGATGATGAAAATACCTGGGCACATCTCCTGTTGTTAGTCCACTGGGTGACTCTTTCTGTAGGTGCGCGGAAGGCTCGGGCCCCAGGCACTCCCCTCCGCCCCTCCCGGTTCTAGACTTAAGGAACCAGTCAGGATGGCCCAGGCTGACATTACAAAGGTGGTAAATCCCCATGGAACCTCTAGAAGGTCCCTGAGGGATTCTAGTGGAGTCGCAGTGGCAATTATCGCCGTCATGATTGTCGTGTCGTCGTCAGCTGTGGATGCCCAGGGCCACCATCCACCGGCTGACTAAATCACTCGCACCACTTCGAGTGCGAACTGAGTCTTGACATCATAACCACCAGACTTCCACACCAACTGACTGCGACATCCTGCAAATCCCTTCTGACATTCAAATTTACATCATCTGCAGAACAGGTTGGGTATCACAAATGGGAGGTTTACTGACTAGATGATAGAGTTACTACTAGTTAACTAGATAACTACGGAATACCCACCGTGCTGAGCAGCTCCGTCTTTAAGCTTATCTTTAGTGACTACGATAGCGCCAACGGCGGGCTGGATCTAGCCCTGCTAGTCTTGAAACAAGTTTTGGTCTGCAACTAAAAAGCACGCGCCAGTATTAACGTCTGCATGCCTCTGACAGGCGCTTCTACGAGTTGCTTGTTACACACTCATCCACGCACAAAAGTAATATGATGGTCCGCATCGCATGTCAGTCAGTCTGCGACGGTCTGCATGGGCGACCCAATGCATGGAGGATATGTTACACAGGGTCTAGATTTGTCCTACGAACCCTCAGGGACTAGAAGTATTGCAGGCTTATAATTAGAAACGAGCCAGGTGAAATGAACGCATATTTCCAGGTACCTTCGGTCTACTTTCTCTCCCTGTCAGGGGGCTGAGGTCCAACCATGGGTTAGGGGCCGCAACCCTGGCGAGGTGACATGAATAATGCAAACAAGCTTCGACGTAATTTTCACATAATTCGCATCTCTGCTAGTCTTTTGAGCAATGCCAATAAATAGACAGCCGATGAAGAATCTCATCATTGTTCATGCTCGCTTTGTGATCCCTTTTGCTTCGATCCTTGTTGACCTCAGCTGACGAGATAGTAAGACGCTCAACGTACAGAGTAAGATATTCATAGCCACCATAAAAGCAATCAGGGAAAAGTGTTGTCTCACAATGGATCAAATCTCTCACAGCTACACGATGTGTTCTGTTAATCTGCGAAAAAAAGAAAAAAAATCCACCGATCTAGAACCCCTTCCAGCTCCAACTGGTGAGTCTTGGCAGCCCTACCCGTAAAAAGCAGTGTTTCAATACGGACAACCCGGATCCACCATCCCGACCCGATGGAACAACAATTTACTACTCCAACTGCGGCCACCAATTTCATCCTGCATGTCCACTTCCAACCAATGTCCTTGACCCTGTAATGGCTCTGGTGCAATATTCTGAATCAGAATCCGAAGTAGAGAACGAGCTTCCTCAGCGCCCAACAAAAAGGCCTCGTCAGGCCGCCAACAATCCATCTTCCTCACTCCCACCTTTACCTGCCGCTTTTCACGATCTCTATGCCTCCAGCACTCGCGTCAGCGTGACCGACGACCCCAGTCTCCACGGAGGCCGAAAAAGGGTCATTCCCCATGTTGAAGGGAACTGGCCGACCCACATCTACTTGGAGTGTATGTGTCATCCATCACCACCACCAGCACCCTCTGGCAGTAGTTGGGCCCTCGAGAACGGAAATAACAGCCGTATAACCAATCCACAGGGTATCCATCCAAAGATGAGCTTTCTATTCTTAGCGATGTCATAGATCAGATCAACGATAGGCTCGATGGGAGCACGATTCAGCTCCACAGCCTACTACATAGTGATCTTGGCGCGCAACTGCCCCTCCACATTAGTCTGTCTAGACCAGTCGTGCTACGAACGGAACAGCGGCAGTCATTCTTGGAGCTATTTCAGTCTCAACTGAAAGAGTCGCAAATTCCAGCGTAAGTAGCTGACTTGTTTATTTGTTTCGGTCTCTATGTTTTTGTGATTGATCAATCCACCATGCTGACAAGCTATGCAAGGTTCAACGTCACGACAAATAGCCTCGACTGTGTCTCGAATTACGAGAAGACGCGGTGGTTTTATGTCTTGCGTGCAGAGAAGCCAGAGGAAAATGCTTTGAACCGTCTTCTTCGGCTGTCTAATCGAGCCCTGGCTCGGTTCGAACAGCCTCCGCTATACGAGTCGTCACAGGATGTGGCGGCTGTGCAGAAGTCAAATGGTGGTGGTACGACACTGCCACGGGTGTCGAGCGAGTCTGGCCAGACCGGAGCTGATTACTCTCACTGCTTTCATATCTCGTTGGCGTGGAGCTTGACAGGTCTGTCGTCTGCAGAGAGTGAGCTGATCGGAGGTGTGGATTTGCAGAAGGTACGTGAGTTGAGTGTGCGGTTTGATTGTGTCAAGGTGAAAGTTGGAAACCATGTTTCTAGTATACCGCTGCAGTAGAAAGATAAATTTTTGACATAGAGTTGTACATAGATAGAAGTATTTGCTAGAATACTATAGTTGGTGGGTGGGTGTTGGTGACGCTGACTCTTTCAGCAATACTCGTCTTCATATATTTGGAGTGATCGAATATATTATTGGTCATCATAAATCCTTGGCGGCTAAAGAAACATGAACTTACTTATCGAAGTAATGGACTTGAGCACGAAGGAAGTATTATCACAGGTCTGTACTCCGCACAGTGTAAATTGGATACACATCGGTTATCCCAATAGATTCTATGATAAATCCAGCATTAACAAGATACAGGCACTAGAAGCGCATAATCCATGTAACAAACTAGTTCATCATAAGTGCGCCTCATGAGCAAAATTTGACACATGCTCACTGGTAGTAAATTATCATTCCAACCTAATAGACCCTGTCTGTATCAACGATAGAATAGCAGAAACTTATTAAAGTTTAGTATTTCAGACTACCAAGGATCCAGAGAGGCACTATCCCGTCACTTTATCTTAGAAAATTACTTGACAGTCTGCCCACCTAATATATATATATCTATCAGAGACAGTACTAGATTCCATCACTGTTAGTACCCAAACAACTACGTCCATTCTCTCCAAGTGTAAGTTACCCAAGTAATGAACAAATACCTATCCACAATAATATCCCATTTAAAGACCAAACCATGTCCATCTACTTCACCACTATTGCTCTTATATACTATCAACCTCGGAAACATCCATTATTAATAATGAGCAAGACCCCCCTTCCCCCACGCCAGCATATCCCCACTACCAACCCTGTAATATTCGCCCGTCCCATACAATACAATACCCACCGCCCAGGCACGTCACAAACAGCTAGCCTGATTAACACACGCGTAGCTTAGCTAGCTTTCATCTCTTCATCTTTATCTTCGAACCTCCCTCCCCTTTCCTTCACTAACAACCAAAAAAAATATATATCCCATCTCATCCAAAATGTCCCTAATCACACCACCCCCCATCACCATCGTACGTTATCTCCTCCTTCCCCACATCCATCCCAAGAAAAAAAAGGAAAACAAAAATCTAACCCGCACAGGAAGACCTCCATGCTTTCCAAGCAAAACACTTCCCGGGAAGCCTCATCGTCCAGACACCACAACCGCAAGCAGTGACCAACACCAACCTCCCCGAAGAATACACCTCACATGACTACGAAGAACAATACGACTGGAATGAAGAATATGAAGAAGATGAAGATCTAGGCTACTACCCTGACGGCGTGAAACGCACACTCACGGACGAACAAATCCGCATTTTCAGACATAGTGAGATCCATGCCTTGAGGAGGGAGAAGGAGTTGCGTGAGGAGGAGGAGGCGGATGCTGCTGCTTCCGCTGCTGCTGCTGAAGCTGAAGCGGCTGCAGAGCGTGCGGTAGATGCAGGTGCGGATGTAGGCGCAGATGCGAACGCAAAGACAGATGCTGCTGGTACGGAACAAGCGAGCAAGTCTCGAGTAGAAGGGGAAGATACGGATGTGAAGATGGATTATGGGGATGGGGGTGTTTCGAATACAGCTTCGACTTCGAACCAGACTTCTAGGCCTGTGCCGCAGTTTACAGGCAGGAGGATCATTTCGTATGATGATTGAGATTTGGATTGAGGGAGAGGACGGGGCGTTAAGGTGGTTTTATGTGACTGCCTCCTATCAACCTATCTATCTGCATGTCTGCCTATCTGGCTATCTGTGATGTGCTGCGATTAGCCACTCTGGTTTCTTACGCCCCCGCAGGAATCACCGTCGACATTGTGTTCGAGACTCAAAGTGCTTTGCATGCACACCGACCTAACCTTTCTGACATGGTGAGTTACTCACAGCATTCATTTCTTTTTGTTATTCTGCCCCCCACCATGATGAAAACATCGTATCAGTCATCCTTAGTCGGAGCGCCATACCATCTGCGGATGTGTAAGGCTATGTCGACTTAAATCTTCTCTCTGAAGTTACTTGTTATTGCTGCCTGTTGGACTTGAAATTTTCTCTATGTTCTGTCGCTAATCCACTTATTGACTAGTGCTGTCTTGGACCAGGCAAGAGCAACTGAAGTGCTGCTTTGCACATCCTATGTATTGCTGTTGCAAATACCCAGTAATTGGGTGTGCGACACAACGGTTACGTTGTGATCCGGACCCACGTCTAGTAAAAGGCTTGAGCGATAAAAGCCAGCCTCTCGACTTCGCTGAGAGCATGACCTTCATGGAAGCAGCATGTCTTTATTAAACCGTATTGGTTCAAGTATCGAATCTGTTATCTATCAACATGGCAAAATCTATCGATGCTTAGGCTATAGCGCTGCATCTCAAATATAGCCAGTATGGCCTTTCTACATCTACTCAAAGCGTGATGGGCCTCTGTCTAGGGACAAAGCACCAAAAGAAGGCAATTCCGATGAGCAGTCCAAGCATTATGGGCTGCAAGACCTGGACGCCGGCCTGGGAGGCCACCGCTCCTGTTAGGAAAGGGAAAGCAGCGGACCCGGCCTGTCCAAGACTGGCAGTGAATCCTGGTGATTGTCAGCATGAGCAACTATACATTCCACTGTCAGCTACTCACCCATTGCTCCAATGTGAAGTTCCTGTGGGATAACCTTGGTGAGGACGTAAAGTCCAACCGGGTAAAAAGGACCGATAAAGAATCCTGATATGATCTATCAGCATGGATCCAACAGCGGTATAGCTTCGTATCTGGCAGGAATGAGATGCTCACCCAGGAAACACACAGTAACCGCATTGACTGTGATGTCTGGAACCAGCCAGAATAATAGCTGCATCGCCACAGCCAACGCGGTATAAACGAACACCATGCGTCGTTCACTAAAGCGATGCGTAATGTCCGCCAGAGCAACACGGCCCAAGGTAAAGCCGGCCCAGAAGCCAGAGGCAATATAACCTACCTTGGAAGGGTCGCCGTTTCTCACCGAAACTAGAAACTGCACAAGCCAGCCTGAAACAAATCAGCAAGGGAGCCTCTTCCGGTCCATGGAAGAACTTACCTCCAGCAGTCACCTCCGCACCAACGTACAAAAAGAAGAAGCCGTTGAATATCCACACTGTCTTGTTCGTCACAGTCTCTCGGAGTTCCTTGCCAGCCGTGTCCTTTGCATTGCTCACATTCGGACGGAAGAGCCCCTTTCTGAAGGTCCAGACCAAAGATGTGATATTTAGTGCGCCGAACAACATGGTCACGAGGTAGTAATGATGCCAAACTGGCATTCTCGAGGCAATTGTATTGGCGATCAATGGAGCAAGGATAGTTCCGACACCATACACGGCATGCAAGACACCCAGCCACCGATGGGCGTCCTTGACAGTTATAGTGAACATGTTCATTTGGGCATCTTGGAACGCTACGCCGCAGCCAGTGAAGAAAAATGCCGCCACGAAAAGGGGGAAAGGCGGGCTCCAGAACATCAGAGCATAGCCAAGACACTGGACTGTTGCGCCCAGAACCAATGTACCGCCTGTACCTATGTGAGAACACACGTGGATATTGGCGAAAGAGGCGACAACCCAGCCCACAAAGTTAACTAGGTAGATCATGGACACCTGCAGAAGACCAACATCGTAGGTCGGCTGAATGTACGGGATCAAAGGACCCAATGCAGCATCTTTATCATTGCATCATCCGGGTGTCAGCTTTGGGTTGACTATTGCAGGCACGCTATCGGGGGCGGGGCAATGTACCGTTCAGCCCGGCCATCAGTGCAGCAAAATTCGTACTGAGGATCTTGCTTTTGACATCCTGGACATCCTTGGGGAGGAGAGACGTAGACTCATCGGCCGGAGACGCTTCATGTCGAGCGTAGTTGCCATTTTCAGCTTCTCTGTGGCCATCCATCTTGCTAATTGAACTGGACTGATTAGTAGTTGCATTGAGGGGAAGGGCGGCCTCGCACTGGAATAGCCAGTTACTTATATACGAAAAGGACAGAACAGTAATCCTTGGCGGCAGCAGCTAGCTCCACCATCGCCTAGCTCCATAGCAGGTAATCGCGGCTAGCTAACAAAACCGACCCCAGCTGATGGGATGGATGGATGATGGTGGGGTAAACCCGAAGTTCAAGCGAGGGTTGTAAGCAGGGCAACTGCCTGCCTGCCTGTCTGTCGGTGAGAACCACATATGGATTTTGGGGTCTAGCCCGCCCCTCTTAATTGTGCTTGGGGATTCACCTCGTGCAGAGACCAGAGTCAAAACTGCAATGAGACTGGCGAGAGCCGATGTCAGGTGGACCAGCGGGCAACTGGCGTCTTGTTTTGCCGCTTCGGGAAGGTCTGCCAGCTGCTTACTCATGTGTCTATGTGGTGAGGTGGTTAACTAGCGCCTGGATGGACCTTCCTGATGTCAGGTTGGTTATCGGAGACTCGGGCCGAGAGAGCGTGGAAACGCTTGATGCTGAGATGTCGGTTCTTAATGACTGCAATCAACTAGCTATCAGGCTCTCAAGTTGATAAGATAGAACCCAAACGTAGTCGTGGATATGGCTCACAACACTCCGAAGATAGAGGATAGATACACTGCTACTCCGTAGTCTTATCCTTGAATGATAAGTTGCCTTGATCTCTTGGGAAAGAACCAGAGTAAGGTGCTGGGGTAAGTCTTTCCTAACTCAGACCAGCTGGTGCAGAGCACTTCGCATGGCAGCGAAGAACAGAACTTGTCCTACCGTGATGGGGACCGGAGTATTGCTGTTTCGAATATTCGGCCTTTCGTGCCAGGTTCCAATGCCGTAGACGCAGTCCAGACAGTAAATTGTCAAACCGGGTCGTTTCAAGTTAAAGGCTGTCGCCTGGTCCTGCAGAAAATAAGTAAATATGACCGTGAAGAGACTCATGTCCAGTAATGGATGTTTTCATGAGGGCATATAACAGTTCTGTCGGTTGCTGAACTGGAATCAATGGTAGAAGGAAGGGGATATTGGGTTTGACGGATGATTCTGTTCTGATAGTACAATCGAAAGGTAGCCCTGTTGAATTGGTCTTATGTGAACTCCAAATAGCTGCATGGACGCTTAGAGCACGAGTATTATGGCTGAAAGAGAGAGAAATGAGGTGATGACCAACAGGTATAAGGGGGAAATGATGGTCAATACCCATTGAGTTCCAGGGATCACTTAGGTAGCCGGTAGGCTTGATACCTAAAGAAAGCATAATGCTGAAACGGGCAGTCACTCTCCAATGGGCCTAGTCTATGCCGTATCACTCTTCACTATCGATATAAGTGGTAGTAGGTTCCTACCTAGTAGCACACCTCATAAACATTAACATCTTCATGTCGGTGGTATGTCTCACTCGCAATAGGTACAACCCAAGGGACTATGCTAACTGGATTCTTTTTGCTACTAACTACCATTCTCCTCATCCTGCTTGTATTTACACACACATATATATACGACAATATACAGCAGTCATTTGGTAATAGTAATTTATACATCCCCCACAATGTCAAGAAATTCTGCCCGCAACTAGCCGGGTTTCAAACTCAATTACCCCGGATATTTGTTGACAAATACGGGGTAACGCTTAGAGGCGGGGATACTAGTAGGTACTAGTAGTCTAATCCCTCCACGGCATCCACATTATCTTCAGATCAGGGGCACGGGCGACGTCGATTGGGCATGAGGAAGCGAGCTCGGATAATTCCCACGGGATACTAGCAGTACCAAGTACTATAGTACTTGGCTAATGGATCCCATCTCGGCCATGAGGGATAATAATCGGTCTGGAATGAGAGATATTCCCCGCAATCTAAGAATTGTAAAGGTAAGAGAAACTGAGGATATGAATTTCCATGACCAATGGATTGAATGAAAGGATGGACCCGCCTTTATCCGGTTTCTATGAGCACATTATTGATAGATGAGTGAGTGGTATGTAATGGAGACCTGAAATGGGATTGAGGAGTGTTGAAGTGCCTCGTCTTGCTTCGAACAACTTTATGTCATGCTGAGAAGAGACTTGATCTTTTTTCTTCGAAGTCTAGATCGCTATCCTCACTACTGATTAAATAGTAAGGGAGGTATCCCACCCAAGCAACAATGACGAGTATGAACAAGAAGTAGGAAAGCGGATGAGCAGCCCGTCGCATCCGTCCGATAAGCCGGTGTAACGTTGGATCTCTACAAAAGGGTGACTGACCAACCAGAAGCCGCCCAGCATCCCGGGAGGGTTACACAGGTAGATCTTAAACAGGAAGTGGAAAGGCTGGGCATTCCTGGAATCGAGGAATCCCTTCATTGCAGAATTACACTGCCATGTATCACCCTCATCACGAGCACTGCAACAATGTTGCTTGATTCGAGGCAGTGCCTGATGTTCTCCCGTCGGTGTTGCCCGGCATCGTGAGACTTTTGACCTTGCAGCTCTGTTCTGGATGACCTCAAGGAAGGGATAGAATGATATCCGTGGAAGCTTAACTGTCAAATCAGGGTGGATCGGGAAAGCCGTGGTTCACGACAAGTGCAAGGCGTGGGTTACGTCTTCGAGTATTTCCCCACTGCATGCATGCGACATCCTGACTGAACAAGCCCGACGGGGCTGCCCGTTGGGAAAATCGTGCCAGTCCATGGCAATAACGCAATTAGCTCCTTTGCAATGCGCCTTTAACTCGGCTCCTCCAGGCAATCTCCTTGTTTCCTCTCCCTTCCCCAGTCGCAGCTTCTCTCCTTCCTCCATAGTTATAACGAGCAGGCTGAGGTCAACAACCCGGTGCCTGTCTCTTTCTCCATTGCACCGGGCTCAAGTGCTACGACTCGAGCACTTCGTTCTGCACTCTGCTTGAGCAGTAACGCCGCCATCATGAGATCGTCGGAGATTTATCCTGCAAACCCCACGGCGGCCGATCAAGAGCTATGGGAAGAGAAGGAAGTGTCGACTAAACAGAGCTCCCTGGAAATCGGGGAGAATAAAGACTTCGCTCTTCATCAGACACAAGATGCCTTTGGCAATGAAGAGTTCGCAGAGGTCAAGTACAAGGTCCTCAAGTGGTGGTATGCAAGCCATTGTACGACATAACTCCCAACATTGTGCCTGACGTCTATCTAGGCAATGCGGCCTGCTCATGGTGGCTGAAACAGTCTCCCTGGGGGTGTTGTCCTTGCCTGCTGCCGTTGCCGGCTTGGGTTTAGTCCCGTAGGTGCATGCCACCTCCTGTGAGGTCTACCGTTACTGACATCACCACCTCCAGCTCGGTGATTATTCTCGTCTGTCTGGGTGCCCTGGCTACCTACACGGGCTATGTGATCGGCCAGTTCAAGTGGAGATATCCGCACATTTGCAGCATGGCTGATGCAGGCGAGGTGCTTGCTGGCCGCTTTGGCCGTGAGCTGTTGGGATTTGCCCAGATCATCTTCCTCGTCTTCATCATGGCCAGCCACCTGCTAACTTTCACCATTGCCATGAACGACTTGACGAACCATGGCACGTGCTCAATCGTCTTTGGAGTGGTGGGCCTGGCCATCTCTTTCGTGTGCACGTTGCCGCGCACTTTGGAAAAGATGTCCTGGCTCTCACTAATCTGTAAGCAGATGTTAGACTTGGATCGTGGAGGACGTCGCTGACTATGACCAGCATTCATTAGTATCTTGTCATCTGTGTTCATTACAATGATCGGGGTGGGTATCTCACACCCTGGGAAAGTAATCGAAGCAACGGTCAAAACCGACCTAATCCACGGCTTCACTGCGGTGGCCAATATCGTCTTTGCATTTTGTGAGCATCCACCTGCGAAGTCCCCTTGATGCTCAGGCTAACCCGTTATAGCTGGACATGCTGCATTCTTTAGCCTTGCAGCGGAATTGAAGAATCCAGCCGACTATCCCAAAGCCTTGATGCTGTTGCAGAGCGTCGATATCACCCTCTATCTTGTTGCAGCCATCGTGATCTACTGCTACGGAGGATCCACAGTTACTTCTCCTGCACTGGGATCAGCCAGCACGGTCGTGTCCAAAGTTGCCTACGGCATTGCGCTTCCAACAGTACGTTTCTCCTCCTTACATTAATTCCGGTGTTCTGACAACCATACAGATTATCATCGCCGGCGTTATCAACGGACATGTGTCTGCCAAGTCCGTCTATGTGCGCATCTTCCGTGGCACTGATCACATGCACAAGCGCAGCTGGATTGCCGTGGGCTCTTGGACCGCAATCGTCCTAGCATTGTGGGTGCTCGCCTGGATCATTGCGGAAGCAATTCCAGTGTTCAATAAACTGTTGAGCTTGGTTGTATGTCTTACACGCTTGTTCCTATCGTACCTGTACAAGTTAAGGGCAATCTAACAATATACAGACTGCGCTCTTCGCCAGTTGGTTCACTTTCGGCCTGAGCGCGATCTTCTGGTTCTACATGAACCATGGCCAATGGTTCTCGTCTCCGAAGAAAGTCGCCCTTTCAGCTGTCAACTTGCTTGCTCTGGGGGTTGGATGTTGTCTGGTACGTGTATCCCCCACTGATCCGGACCAGTCTACTCACAAATACAGTGCGGTCTTGGACTTTATGTCTCCGGAAAGGCCATTCACGACGATCCCCATCATGCCAGTTTCACCTGCATGAGCACTGTGTAACGTGTGATGATGTTTATGGTCTCTGGTCCTTTTACGATAGATTGGGAGTTTGGCGTTTGGGTGTCAACCTTGGTTAATCTTTCCTCACGATCATTATGAAGTTCTGATACGAAGAAGACGGCGTCTTGTATATAGGTTCTTGTAAATACATTATGCTCATGATCGGTGTCAAGAAAAGCATAACAAGCATGACACTAACGCCAACCAACTCCAGTGTCTTGATTATGAACAGAACTCCGGCGCACCCATGCGTCAAAGTACTAAATGCCGCCAATATAACACAGCAGACCATGTATCTGACTTGACAGACACAGCCTCAGGGAGTGGAAACAATGGAAAGAGAAAGCGATGTAGTAATAAGAAAAGAATAAAATGGTATATGTAAACCGTCCACAGGACTAGAATACCCTAATAGGTAAAGTAAAGTATAAGAAAGTAGAAAAGAATAGAAAGAGAATCAAAAGAATGAAACATATCACCCTTCAACGCCATCCATACCATACCATACCATACCAACCCAAACCATACCCACTCACTCCAGTAATTCCCTCTTCAAACTTAGAAAGGGAAATAAAAAACCCCCGTCATCTAATGCAATCTACCCCGTTTCCCCGCGTCCACTCGCCCTCTTCATCCTTCGCCTCTTCCGTCGACACGAATCGATCGCCTCAGGCGTGAGAATCTCCGCGGGGAGCTCGAACTCGCGCTCCTCCATCTCCGGAATAGGTTGTCCGAAGGCTAAGCGGGTTCGACCTTTGCGGTTTGGTCCGGAGAGGGCTAGTTCGCGGAGATGCGGTTTCGAGTAGAAGGAGGTGAAGGGTTTGGTGGGTTCAGGGGGTAATAGTTGTGCTGGTGCTGGTGGAGGGTGCATAGCGGAGGTGGATTTGTGCTTGGTGGAGGATGAGGGTTTGGAGAGTTTCTTGCCCGTTGAGGTACTTGTAGTAGTAGGGTTGGTCGTGGTGGTGGGTGTTGTTGTAGTGGCGGATCTTGCCTCCTGGTGTAATTGTCTTGCTGCCCAGGCGTCAACGTCGTTGGGGTCTGGGGGATCTCCGCCGCAGCTTTGGGCGTCGGATAACGGGGTGGTGCCGTCGTCTGCCTCGTCGTTGGTGGAGGGGGTTGCTGTCTCTGGGGAGTGGTCTTTTTTGCTACTGCTGGCGGTGGGTGGGATGGGCTCTTCCTCGGCTGGTTTGTCCTTCTCTGACTTGCGGCGCTTTTCTTCTTCCCTCCAGATTTTGAACTTCTGGAGGACGGCGGAAATTTCCCGGATGAAGTAGGTGCGTTTGGACTCAAAGTGTTTGCGCTCGGGGTCGCTGATCAGTCCGGTAATTCCCATGACGCGGAGCCAGTCGTGGCCTTGGAGTTCGTCCAGGAGACGGTCTAGATTTTGTTTTTCGTGCTGGGCGCGGTCGCGCTCGATGTTGCGCAATTGCTTTTCCTGGCGTTCATTGCGCCGGTGCGGGCGGAAGTAGGTTTCTTCGCTGAGAGGGTCGGGGGAGGTTGTGGTGGAATCTTCGGCGGTGGGAGGTTTGGGTCGGGAGGTAGAGGAAGGAGGATTAGGGAGGGTGATTGTTTCGCAGTTGTGTAGGTTCACGAGAGGGTTTCCAAACGGAGTGTCGGTATCAGAGTTGGGGTCGGAGGATGGTGTGAGCGGTTCGGGGAGGTCGTCGAGTAGTTTGATGGTGGTATTCCCCGCAAGGAACTCTATGCAGACCAATTTTTGTTAGCCCGAGCACTATATGGATTAGTGTGTTCTCCTTGAGGCTTACCGGTCTTTGGCGGCTCCATGCTAAGGAGCTCCTCGTAGTTGGGAAAGTAAAGCGCCAGCTCGCTGCGCGCGCGGGAGCCACCATCGTGAGAGCGGAGGGAGCGCCGTTGCTCGCGCCCGGTGGAGGGCTGCTCGGTCGGGACTGTCGGCTGCTGTGGGGTCGCATCTGGGACAGGCTGAGATGGTTTAGATACTGTCGACGTCGATGCAGGCTGCTGTATAGGCGTTGCAACTGCAACATCAGGCTCGGGGTCAGCGGCGGCAGCTGAGCGGCGCGGGCGACGGGCGGAAGAGGCGGCGGCGGTGGTGGTGACGGCGGAGGGTCGTCCCGGCGGGGACACCCTCCGCGAGACCGACGAGTTGGCCGTCGCGGAGGGGGATATGGTATCTAATGGGTCTGGCGATTCGCGACCGACAGGAAAAAAGTATGATGTGATAGTGGGGGTGGAATCATTGCGGAGAATGCGACGAGCGTTCGGTCGCGGAGTGGCCGGTGACGACGAGGTGGGATTATTGCTGGCCAGCGGGCGGCGCGTCGAGGTCCGCCGGCGCAGGGGATGATGAGACGAGAGTTTGTAGGGCGTGGCAGCTGAGGAGGACGAGTTCTCCGTCGTGGTGGTGTCCAGCAGATCGGGGGAGCTTTTGCGACGGCGCGATGACGAGTGAGTCTGGAGACGAGCTCGCTTTGCAGGAGGCTCGGAGTCCGGCTGGTCGGGGGAATGGCCGTGATGAGGATCTCGTCGCAGGGAGACACGGACAGGCATCAGGGTGGTGGAGGTCATTCGGGAGGATCGAGGAGGGGAGAGGAATTGAGACGTGGGGGGAAAGAAAGGTCAGGAGGGATGCGTGCACGGCATGTCAGGGCCAGTCGGGGGCAATTCGGAGGATTGAAGTTAGCAGGAGGTTTTTTGGGGGAAGCTGAAGCACTCGAGAATCGCAGCTGCAGGTCTGGATGTGTTCCGGATTGGGAGGAGTTGAAAGTTGTATCTTTACGGATACCGCAGCAGGTATGTCTCAGTACCTGACAGGACAGGTGTTACCGCCAGGATGTATGATACCTGTCACAACGATACCTCACTGGACTAGCTTAACATACATACATCATACATCTTCACATCTTCACTCTTCTTCTACTGCATCAACTTCTGCGTGAAGCACTTCAAATTCATCCACCCCATTCACTCCTTTTCCGGCTCACCTCATTTCTCCGAGGAACCAATTCTCCGACGACTACCCCATTCCTCTACCATAATGCTTCCCAGCACGACGTGGGGGTGGGAGCTCCCCTGACTTGCCATAGGAGGGGATCTGCTGGAGAGAGTGTGGGGTGCGTGGGGGTTTGGCTGGATTGTTTTCTGCTCGACGCTGTCTGGATGGAGTCAACCGGCTCAATGTCCGACTCTCTCCCAACTTGACTGGAACTGTTTCCCCTCTTAGCCACCCACTGGCTTGCTTTCTTATATATCATGGCAACGACTTCCTCGTTGCTTTCCATCTGTCCTCCTCCTCTTCCTCCTCCTTCCTCTTCCCCCGCATTCTCCCCATCCACCACCACCACCACTCTTTATACTTCCCTCGCCACCATCACCACAATTACCCCAGATTGATCACCGATCCAATCACCACCTCCACAATGGCCATTACTCCCCGCCCCCTCAAACCCGGTATCTACGTCCCAACCGTCGCCTTCTTCACCTCTCCCAACGAAGACCTCGACCTCTCCACCACCGCCCTCCACGCCACCTACCTCGCTCAAGCCGGCGTCACCGGTCTAGTCGTGCAAGGCAGCAACGGTGAAGCCGTCCACCTCAGCCGCGAAGAGCGCAACCTCATCACTTCCACCACCCGTCGCGCTCTCGACTCTCACGCCCCCTCCGCCCCGCTCATCGTCGGCTGCGGCGCCGCCTCCACCCGCGAGACCATCCAGCTGTGCCAAGACGCCGCCGCCTCCGGAGGCGACTATACCCTGATCCTCCCTCCCTCCTACTACAAATCCCTCCTCTCTCCCAAGGACCTTCTCGACCACTTCCGCCTCGTCGCCTCCGCCTCCCCCATCCCCATCCTGGTGTACAACTTCCCCGGCGCCTCATCGGGCTTGGACCTCTCCTCCGACGACATCCTCGCCTTGGCGGAGCACCCCAACATCGTCGGCGTGAAGCTGACCTGTGGAAACACGGGTAAACTGGCGCGCATTGCCGCTGCCGCCGAACCCGGTTTCATGACCTTTGGTGGTTCCGCTGATTTCACTCTCCAGACGCTGGTGGCAGGCGGTCATGGAGTGATTGGCGGCGTGGCGAACCTGATCCCTCGGTTGAGTGTGCGCGTGATGGAGCTGTATCAGGCGGGACAGGTCGAAGAGGCCCAGCGGTTGCAGGCCATTGTAGCGCGTGCGGACTGGCAGGCTATCAAGGGTGGGTTTGTAGCGGTGAAGAGTGCGTTGCAGACGTACCGCGGATACGGAGCATTGCCGAGACGGCCGTGTGTGGTGCCGTCAGAGGCGCAGGCGACGGCGTGGAAGGATTCTTTTGCGGAGGCTATGGAGCTGGAGAGGCAGTTGGAGAAGCAGGCCTAGCTTTACTCTGTATCTACATACCTCCCATCATACAAAGGTTGTATTCCATTCCATAGGGGCATACGCACAATCAATATCCCAAGTTACTCACTTCCACATCTTCTACATACCCATCATCATCTATACAAACGGCAACACCAAATACGAATCAAACTCCACCCCACAATGAACCTCATGCACCTGCTCTTTCTCCCCCACATCCCCTCCCGATCCCTCCCCTTCCACCGGACCAAACTCCACCTCCGGATAACACAAATCACGCCCCGCCACCCTCAACATAATCCCCTCCCCAGCACCAAACACCATTCCCATCGGCCACAACGTAATATCAATCGGCACGATCTTCCCCGCCGGGATACTCTCCGCCCGATCATGTCTATACACAATCTCATGGTCTGTCGAGAGCGTCTCGTCCCGGGTGACGGCGTGCGACGCGCGCAGGAACCCCTGCGGTCCGAGCGTCTTGGCTGTGTTGACGTTGGGGACGGCGTCAACGGGCACGGGACACGGGTAGTTGAGGTGTTCGAGAAGCGTGCCGGTGGCGGAGATCTTGCGGATTTGCACGATGATGTCCATGTCTGTGTGGTGGGGGGTGGAGAGCCACAGATGTACGCGGGGGTACCCGGCTAACTGAGTGGGGGTGGGGAAGTGGAGGGTGAAGTCCTATCATTTGTTAGGAGATATTGAGAGAGAGGGTATGTTAAGGGGGAGACGTACGGAGGTGCCATGGAGGGCGGAATGGGTTGTTGAGGTGACTGTGCTTGGGAGAGAGGGTTGGAGGGCCTTGGTTGATGCGTTGAGGTAGAATTTCTTGAGCTCCTGCCGGGTTAATGGGTAGGTTTGTTCGGGGCGTTCGAGGATGGTGGGCACGGAGCTGCCTTCGAATCCAAGGAGGGAGAGGCGCACCGGTGGTGTGCTTTCCCAGTCGTTGGGTGTGTTCTTGAGATAGCGGTCGAAGAACCGAGAGAGGTCGTCGACCATCTCGGGTCGGTATAGATCGTACCATTCTTGGTATGGGTGCACGCGGAGCCATTTTCGGGTGCTCTGGGCGGTGCGGAAGGTTTCGAAGGAGCCGCGCGTGTGCAGCATCGAGGAGTATGAGGCGAGAATGTAGAGGGGGATGTCGCCGATGCGTTCAGTGTGGATACGTTTGCTCTGCCAGTAGGCGTCGTCGAAGGGTCGTTTGCTCAGCATGGCGGGCATGTTCTCCGCCGTTCCGTGACCGGCGAATCCCGTCAGGATTAGCTTGTGAAAGGCTTCGTTGTGCTTCATGCCGCCGCGCATGGTAAGGTCTCGGTATAGATCGGTAAACCCCTCCCAGGGAGCGAGGGCTTTGAGAGCAGGATGCTCGAGTCGCGAAGCGAAGTTGACCTGCGCAATGGAGAGCCACGAATTGCCTGCCATCCCGACGGAGCCATTGCACCAGGGCTGCTTGGACAGCCAGTCGATCGTGTCATAGATGTCTTCGGCTTCTTGCTGACCCCAGAAGGTGATGTTGCCTTCGGAGTTGCCGGCGCCGCGGGCATCGATGTTGATGATAGCGTAGCCGCGAGGCACCCATTCGGCGGGATCTGGGGCTTCAAACTTCTCATAGCCTGAAGTCCGGCTTTTCTCGAGCCCAGCACGGAAGGGTGCCATGCTATCGTAGCTCTGCGGACCGGTTCCTGTTTTGCCATATGGGCTCCAGGGGATGATGGCTGGGACGGGACTGGTGTCGGAGTCGACAGGACGAAAGATATCGGTGTATATCTTGATGCCATCGCGGAGGGTAATGGCTATGTCCTGCTCAAAGAGCACGTCTGTGTGGAATGCGCGATGGCCGGGAGATCGCACATGCCCTGCAGAAAGGACTGTCCTCTTGCCTGGGTGGAAACCTTGATAGTTGTAGGCAGGATGCTCCGCCGGTGGAGTGAGGGGGAACCATTCGAGGTCGGGAAAGGTAGCACGGATCTTCTCTTCAGTGGTGGTCATGATGTCTGATTAAACGAGCTCTGGGGTCTGGGAATCTGTATGGTGCTCTAGCAGTTTATATAAAGCACCGCATCAAGACATTGGAAAGCCCCGCATCCCCACTGCCGGGTCCCCCACATTCGGGACGTAGCATCGAGACATCTTTCGGATATATGAAGAGGTATGCGGTGATTGAAGTGGGAATTGTTTCATGGGATTGAGCGCGACCGAAGAATGCCGGGTGTTGGTCTAACATCGAGTGGTGGGAGGACTGGCATTGCTGAAGTGCAGCCACCGTCAACGCGATGACACCCATAATACCTGCCTCGGGAAGTGGGAAGTGGGAAACTCAAGTGGGAACGCATCACTGGCTCAAACCCAATTCTGAATGGATGAGCAGCAGGGAAGAAGATGGAGAAAGAGAGCGAAAGAGTGGGGAAGTGCGGAGTTGATGGAGGACTGGCCTGGCTAGGGTCAAGTGACTTGCGCCTCTCTATCTGCGTGCAAATCTCTCGGCTGTATATCAACCTCTTCGATTCAACATCTATCACAGAAGTTTGAAGGCACTACTCCATTCCCAAGGTATACAATTCCGGCACTTCCTCATCTTGTCCCATTTTCCTTTCGCCCAAGAACGCCCTCACACCCACTCCCTCCCTCCAATTCTCCATATCCACCGGTTCCTCCATCGATTTCACCGACGCCTGCCACAGAACCTTCGCATCTCGACACTGATGCACCGCACCCACCCCATCGACGTCGAAAATAGTCTTGCCATGTCGGACCTTGGTTTTCCGGGGCCGTTCGATCGTGTCATCCGCAGCACAGAGGATGCCCTATCATTATCAGAATTGAACAAAGCATGGGGGTAGACAGAAGCCAGAGACAAAAACACACCTGAGCAATATAGTCAAAGCAATGTGCCCAATGCACCTTGTCATGCAACATATCGCCTGAATGTGCCTGACTTGTTGAGTTGATCGTGTTCTCCGTTGTCTCGGGGAAGACAATCGCCCGCAGCACGATCAGACAGTGCAATTGATGGAACATTGAGATCCCCCAGCTGAGGACTTTCTCCTCTTTCTTTTCATCGGCAGTGAGATGAATACTATCGGGGATTGTGTGGGAGCGAATGCCTCCGCCACCTGGCGGCAGGAGGATGGATTCCCATGTCCGGACCTCGTCCGAGTCGTTGACTGTGCGTTCGAGTTCGGGACGCTCGTTGAAGACTCGACCGTGCGTCTGGTCTGGTGATAGGCTTTGAGACTGTGAAGGACAGATAGGAGGGATGATACGTGGGAAAGAAGTGGGTGGTGTAAGGAGGAGAATGGTGATGGTGGTTAAGAAGAGGGTGGTGAGGATCAGGGAGATGAGACAGGGGGTGTAAAGTGGTGTCTTGGACATTTCATGGCATTTCTTGTTTTCTTTCTTCAATGCCTTGATGTAGAGAGACGGCCGGGGTATGGTGGTTTCATGATTCTTTTATCTGGAGGTCATTCTTTATTGTTGCCGCATCGGGTATACAATGGTTCTTTATGGGGTCCATGGTTGAGCAGTGTGAAAGCCATGGTTCGTACGCGGGAGAGCTATATTATGAGTGTATTTAGCCCTCCTTCGAAGATGTTGAATAACTAGCTAGGTAGCTGACTAGAATACAATATGTCCATCTTGTTGCTGCCCATATCCAACATTGATGGACACTATACTACCAGGAGGGCATTCACATGACCAGCAATATCTGCACTACTTCAGCACTAATCTGCATAGTGATAAGGACCTAAACAGACATTCAAATCCCGGAGAGCTAGCTGCAAAGCAGCACAGAGCGAAGAGCGACTGTGACGACGAGTGGCGAAAACCGGGCAACCTGCAGAAACGACTAATGCGAGCCTGATTGCTGCAAGGCATCCTGACGGAATGGATACCTTGTCTGCTCGGAATGACGACAATTGGCGGGAGGCAGCTGTTTGTTTGCTACGGAGTATCCAGCATCCATCACCCAGTTATGCATCTATCTCCTAGTAATGGTACACATCTCATTCACAAACCTTACTTACGAACAACAGCGATAAACATCCGTGTAAAGAGTAAAGTTGCTGACCTAACCAGTAACAAAGTTAACCCCATCTGCAGGTCCGTCCGTCCGCCAGTCAATCAATCAGTTTAAATCCGATACTTCCGAAACCGAACCCAGCCAACCGGACTAACCGATCCGCATCATAGCAGCAGCAGCAGCAGCAGCAGCACCGCCTCCTATCCTGTCCAGGTAGGTGGTAAGTAGTAGTAGTAGGATTCCCCTTTCCCACGACGCCAACTAAAACTACAAAAGTAAACTAACAGACAAACTAAACGCACTAAAGCCAACCCCGGTGCAAAACTACGTGCCTAATTTCCTCCCCGTCTTCCTTAGTTTCCGGCTCACTGGAATGGAATTGGACTGGCGGGAAAAAATGGATGGTTGTCAATACCTGCCTTTTCGGGCACAATTACGGAGGGACAAAAACATGGGCTCGGCTTTTGTTGTTGTTCAGTTCAGCCAGCCTCTTTCCATGTCCACCTACCAAATCCAGTTTAGTCTCCTTCCTTTAGGATTCCCTAACTTGGATTCGTACGTTAATCCGTTCCTTATGACGATACTTACTTATTTGCTTAATTAATAATGATACTAGTGGCCGTGTTGACGAACCGGCCAATTGTGTCCACAGTATTGGTGTTTTTTGTTTGTTTGTGTTTTGTTTTTGTGGTCGGGTCAAGATAGTAGCTATTCATCACATGTACGGAGTACTTACTTGCGTAGACTAATAATCCATGGGGATGGTAACTACTATTACTATATTACTAGTCTTGTTCTGTCTACTATCTAGTTACTGCAGTATCTATCATCTTGTTTTTTAAACTGATACCTTCCAGATACATAGATCCAACTGTATACATAAGATAGTCAGGGGGGTGAATGACCAAAATACTCTCCCTTATCGGTGTTCGCCGTTTAATCAACCGCATCATGGCGATTTCTCTCCTGCATGTGAGTAAGTAACTATGTAATTTCAAATAAGCTACTTAGTCTTTACTACATACTTCAAGCCCCCCGACAATGCACATATTCGGATCCGAGACCGAAGTATCCCCATCTTTTAACTTCGCTACTGTCGCAAATGACGACTACCAAACACCACTTAGTCTACCTCTCCCATAATAGGTGCTAACCTCCTGTAGGTACACAAATTCATGACTCAGCTACTTACCCAATTCGTCATTTAATCAAGCAAATCATATCCACTAGTCCATCAAACCTACTCATAACTATATCGCCACATAATATATATTCATTTAGTACCTTCACCATCATCTCAAGTACACGCACACCATCAACATGCACTGCATGCAACCAGTAGATCCCCAGATCCTAGATCCTTTTTAGCAAAGTCAAGTACTAGTAAACAAACCTAGGGATTTGAATCAACATCCTTCGCTTCGCTTCGTTTCACTAGAACTTGGTGGGTTACATTCAATATTCGCCTCTCGGGCGGGGTTATTATCATCAACTGACACTACATAGTTAGCTAGCTAGCTAACTAGCTAGTTAGTAAGTGATCGGGATATGAACAACATAACCGAAGTAAGCTACCGGAGTTGCTCAGTCATTGTGTAAGTAGTGAAGGCAAATAAAAAGGCAACAAGACAATTAATTCTCCGAGTCTACTATTCTTAGTTGTGCCCTGTGTTGCCCTTGCGGATGTTGGGACTTGGCAGTAGATGCCTTCTGCTGCGCGGATATAGCGGTAACCGTACATACATGCATCGATTACGTTTGGTGGTGTGAGTATTATTGAAGACATATCGGTGAGTTAGTTTGAATGGAAGAAATGAAGGAAGGGGTATTTCTTCTGACGGGGGAAGAGATTCGATCGGAGGTTAGTTAAATTTAGGTATGAATGCCGTTATGATTATTGCGATTGTCTTCTGTGTGCAGATAGTATATATTTTCTAGAAGTTGCTATGTTAAACTCATAAGTAGTAGTTATGTTTATCTCGAAGGCAACTGGTTCCCTTACTTACTACTTACATACTATACTATGATAGTTAATCTCGCTTCTAGTACTCGTACTTTGCACATATCCTCACTCGGCTCATTCTAATGTAAATCGCTTTCTCTTCTAAGCGATCCGTCATTCACTATCATAATTACCTGCCCTATCCAGTTACTACTCAACAGTCTAGACGTTCTAGCCTAACCTCGTGGCTTAGTTTGACAGCTGCATGACGGAGAAGGTTTCCCTTAACCTCAACCAAGTGGGAAATAGGCAACGTTAACGGGAAACTCTACTCCGCAACTATATTCAATAGACAGCATCCACTGGATCCATTGTGGCAAATACGGCCCCAGACCCAACCTGCTTTCTAGTACGGATAGATGTCAAAAGGTTGGTGATCCTTCCGGTTACCATATAATGGTACCTTTGGGGGTTTAGCCGTTGTTTCAATTAGGGAGAGATAGACAATTTGTGGAATTAGCTTCCGGTATACCTCCGTAGTGACCGCTACTAGTCACTTTCTTCGTTTGCCTTACGACTCATTCTGCTTTCTGTCGTAAGGGGGACGGTAGTCGTCTAGGTAAGGGGGAGGAAAATGCCACGATGTCGTCAACTGTCGGCCAAGGCCTGGACTGGGCGATGAAGATCGCGCCCCCCGACTACTGGAAAAATTTTCAGCGCACTGTCATAGACTGCAGAAAACTAAGCAGTTGAAGTGCCTGCTTTGTAACGGGGTAAGTACTTCCGGCGGAGCAGATCCATGCATCATCAATCAAAGCGACTAGACTACTACCTTATTCAGTCGTTTAAGGCAAGTCCGTTATGATATATGCAGTTTTAGTCCCGCAAGGCACTCGCCTCAGGAGAGACATTATTCATCGGACACGCCGACACTATTGCTTGACGTCTGGGGCGCGGCGTTGCAGATCTCTGTGCTTTATCACGACCGTCCCGAGTTTCCGTCAGAGAAGACTGTGCACATCCACACACTAGACACGGCGGGTGACACCGCCTCATATGCACACGGCGCTAAATAAGAAAAAATTCTCTGGTGCCAGAGTCTCGGGGTCTGAAGGCGCCTATGCGTGCTGTCATAGGCTTGTGGACGGGGCAAATTGCATCCCTAGCCCATGGACTTAGCCACATGGACTATCCCTAAGCAGGATACAATCTACCCACTTAGCTCGGGCCCATCGTGTGCCCCAGCCACATTCTCATCGAGCGTCAAGCACACGGGATCCATCTCGGGGACCGTCAGGACGGTCCTATTTTTTCCTTTCGTTATTCTTTCAGTGGTCGCGGTATGGTATAGTAAATAGCTGCATGCAGGTTGACATGCCGAGTCATGTTTGTGGGTATCAGAGTGCTGAGCGCGGTTCTGTCGAGCCCTAATGGGCACAATGCGCTGATCATTGCCGCTCGCCCTCATGCGGGGGGGGGGGTGGCCGTTCTACGGAGTACGTACTGTGTGGTAGTAGTCAACCCCTCAGGGCTTTTCCTCCTGCTCTGCCACCTGTAGGAGGCAGGTACCTACACGATGCATACTGCGAAAATAAGGCATAACAGAAAGACGTGATAGGGCAGCTCATGCTGGACGCATGTGATGTACCAATCCCGTATCCTCATTGCGCATCGTGATTGACCGAAGATGCATCAACCTAAGCAGGGGTGCGCAAATCGGAGAAGGAATGAATGGGAAAAAAGCTGGCTGTCTCGGAACGAATGCGGAGCATCCAATGACCGTCCAGAGTAAGGACCCTCTGTACTCTAACCGTAGTAGCGGAACATAAGTGCGAGCCAGAATGGGGGCCACTATCTATGCTGGAGTGGGTAGGAAGTAGTCGTCGACTTGAAATCTGGACCTGGAAAAAAATTTCTGAATTGCTTCCTCGCGCCCATGTCGCAGGTCCTCCGGAATCCGGAGAAGGCTTCCGACCGACAGAAGAAAGTACTACTACGTTAGAACTCGAACTAGGACAGTACAAGTCTGTGGTGGGGATTGAGCAGCGTGATAAATGGCATCGCGCCGACTGCCAGGCTTGAAGTCGACCACTTCAAGAAGACATGCCCGGTCGGAACCTAATCTGGCGAATGCCCCGAGCGACTATTAAGTCAGTGCATTTGATCAGCGACTGACCCAAGATCTTGTCCCGCGGGATCTGGTTTAGTGTCGATTCGAATTGATTATTACCCGGATCTCCGAATGGGCGAGTGTCCTTGCGCTCAAATTTGAGCCAGTTCTGGTGCTGGGCGGAGTCGCTCTTCGTCCTGCCGGATACGCGGCATCTACAGTCTGGTATGGTAATCATGCATCCATCCGTGGATTCGCCGTGATCGACGACAAAGTCCCCAAGGGTACGGTGCAACCGTCAAGTGGCTGCCATGTCCGCGGATGATCATGGGTCGCAGGGATCGGTCCCTCTGCATGACTCCAAGCAGAATCCGGAAGGACCTGATGAAAGTAGTATGTAGATGATATCCGCCCAGAAAGGTAGTCAGTTGTGATGTCCAACAGCATCCATTCCCCTCTCTATCCAAGGCAGTCCGACCCCTCTTCCGTGTAACCTCGAGTGAAGCTGGTGGAAAACTGAGTAGCTCTTCCGCTACGATCATTGGCTCCTTCAGCCGGATAAGTGAGTAATAAAAACAAACCTTGATTAGCTTCCAGGTGCAATTTGTCTGCATGGCGAGTGTTACATGGGCTTCGCGTGTGCAGGTTACACCCTAAGACAAATGCCCAGGATCAAACTACCAACAATGAGCAATCAATCACACCTGGTTAAACTTTCCCTGACTGCGAAGAGAAGTAGCACGTCGTGTCTCTCCCTCTCTATCTCTGCCCCTCTCTGCCCGACCTCCCAAGCCAGGGGACTCGGTTTTCGACATATCCTGACTGGGTAACACCGAGAGGAAGGCTAATTGTCAGATGATGACCAGGTTCGTCGACACCGATCGACACATGTTTGCTAGGATGAGAAGGGGTCAGTGAGGAGTTATTGGTCCATGTCCGGTCTGTGCATACGGCTCCTGTTGGGTCTTTGGACAAGATGAATCGCGGGGTCCTCGGCCATGCATGAAGAGCGATGGTCGCCGAAAAGGATCCCGCGTGTACAAGGCCATTCTCTATTACTCTCTCCCCCTTGTCTGGCACCAATGGCTTACTGAGCGGCCTGCAGATATCGACCTTAGCTGCAGAAAGTGAAAAAGCCATGTAAGCCATCCTAGATCGACATGACACCAGTCTCGTAGAAGTGATCGAGCGATCAGAAGTATATGCTATGGCTATTAGCAGACGGCAATGGCGCTACATCCCAAGAATTCATGATTCGTGACAGCTCCACTGGGAGCTTGGGAGCAGCAGCAGACAAATTGGCAGGGAGGGGTAACCATACCCACAGCTAGCAGGACCACGATCCAGAACCAACTTGAGTCCCTTCCTCTGATTATTGTTATTGTTCGTATTTTCCAGGATCGACGCAGGGGGAAACTGTATGTCAGCCTGAGCGTGGAATCCACGTACTGCTTCAAGTGTGACCCAGCTCCCGATTACATTTAGTCTATAATGTTGGAGGTTAAGTGCCAGGATGCATAAATCCCAGGATACCTCGTCTCGAAGAGCGAATATCCGATCAGTGTCTGTCCCCCAAGGGGGAAGACATAGAGTGAGTGTGAATGTGGAGAGAGTCAGTCACCCAGAGAAAGGTCTGGACCAGACAGCCAGATGGATAGACACCCATCCCCTCTTCCATTCTCCACTACCCAGAAAGGTACCCAGAAAGTTGAGCGGAGCACGATCCATCCAAAGTAACAAAGTACACTTTCTATTCATCAGGCACCTCATCTTCCATCCCGACACCAACTTCCTAAAACCTCCATGTACCTAACCTTCCCAAAGCGGTATATAGTCGTGCCAATCAGCAAGACGAGCTCGCTTAAGCACTTAGCACTTAAGTAATTAATTACCAAGTTAGTTTCTAGTTAGGTACCTAGTAATTCCCAACAAATCTGTTAGCTGTCAATCATAATTCCTAAACGACGCAAGTTAATATATTCAAGCAATATAGATTGATTAAGTGACCCATCCGAGGGGCACCATTAGGGTCGTGAATTCGCCATGCCAATTACTACGCTAATTTCTTTCCCCGGCCTCCCCGGGACCGTAGTACGGGCACTAGATCTACTAGTTCGCATGCCGAGCTCTCCTTTGGAGACTGGTCGTGGATTTTCGTTGGTCCTTCCTTACGGCCCCCAGGATAGGGGGGGTTGACTGGTGAGGGGATGTAGATTAATGGACGGAGGGAAGTCGTCAGGGGAACGTGGAGTAGTCTTTGTCTGTCTCGTTAAGAGTGAACTACTATCTGTCTGTCTATCCAGCTATTTTTTCTGGTTAGTCAGGTCTGAATGATAAGTTAACGTAGTTAGGTGAATGTTACTTAGTCAATTATTATACCGGGGTTCTCCCGTGCGGGCACAATGTCAGGGGTTATTTGAAATAACTAACATTAGGCCGACACCCCATGAAATGCTCGTTTATTTAATCTACTTAGTCTGATTGACTTACATTGTTGCCGACAAGACATCCACAACACCGAGCGCTTATCAGTCCGTGGGTGTGCGGAGGAGTAAAAAGAAAAAGGGAGGAGAAATACAGTAAAACAGGACGGACCACAACTTTAGGGAAAAAAGCGTTATCATTTCCACCCACCTCCCAAAAAATATCATTAGAGTAAAAAACTACTAGCTAGTAGCTTCCCAACGGCTTGATAATCCGGATGCTGCAAGCGCTTACTTCTGGTCCGTAAGGTTTCCACGCAAGTCGATGCTCGGGACGAAGAAAAAGAAAAGAAATCCGAATAAAAGTAAAAAGTGTAATGGCTGTCATGATCCCTGCCATCCCCAAAATAGCAGTCCTACGGAAGCATCGCATTTGCTTCAAGTTGGTTTCATGGGCGGCAAGAATGTTGTTCTGGAAGCCCTTTTCCTGATCTCCTACTGGCGACCGTAGGGAAAGACAGTGCCAGGGGTTAGAATCCCAGCGCTTATGTTTGGGCGAATGCAAGCACCAGCACACATATTAGTGCATGCAGCTAAGCAGGACTAGTCCCAACATCATAAAAATATCCACAAAGCGCTGCCATTGCCCGACACCTGCTAACTCACTAGCTAATAAGCTGCTGTCTATCTATAGTCTAGCATATCTAGCACCATACAGTCGGGCGCTTGTTTGGGACTGCGACAATGTCTCTTGGGCTTTTAGTGTGCCGCCACGAGACGAGGCCAAGGAAGATAATAATGGAATCCTTTGTGTGACTTACTTTACCCAAGCACGATGGCAGGCGAGGGACGATTCCTTGCATCCTCCGCAACGCCGAGGTAATCTAAACGTTCGTAAAATTTGGGGCCAAAATTCAAGCCATCCCATATACTCCGTATTGATGATCCATCAGTCATCTGTCGTCGCGACAACAATGATGGGGCACCCCCTGGAAACATTGGCACCTGCCAACTGGGACCCGACACAAAAGTGACATGCGAAACAGTCTCTCTAAAAAGTGGGGTGCAGTGGAGACTCGGCCACGATCCGTCGGAACGCCATGATGGATGTGTCACTTCCGTATCCGAGTGTAACTATACCAGCCAGACTGCGTCCAGGATGTATTCTCAGCCGTCTAGAAAATCAGATTCTAAACTTAGTGCTGCATTTGATGCAAAGATCTAGGGCTTCTTTTCCAGGATGGTGTACCTTACAGGCGCACCGTGTTGTTTCTAATTCTGTATGCCTGCAGCAGCATCCGGGGATATCGGAAGCTGTTGATAAGATAGTAGGAGTAATACAACAGAGTACTGTGTTAGCCGTGTTGGCCCATTCATGCTTCCTGATTGGTGTGGCTCGTGTGGGCGCTTAAGACACATTACTTGATGGAGAGCGTGGAATCCTAAGAATAGCCAATCTGAGTCTTTTCACCACCGAATAATGTGGTCAAGTTGATATCTTTCAATTAGTGGCCGGTCGATCATTTCCTCGATGAGTCGAATACCAATCATTTCCCCTTGACGATAGAAACTTTTTTTTCCCTTTCGTACTTGTGTGTTTTGAGTCTGACACATGGGAGCAGGGATTATTCCCTCCGTCGAGTTGACATTTTGGGCGCACCTCGAAATAAGGCTTAGCGAACCCCTCGATGTCAATCCTTGGGGATGTCTGGAACTACCTGTCACCTTAAGTTTTCGATGATCAGGGATGCTCCTTGAAAGGCAGCTTTGCACGGAAATGCTCCAGACTGTTTCCCCCTACTACTTGTGTTGATGTAATTATGTGTAATTATTTTGAGCTGGCTGCAGGATACTAAAGTCAGAAATAAGCCGTTAGTGTCAGCGAGACAGGAAACACAAAGTGTGATGACCCTTCCCTGCCGTACCGAAAGAGCGTCTCCAGAATAAGGGACCGTCAGCATGGGAAAGTTTTGGAATCTCATCTGGATCAATTAAGTTACACGCATCAGCATATTTACGTGGTCTGCCACGTGCGAAAACATTGGGTGGGATTCGGGTGTCGTATTACCCTCGTGTACGGAAAGGCTCAGTACGTGGAGCCCCTGAGTGCACGCCCATGTCAGCTTTTATTGTATTTCCTGAGTAATACGTGATTACTTGCTGTCCATCGACGCTCCATGATAAATGGTGCTCGCTTTTCTGTATCAAGCAAATGGTGTCTCTTGTCGCACATAAGGTCATGTAATCAGTTGTGGGTCGGTTCAAATTATTAGGATCTTGGAGGCACGCGACCGGAGTAATATCCCCAACCCATAATACTGTAGAATATTGATAGAGTCCAGACTGGTAGTGCATGTTAGTACCCAAAGCTAGGTAGGAGTTACAGGATTCTGGAACATCTAGAATACCCTGTCAGCAAATCAGTGAAACGAAGCCACAATATTGGGACTTCCAGAAAGGTGAGGGATGGAAGAGAAAGGAGGAAAAGGAAGCAAAACATGCCCCACCAGAGAGGCATTTGTCGCTGTGCAACAATATTGGGGCTGGTTTTCAACACATTCTAGAATTCCGCGGCGTGTTGCACGGTGTTTCTCCATACAATCCTTGTGAAATAGTTTATACCGACGCAACCGGCCACGGAGCTGATCCGTCGCACATTGATGAGCCAAACTTAGCAACATTGCTCTCGAAATCTCGTCTGCAAAAAGTTTCGGCTATGGGTCAGTTCTACCGTGTGCGACGACACTTTTCTCTGGCCGAGACGACATGTGGATAAACTATGACATAGGGAGAGAGCCACATCACAGGATGCCACAGCGCGACCCGAGGGAGCGGTGAAAGAGAGGAGCAGGATGCTGCGCCTCACTTCGATCAGTCCTCATCGCGGCTTTAGCGCACGGGGATCTTCCAATGGAAAGTGCGGTAAGATCCGCCCGGTGACACATGATGAAAGTATTAAGATGTGGCTCAACCAAACATGTGGCGCTAAGGTCGGGTCGGGAACTCCGTCCTCACCGACTTAGCGTCTCTTCTCTTGCGCCCCCTTCGGAGAAGAGCGTCGGGTGTGTGCGTTCGTCACTGGTGTTCAAATTCTTCGAACCCAACCGCTTGCATTCTACATCTGCATACTGCGCCAAACCCGCTTCTGAGGCTTGATGACAAGGGGGGAGGGAGAGTTCACTGCCTTGTAAATCGTCCATTTCGAAGCGTGTTGCGTGCCAAGTGTTGCCCTAGGCCCACAATATCTTGTCATTCGTGTAAATATCCTCCTTTGTGGAGGATAATCAGGATGTGAGGGGCTTATTCAAGGGACTTTTCAATACAAAATAATAGGCACAGATCGGTCCGGTCGTTCCTTTGTCCTTTGTTACTCCTGTTACTTCTGTATTGTGGTCGTACGGAGTATGGGAGGGTATGTAACAACGCTACTCAGCCTTGCATGAGCCACAATAGACCCACTCAACCTGGCAGCCACGATGTCATTATTCTCATGTTTGACTCGCGTTCCATACCGGTTTGATTGAAATGGGAAGAATGAAGCGACAGCTTCGTGGGATTAAGCCAAGGCATGTCATCATCCTTTTGACAGCCATACTTTTCCGAAGGTGAACGTGCGATGGACCGTCGTGTCTCCCAAACGTGCTCGGCGTATTTGGGAACGAGACTATTGAAATCTATAATATCTTACACTATAGACAAGTCGGAGGTTGCTCGCCCACTCCCCAATCTCTCTCTCGAAGGAGGGGAGCGAAAAAAAATTGTGCGGCTCTGTCTGTATCGAAAACCCTAGTCCCGTGTTCGTCCTGTTTGGGCAAGATGATTGTCCTCGCCCGACGCCCTAAATGAGAATCGTCTTCCCGTCTGGGACAATCTCGGAAGTCTGATTGGATCGAAGAGGGTCGTCGGTCCATGACGCTTCATTTGCCCGTCGTGAGCTGCCGACCAATCGTTCCGATCGCTGGAAAATGCACGTTTCTGAAAGGGGTGTTGTGAGGGGAGTGGAGCTGAGCTAAGATCGTCAAGAGGACCCATGAGGTCGGCGACTTGAGTGATGGGTGTTCGGAACTGGCGGCCACGGCCCAGATCCAGTTGCTTAGTTTGCTGCTAGTCAGTCCTCCCCCGTCCCTCCTGGATTGAGGACGATCTGAACCACATTGACGGGACGAAGGAAGCGTCCCGCCATAGGAATTTTTATGATTTTCACGGCTTGAGGGAAAGAATGGCAGATCGACCACTGACGGTAGAAATGATTACCCTTAAACTTTCAAAACGTCTGCTTCCTCTGCGGTGTGTGTTAAGTCAATGACACATTCATTCGTCTGGATTCCTCCATGAGGATTCGGCTACTGCTGGGGTAGATACTAAATGGTTGGACGCGCACTACTAAGCGGATAGGTCACTAAGGACTAAAAGTTGCCCAGTCCGTATCCCCGTGATGGTGTAGTCACTAGCCTATGAAACGTAGCAATTATCCGCTCGCAGGAGGTCACGTCGTCTACTGAATGGCATTGAGGAGGGGGAAAGAAAATCTTTTTGCCACCATCTTATCAGGAACAATGGCCGTGCCTTGATTAGCAGCAATGCGGAGGAAGGGAAATAAACAAATATTCAACCGCTAAAACTGCTACGTAACCGACAAGGTTTGGTAGATAGTCAAATGGGCTACCGACAAATTAATGCCAAGTTTTCAACCGAGGATGGACGTGTGCCACTACGGACTTGCCGATGACACCTGCGGATACGAATGTCAGGAATGCACGGGGTACGGCGACCCCGTAGTAGGCATCCAGGCCTCCAGATCGTTAGCTCTTAGTATCGTCCTTAACCTATACTCATCTAGTCTATTACGATCGATTGCTCAGATACTTGGGTTCTAGACACCTCCAGAGGAGTGTGTTTCATACTTGACTACTACTAATTGAGAAGTTATTTTGTATCTGAAGCGAAATAATGGTATGATACGGGCCCGCCAATCCCCCAAGTTCAACAGTAGTACCTTACATGCGGGAGTTGCGAAAGAAGGAACCCCACGGACAGGCATGGATAAATTCATCCAATAAAAATCCATAGAGGCGAGATAAATAAATAAAAAATTCAAGGGAAAAATAAAAGGGAGAGGGGATGTACGGAATCTCGGAAAAGAGCGAGTCGATTAAGATTCTGATAGGGCCCAAATTCCAAGGGCGATTGTATGAGATGCTTGCTAGAGGTTAGTAGCTGTGGAGGCTTTGACAAAAGTTTGGGTGGCCGTGGAGTGGATCGCAGATGCGGTTCCCTTATTACTGTTTTAGGTAATCCTCGGGGAGGACTTGGGTATCGAGCATCTCCGAATTTTACTGTATTATTGGGGTTGTAACGATCCCTCCTCCGATTGCAAGTAGATAAGCACATACAGAACCGGATAAGAAGATTGTTGGCTGATTCAGGAAAGAGGCAAGAAGGAGGAAAATAAGGCACAGAACAGACTAATAACTGTTTACAGTGGTGTATAAGGGAAATCGAATGAAAACAACCAAATATAATAATCGACAAGATTATTTTCTGATAGAGGAAAAGAGAAAAAGCAACGACGAAAGGGAAAAGTGAGCATTTGAATCTATCCTTACGACATTATTCGTGAGCAGATCACTTAAAATGAAAATGACTAAAAGAAAATTAAAGGAAAAATAAAATGAGAAAAAAAAAAGAAAAAAGAAAATCCAGATAGAATCGGGAAAAAAAGAAAAGAAATTCCCAAGCAACTGAAGTTATCCTGCAAGTGAACCCTCCGGCTGGCAGTGCAGGATGATGCATGATGGCTAGTGGTAATACTTATTTTCGTACACTGACTTGACCCGACTAGCAGTACGGCGTATCGAGGTGCTAATAATAATACCACATACCACTTGGTTTAGGCCCGGTTCACTGCCTGCCCCTGCTCGCCCGGCATCTCCACCTTTGCAGTTCTACCTACTAGCAGCACTACCCCTGTTCCTTTTTATTATTATTATTTTTTTTTTTTTTTTTTCCCTCTTTCCCTTTTCTTTTCCCTTTTTACTTTTTCTTTTCTTTTATTTTTGTTTTATTTCTTTTCTTTTTCATTCCTCCACTCTGGTTAGTTAGTGGTTCAGTTAGTGATCCTTCCCTCCCCACCACCCACCACCCACTAACCATCATCATCACCACCATCATCATCATCATCGGCATCACTCACCCACACCCACAATCCACCCCAGTCCGTTTGGAACCGCGCTAAACACTAGGCTCTCCTGCTCCCCTGTCGCGATGGTGCACGCAGACCCCCCGCCCCAGTAGTCATAGTAGTCGGGCGATGGGCTCGACTCTTACTTTTTAGTGTGGTTTTTTCTTAGTTCGTCCGTAGTTGGTCAATCCCAGTTCAGTCTAAATATCCACTGCGTAAAGTCCTACACACTGCGACTCATAGGGCCAGCAATCATATAACATTTATCTATGCTTTTACTCCCTCCTTCCCCCTCCATCTGATCTTCCTCTTCCATCCTCATTCCACATTCCTCTTCTCCCTCACATACGGGTCGGGCCTTGGTGAAGCTGTTGAGACAACTCGCCCATTACCATTACAAAAGTGATATCCTTACCTACTTTGTTCCTCCTCTTCCTCTTCCTCTTCCTCTGCCTCTGCCTCTGCACTGCCCTTCTCTTGCTTCCTCCACGCAGTGTCCCACCTACCTTCTTTTACTTTTATTACCTTTCAGAGACCCCATTGCTTCGCATCTCATCATCTTCCCTCTGCTACTTGCGGTGTTAAACTTTTGCTGCCTCTTCTGCCTTCCCAGCGCCCCAAGATTCGGATCTGCAAGTGACAAAATACTTCGTCGCCTTGCAGTTGGTGGATTCAAATACCGAGCTTTTAGACACGTTCTTCCAAGCTCCCTCTTTTGTCTTCTATAGGGAAATTCCCCGAACCTCGTTGGAGCTTGCTTGTGTCTCGTCACTACTACTAGGCTCCCGCTAAATACCAGGACTATCAGGGCGATAGATAGTAGGTTCCCCGAGCGGGCCGTTCCCAATCTTTGAACTCAATAACCTTCTCTCCCAAGCCCCCGGGTCCAAGGGAGCCCTGCCGGACATTATTTCCATGCCATTGATTGAGACATCAGATTGCTAACGCTCATCATGCTGCAGATCGATTGCATCCCTCCTTCTCTTCTTCTACATTAACCCTCGCATCCTCCCACCTGGAACCCAAGGAACGAGCCAACCACTGCACGGAGCGTGGGCATGCAATCTCACGCAGACACTTCCGACTTCGTACTATTCCCTACCCACTTCACCGGTGACAACAAAATGCTGGCCCTGGATTCGTCCAGACAGCAGCATCCCCCATACTTCCAGTCCTACCCCATGGATCCTAGTACCTTTATCGATCCTCTTGCCTTCCATGTGGACGATCTAGGTTTCAGCCAGACCCACGACCCATCCGGTGTACCCCAGTCCTCCAACTACGGTACGCCGCCTATCTACTCCGAGTCTTTCTCGGACGCCAATAAAGCTGCCGGATTTCCACCTATGCCCGCCACTCCCCCGTCCCTCCCTTATTCTTCCGATCACTTCATTCCTGGACTTTCTACTGCGTCCGGTCCCTCCGTTGCCAGCGCCTCCTCCTCCGCCATCGGATCGCCCAATACGGGTTCTGCGCATGCTATCTCGGAAGACTGGGTCCAGACAACGAATGGCTTGGGGCTTCCCGCCGCGGTCATGAGTGACTACTTCCCCAATGAGTATTTTGGCAACACGCTGGACTCGGAGGGTTTCTACCAGCAGAAATGCCCAGAAAACTTTGTTGGTGTGTTCCAACGTCCAGATCCGATACACTGTCCTGCGACCTCTGCTGACCACTAGGCCACCTCAGACCCTTCTGTTATCCAGCCAATGCTACAGCAGCATCCCATCAACCCCCCTACCATCTCGTTCCCCGAACAGCCTGATTATGTCGTATCGCAAAGCGCGTTTCTGCCCCAATCCCCTGACCCTTCCCACCTCCATCCCTCGGAGAGCTACGTTGCGAACCAATCATTCGCACAGCACCCCAGTCTTGTGCCGACCTCTTCCCCTTCCATGGCCCCTGCCCTACCCCAGTCACGACGTGCTTCCTCTTATGACCGGAGGTCATCGGTCTCCTCGGTTCAGTCCCAGCGCTCTCATCCAAGCCCGGCTGCCAGTAATGTAGAGTCCGACGATGACACCAAGGAAAAGGGACGATGCCCTTTCCCGGAGTGCAGACGTGTTTTCAAGGATCTCAAGGCTCACATCCTGACACACCAGTCAGAGAGACCCGAAAAGTGCCCCATCGTCACCTGCGAATACCATATCAAGGGTTTCGCCCGCAAGTATGACAAGAACCGTCATACTCTTACTCACTACAAAGGAACGATGGTTTGCGGCTTCTGTCCGGGGTCTGGGTCGCCCGCCGAGAAGAGCTTCAACAGGGCGGACGTCTTCAAGCGCCACTTGACATCAGTGCATGGCGTCGAACAGACACCACCTAACTGTCGGAAGAGAAGTCCAACTGCAGCGGCAAGCAAGGGGACATCTAGCTACAGCCCCGATGCGACCGGCAAGTGCTCAACTTGCTCCATTACGTTCAGCAACGCCCAGGACTTCTACGAGCATCTGGACGACTGTGTGCTTCGGGTTGTGCAACAGGAAGAGCCCAGCGAAGCCATCAACCAGAAGCTGCTTTCTGAAGTCGATGCTGACGAGGAGGTGCAAAAGACAATGGAGAAACATAACTTGAACGACACGGCTGGCACCGTCGACATATACAACGACGAATATGATGATGACGATGATGACGCTTACGAATATTCGAACCTACGCTCGGGCAAAGGCCCCCTGAAGAACACCAAGGGATCAGGGGCGGTGGCCCGTCCTATCTTGGGCGTCAACAACGCTGTCACGAAGGGTTCGTCCAATGCCAATGCTAAGATGCGTGCGACTACATCCAAGCGACGCAACAACCGTGATCGTTACCCTCAGTCCTGGGGTTGCCCTAGCAGCAGCATCAAAACGAAGAAGCGTGTCCTATGTGTCTTTGATGGGCAGCGCCGTCTGTGTAAGGACGAGATGATGCTTGACAATGAGTTCGAAGTCCGCGTCAAACTTCCGGGTGGTGCAGGAGATGGCACCAACCGGGAAGCTTACGTGACTGACTTGGACGTCGAGACATTGAAGCGTGCTGAGGGTGTTCTTAGTGCTAATGACGAAGAACGCGGCCCTTGGGTCGACAACCAGTCCACCCAGCTCATTGGACAACCGGCCGTTCTCCTCCCTGATACGTACCGGCCGCATGATGCCGAGCCCATGGACATGACCTACTAAGTCCGGAGGAAGACAGGACCCCATCTCCATCCATTCCCTTCATTTTGTTCGATTCTGACATGTCATATTTTGCATATCGTGGGTTTTGCATTTGTGGCATGACGAGAGCGATTTGTTTATTTGTGTTCGACCAGTTTTATCTTGATACCACCATTCTGCAGATTTTCTTGTTTTATTGATGGGCACCCATGGAGGCTGCGCCCGTGGTCCTGTAATAATATCCCTTATGTTATTTGTGCTTGGCTATGGATTGGGCGTTTGGGCAACTAAAACGAGAATTATCTTGGAATGCAGGTCATGTCCTACTTGAAGAATAGGAAGGTGAATTTCTCAGAATGTAGAATTCGCGTTTGAGAGCAGACATAAATCATCACATCTTTTTTGAGCAGCGTGAACAAGGTTTCAGCAACAGGGAGTGTAGATGTGAATAGATCGATCTATCTATCTATCTATCCGTAGTCGGGCCGGCCAGCGATCGGAGTCTTCTGCCCGCCTTTTGCCCCACACTTTCCCCTTCCCGCAGGTGTCGCATGGCGATTGCCTTCCTGATCAACAACCCAACCCAACTCACACACGCCCTCGCAAGATGCAGTTGGGTCTCTCGGAAAGCCTGTCTTCCCTGGTAAGCAGGAGATTTGTTGCTGCCAGGGATGCCGGTCACTTAATCTTCTCCTCGACGCATCTTGCGACCGTCCACACGTCAAACATACCGGTAACTAAGCCACTCCATCTCCGCGCCACACACACACACACACGCCCTCTCCGACTCCAGCTTACTGACCTTCCCCCCCTTTCGCTGTCTAGTATCAAGTTCGCTATTGTCCAGCTCTTGCGAAGAAACCAACAGGCGCCCCTAAGCCTGACAAGGGCCCCGGTGGACCGAAACCCGATCCCTTCCAAGATCCGTCTCCCGACCTTCTCCTCGCTCAGATTCCTCGAGGGAACCCGTCGCACGTGCTGGTCTTGAACAAATTCCCTGTAATACCGAATCACTTCATTCTTGCTACAAAGGCGTGGCAATCGCAGACAGACCTCCTCGACAAGGAAGATCTAGAAGCCGCATATGCCTGTATCAAAGCATGGGCCGAGGGAAGTCACGCAGAGGGCCAAGGGAGCAAGAAACTCTTTGCCTTCTTCAATTCTGGTGACGAGAGCGGTGCAAGTCAACCCCATAGACATTTGCAGTTTCTTCCTGTCGAGGCCATGGCGCAGGGTGACTCTCAAAACTGGCAGCCCCTGATTGACGCCGTGGCTCGGCAACCTACATCCAGCGGGTCTGGTTACCAACATTTGGCTCAGGTGCCTTTTGCGCATTTTGCACGTCCCTTGCCATCAAACCCCTCTAGTGAGACTCTCCATCAGATCTACCTGTCTTTGTACAGAGCGGCAGTAGCAACGGCAAAGGGAGACCTCAGTGACGCCGGCCAAGTCACTGGTCCTGCTACCATTAGTTACAATCTTGCTATGACTGAGACAACCATGATGATCTGCCCGAGGCGGAGTGAAAGTGCCCGTATTTTAGTTGATTCAACAGCATCTGTAGATGTTGCTGAGGCGGGCGTTGTCGCACTTAACGGCACAGTCCTTGCTGGTACCCTGATGGTCAAGGCTGAGGCCGAATGGGACGAGTTGCGTCGGAATCCCACTTCGCTACATAATGTGCTTGCAGCTATTGGATACCCTCAACCAGATTCGCGGGAAGTTTCTTTGTTGTAGACCGATATGTGCAGCGATATAATATCAATGGTTAGATATTTTGCAATATATGTATTAACTAGAAGTGATCAAGCACCTTTGCGGCAGACTTTTGTAGCAGTAGATATACGAGGAGAGTCACTAGTATAGTATCCTGTAAGACTTTGTATGGTTTGATGTTCAGGAGTGTTGAACGCCCGTCGAACTAGCATGTCTCAGTAGGAACCACTACTTTTCTAGGTCCGAGTAGGCTCAAGGCTAGACAATCTGCCCACGACGTATCAGCTTACACACACAAATGAAATGCTATTTAGTTATCAATCCAGTCTTCAGATAGGAAGAAGCTAATCACGTGGTGAGGCAGTATCTGGAAGTCGCGATGGCAGCCTCTTCTTTACTAGTCTTTTACTTATTTCCTCCTGAACTACGTTGATAAACCCCCAGACTGACCACGATTGTATACTCAATCCACGACACTCCTAGTCCTCTCGGACAAAGTGAATTTCTATCTGACTGAGAGAAGAACGGAGACGACTCTGCTTCGATGTCGCCTTCCCCAACATTTCACTTGTTCACTGATCGCTCTCCCTCACAACAAGTAAGTGCTTCTTTCTTGCAAAACATAAGTCCATTCAACGCCAAAGGTTCTCAGACAGTCATTCTAACAATTCCTTCTCCAGTCAACGTTAGATTTTCACGCCATGGACTTCGCACCACTTCTTCTTGCAGGTTGCATTCCCAAAATGATAGGACCCCCCATGGGTCCTGATGTACTGAGCCACCCTCTTCCAAGAAACCTTTGGTAATTGGTTGTCAATCTGGGCCCAGCAGAAGGAGTAATGGCCATGTTCCTGGTCCGTGGCTTCCGACAACACGTTTACCGCCTCACAAAGAAGGCGAATCTACAGTGATCAGTACCCATTTTTCTTTTCAAGAACCACCAGGAGGAAAGTTGGAGCAACCGGGACAGGTGACTTACGTCGTTTTGATGCCATTGTGGCTTCCTCACGCGTTGCTCCTTAGACTTTGTCAACGTGCGGAATCTGCCACGGAGAGTCGACTCGGCCTCCTTGAACCCGCCAATCCTTTTGATATCCTTATACGACAACCCACGGAGCTTACATTCAATCAAGAATGCGTTTCTCTTGTCACGGAGACATGTAAGTGGCCTGCCAAGCAGCTTCCCCTGATTGATGGGGCCTATGTCACTGGGATTCGGTAGCGGCCAAGGCTCATTTAGTCTATAACGACTCTTATGGTACTGGTAGGAACCGTCATTACATCCTTGGTTGGCTGCACGCCCACTTCCGATCGAAAGCATGGCTGGACAATCAGTCCTTTTCGAAGCCCACGGGAATAACAGGGACTGGGTAGCGTTTGAACCGTCCTTCTCGACTGTGGAGGGATCCAAATGAATGTTTGCCGCGTCAAGCTGAGCCAATGCGCTGTTGATTTCTCCGTAAAACTGCGCCTCGCCGGAAAGATTCACTGTATCCCATATAGATCGATCGTAACTAGGACCCTCACTGGAAGAGTCCGATACGTGATGTTCCTGTGCAGCTATCATTGAATACGATGTGCTAACTGCAGCAAGAATGTTATCTGCAGTTGGTGTTGGAAATTCAAGCCATGGCCTTGGGGACACAGATAATGCGACATTTTCCGCGCTTGTCCATTCTGCTTCATGAGGAGAGGGCTCACTTCCCTGAGATATACATTCATCGAGGATGGTTATGGGTGCCCTGCGTGGTGTTGTCCCCTCTGCTATCAGGGATGAGACGGTCTCGCTGATCGCAAAGAGGTCATTGATATCATCGGTCTGGTGATATGTATCAGAAGCAGCATCGCTAGAATAAAGATCACAATCGACGATTGATGTCTGTGGGGCGTCTGCGTTGGCAGCAAGAGCCTCGAACTGGCTGCCATCCTCGACTTTGATGAAGTGCATCTCCTGTGGCTTGTTATTATGATGAGTCTGCCCTTCATGTCGGAAGTGAAACCCATGTGCTGCTGCTGCGGTTCTTCCAGATTCGAAGGCTGAGTAACAGCTGGGATAACAATAAGGGCACCCTATCTGGGGCAGGGTTTGCATCGTCGTGTCGTTGCTCGTCATCCCGGTGAAGTGTGTAGAAAGTCGCTCGTCTTTCTCCATAAGGTGGTGTGTCTGTTCGCCTTCAAGATGTATCACAGGGAGCTTTGAGGTGGTGTCTTGCCAGGTAGAGGATCTTGCAAGGGAGAGTGATCCGCGGTCGTCTAGGAAGAAGAGATGGGAACGAAAGTTCGACGCATTAAAGCTTTCCTCAACGGAAACAGCCTTTAGGTCTTCTGAACCGACCAGGACGCGCAGCATGGCTTTAAACGGAAACCAATATCTTCTTGCTCTCTTCACCGCTACTGTCTCCTATGCTCTGGATAGACGTTGGGCAAATAATATGCATTGGATCCTGGTGTATGTACGCTGTCAGGCTACTAGGGCACCTGCAGGGACTGTTGTGGCTGCTCAGTACACCAAGATCTATATGGAGGGGTTTCACTTTCTCGGATGACTCACCAATAAGGGTCGAGTATTGATAAATCTGCGATTGTTTAATTTTCCAGATTGGGTTGCAGAGAACCAATGACTGAAGGTCTCGAGATCAGACAGGCTTTCCCTGAAGGCGACACGACTGAGCGGTGGAGGAAGTAATGAGCACAAGGTGCCTCTGACAGTGTGGTTCCCGTTCTCTCTGCAGTTGCTCGATGACCGAATGAGTGATGTTTCTTCTTTTCCGCCACAGATGGAATGGCAATGATGTCTCAGAAGCCTAGCCTCTTAGGCAATAATTGGCGTTCGAGAAGCAGCTGGACAGGGTTCATGGAACTCACGGTTCGCTCTATGAGAGGCGATGTCCTATCCAACGGAAGACGTAGAGGGCTGTATCCGTCCCCAGGAAAAGGTGTCAAGACAACACAGCGCTCGAGGACAAAAGAGGTTTGACTCGAGAACACCGGAGCTCTTTAACATCGATATCAAGCCATATCGATGACCCTTTCACACCCTCGCACTTCAGGCCCCTGGATTACCGGCTACCATATTCCGATATGGCTTGAACTGTTCGCATCCCCGGGAGCTTAACCCTTGTTCTTTACAATATTATATCGCCTTCGAACGCCCTTCGAACGCTATAAGATGCTGATCGAGGCACTATACCCTTTTCTGTTCCCAAAGGGCATGGGTATTACGGAACAATATCAATCACGGCACATGGTTCGGTTTAGCATAACCTCACAATCTCCCGTAACGATCAGTTAACCCCTTCTTTTGCAGTGGGCCGCGCATAGCCCAAATGACGATCCTTGGAAGAAGAGCCATCTTCTGTGGCGCAGAAGATAGATTCAAAGCGAAGGGGAACTCACCGTGCTGGCGTTCAGACGATGTTGACTTGGTGTGGTTGTTTTGCAGCAGCGAGCGCCATTCGGGTAACCACATAGGGCTTTGTTCGCACATCCGCTTTATCCTACTATCCTCAGGCGACGCGGTGGCTGCGACCTATACCAAAGGATCCAGAACATCTATTGCCTCCAGGGAATGGGACGTTTGGCCGGACGGCTCGGAAAGCTCCCCTTCGGATCTGCAGGTCTCATTTTCTCCGCCATTGGCTCGACAGACATGCTTTATCTGACTGCTTTATTATGCCCTAACTTCTGCGGACCTTTTAAACCCGCACTACCGCAATCAAACTGCATATGCAGATCATTCCCATCCTTCACGTATCCACCAGAGCTCAGGCAACTGCACAATACCTAGGGCATATGTATTCTGAAGATCAAAAGTGCCGCAGAGTCTCTTCCCATGAAGACCAGTTACAACGGAGCAAATAGCAAGTCGGAGAAAGAAGTGTCTGTGTTGGTCCTGCACGATAAGGTTTTCCAATTCACCGCTTGATTCCATCCACATACACTGCACCCCGGCTTTTACCGGGTCTAGCAAGCCCCAAACGCTTCTGCATCCGTCATTGTGCAAATCAGACGTGCCCATCTATCATTGCAAAGCAGTGGGCGCAAATGTCGGTCGGGAAATAAGCTTAACTTACTCTTCGAGCCAAATGTCGGATAGGTCTCCGGTTTGCTCTCTAGACCCCAGATAAGTGAAGTCCGGCTCGAGAGGTCAGTAGAATCTGCATGAGCCATTTCTTTCGGACATCCAACCCGGTGACAGGGTACTTCTGGAACTTACATCATACGGCACCTACATATACATTGCTTTTTCTCATCTCACGGTACTTTCTGAGCTCGACTTTCCTACTGTCGTCTCGCACAATGCAAGACAAGGCAAACAATCCATGATCAAGAACAAAAGAAAAAGCAAAGACAAACCACACTCAAACCCCCTGATCCCTACCATTGTCAGGATTTCCTTTCCCCGCACGATCATTGCTTCGCTCCGTGTGGCTCATTGCCGATCTATCGTGTGCACTGTATGTTTGCACCTGCTGGAAATCCTATGTATAGCCTTTGTGGGTCTTCTCCCCCGGACACCATCCCCAAGCATGTGCACATATACACGCGTACATGTGTGTACGTGTGCACGGGCCAAGAATAGGCATTTTCGTGACTTACCGGGGGGTGGGGGATGGAATAGGACGGTGGCAGCATTAATCTCCTCCATAGGCAGGGGAGCTCACCAGCCTGCACAAGGTCAGAATAAGAAGGCAAGAACGAAAGAAAGTACTGGCCTGGCCTGGCCTGGTCTAGCCTAACGCATTTGAGAGTCGCACACACGCACACCTTCCCTGCGGAAATCCCGGATGTTGGGTAGAAACGGTGACACCGTCGGGATGAGCATGTTTCACGGGTTTCACCCACACCCTTTCTTTTTCGCTGAGAGACTAGACCAGTCCAGCACGGTCCACTTATCACGTATCCTTGAGAAACAAACCGGAAGGAAGAAAGAAAAATGTACTAAAAGAAGGAATCATTTAAGGAGACACAGAGCGTGGGATGGTGGCGGTGGGGTCTGAGCGTAGGCCCTTATATTCATAACAAAAGACTATAATGACTATTATTTTGGGATCCTCCTGCAAATGCCCGGGATGAGCATGCAGAGGGCTACCT